GCTACGTCCCGTCCGCGTATCATTCACGTAAAAAGGTCCGGTAGCAGTCCGGTGTGGCGAAAAGGGCGAAGCCCAAGGAGCTTTGAAATACAAAGCGTTTACCAGAACCATCCGACTGGACGGTGTCAAAGCAGAAGCAGGTACAATGTGCTTTATGTGCCCTTTCGTCTTGCCCTCTACAAATGCATTGATGGCAGCAGCCGCCGCCGCAGAGTCCTCGAAGTCCGTGGACACAGCATCGCAGTTGAGCCGTTCGGATACCTGCTGGGCGAAGTGGCCAAATTGTTCATCTGAGGCCGAGGAGGATTCCACATACATCCTGTTTGCAGTCTCCAGCTCCATAAGCGGCAGGGCTCCCCAGGCATCAGGGGCGCCACGCAAGGCAGGGAGCTCAATGCGAGAGGAGGAGGGTAAGTGCCCTTCCATTTCCTCTCTTGTGGCTCCCCGAGCTCCCAATTGAGCTACTTGGAAGGCGGAAAGAATGCTGAAGGGCGAGAACACAAAGTTCGGCTCCCCCTCTTCCGCCTTCGTAGCGGCTATCGAGTTGTAAAGCTCAGAAGCCGCAGCCGCCATGCTTTTAGAGCCAGAAGACCCGCAGATCGGGCTGCCCATGCTAAATACTGCGCAGCTCAGGAGACTCAACGAGAGAATATGCACACGCAACATTTTCCGAGGTACAGACAGTTGCTCGACATGAATACCGAAGTGCAGGGCCGGGAATACCCGATGCGAAGAAAACGGTTTGAAGAAGGGAGGAAAAGAAGGGAATTAATAGAGGACAAAGGTACAAACTAATTTACAGGGTGCCCATGCAGACAAAACTGAATTTTGACTTGGTGTGGGAACTATGACTGTGCGATTCCCATCGACCTGCAGCGTGCGCTGGCGGGTACACGACGGTCACTCTTCGCGGCGGAGCGACGCAGCATCGTCAGTCGGTGCGTCTAAATTCCCGTGCCTCAAAGATGAATTTTTAGTAGCCAAAAGTGATTTCGTGTTTGCACTTTCAAGAAGCAGTCATTAGCGGGTCGGAACAATGGACAATCAAATCCGAAAGTACGTCATCGGCACGGGAAAGCTCTCAGCCGCAAGCACAAAACGCTCAACCGTGTACTAGACCTAGACTCCCTCGGGAAACGCATACCCTAAGCACTGCTATTTGTTACTGCAAGTACTAGATGATAGAGTATCACCCTAGCTAAAAACTTCGGTTCCCCATCGTACGTACTGCCTGTAGGGGTCAATCTACACTATCATCAGCGCGAAGACGAATTGCTATTACATGCTTTTATTCATATGCTATTATTTGCCACCTAGGAGGCCGTTGCTGAGAACTGACGAATGGAGCGTCAGGAGACTGGTTTTGGGGTCTAGGCATGCTCTGGAGGCAGCGAAGCCTTCGAAGCTCTTGTATCGAACAAATATTCATTCGCTCTGCTGCTTACGCACCTGTAGGTGGAAAAGCCTACTCACCTGTAGATCATATTGTCCATCGTAATTGCTCGTATCAAGCTAATGCGAGGCACCGACGTCCATCGAACAGCAAGCTCCCTTCTGTGCTGTCACTTCCTTGATCTTTTGCTCGGCTCATCCCAATCGCCACGCGTCAAGAATGCTCCACCAAATAAGTCAACCGTTTGCCGCTTGCTCCAAATCGTTATTTTTGCAGCGGTAGGGAACAAATCATCTTCGGAAAAGGGATTTGAAAAAAGGAATGGTGCCGGGATAAATGGGCGTCTAGTACTTCCACCAAACCTTCATACTTTTGAACAAATCTACGCCAATATTTGAGGTGCGGAAAAGGTATGGATTGTAATGAAAATTCTAGTATCAATTTGTGGGGCCTGAGCCACTCTTGATCGCCAAATCGTCAGCCGACGAAAATTGAACCTTCACATTTCAACAATGCTGCAGTTGGTAGAGCTGCTCTGGAAATCCAAACAAAATTGAAAATATCAGGAATCACATATTGCCTGAATGATACGCACGAGAAGAATCTTCACTTTAAGCTGTGCGTCTAAAGACGGCATTTGTCCTCCAATTGATACAGTTAATTTCTTCTGAAGCAAGGATCAAGGCAAAGGGCAGCCGATATCTATCGAACATGTGCCGAGCCTCATGTAAAAAGGAAGGCGAGAAGAGAAAAAGCCTTCTTGAGGCTCCAAACCGCAGGAAAGAAAGCACTGCTGAAATTTGGATGAGAAAGAACAGCTATTGGCGGCTGCAGGAGCAAGGACGAAACGAGAAATCCTGAGATCTCCGTATACACCTGGCGAACTGTGAGCAGAAAACTGGTGGAAGAAAGGGAAGAAATCGAACACGCTCAACGCAAAACATTTCAATGTAAGCATAGAAAAACCGCTGTTAGGGGCAAGTCCCAACTTGTGGTGCTCCTGGATTCTAATTGTCGTCTTGCATGTGACAGAAACTGCATTCCCTACTCGCATTCTAACTTTCCCGTAAAAGATCTTCACCTCGTGTATTTATGGCTCCTCGGCCCCAACAGACACGGTCGCAACTTGAATTTGATTTGCCCCAGGGCATCAAAATTTCTCGCTCCAGTCCCACTAACTACCAAATACTTCTTCTACGCGACGTTACACTTTCTGGAAGAAGCGTATGCATGCACTGGCCCCCCAAACCCCAGATTCTAAACCCTAGAACACAAAGTAAACCCGCCCAGCGAGAGTCCTCCCGCTGGGCGGAGGATTCTCGTGAACTCCAATAGAGTCGTAGTACTTCGTACAAGCGTTCTTCAGAAGCAGGTTGCGCCCACTTTGGCATGTTCTGTCTGTATACCTGAGTATACGCTGGCCAGTGAGGGCCATGTAAGTATGTAACACTTCCCAGTGCGTCTGAACGAGCCAAATGGGTAGTTTGGGCTTGCTAGCGTGAGGGACTTCCTCGCAGCTGGAGTTGCTGCAAGGTGCGTTGCAGCTCAAGAGAGGACCCCTTTCCCCGCAGTAGCTCTAGTCCCTTATTCCGCTGCGCGAAGGCCTCCTGGAGAATGGAGAAGCGGTCAGTCCATTGTGAAGATCTTGCAACTCGCAAGTGCCCTCAGTTAAGATCGGGGTCTCCATTTGCTTTGTGGCACAAGTGACCCCCCACTACTGAGGGGTCTGATGCTAAACACTAATTAATCTTGGAGGCTCTCCGGGACAAAAACATTACTGCCATTTCTCCCTACAATGGCTTTTACGAATTCAGCCAGTTTCCCCCCTTAGGATAATGAAAATTGATCAAGATGTGCGTGCCCCTTGGCGGAAAAGCAACCAACTGCGGGGCTTCTTGTCTCATTGAAGTGACCGCAGTATCCACAACCATTTGAAAATTCCAGCGAACGCAAACCGTGATGAATGCATTTACTTTTTCGAACAATCCAAAAGTGACGGGTGCCGCGATGCAGGGGCAGTGGAAAGCTTCCTTGACTTTCTGGAGGTGTCCTTTCCTCTTCAAAATTAGCCCAAAGACTTCTGCTACTAGTGGCATCATCTTGATTTACAGAGGTGTCACAGCAATAAGGGCTATATCTCAAAGTAAATGCAATGCTTTTCGGGACCATACGCGTGCCATGGGAGCTTTTCAAGATGCGATACGATGTAAGTTTATCTCCAGGGCTGGAGGGGAACAGGATAAGGCAAACCAAGAGAGCCTAAACAGGGGAAACTATCGGTGGAGGGCCCCATCGAGAAGCATTAGCCGTTAGTGAGCAGAATTTCAAAAGTGGATCCATAGCGCCTATACCAATGGCTCATAGCAGGGCTGCCCTTTGCATAGAGGCAATCCGTAAGTGGCTGTGCGTAAGGATGAAGGCGTACGCAAACATCGAAAAGAAAAAAAGGAACCGCTTCCATCACCCTGGTCATGAGGAAAAAACACTTTTTAATGGCTTCTATATAGAGCCTATTGCTATTGAGGCTGCAAATGCCAGCCTTATCCAAAAACAAGCACGATAAATGAAGAGGCGGAAGCCGGCAAATCCTACAGAGAGCAAGTCGTGGGGGCATCAGGAGGCACATATGCTTCATTTGCAACAACATATGTCACATAATTAGAGGCCACAGGCGTATGGGAAGGCCTTTTCAAGAATTACAGTAGTGAACCATAGGTGACTGGGAAAGTGCCGTGCCCTCCAAGCACTGTGCGGGCGGACCAGTGTTGGGCACAAAAACAAAGACGGTGAACGCCATTGCAGATGAGCCTCCAGCCACCGCCGTGCTTATTTGAATTAATATTCGGCAGTTCCTACCTCCACTTGACATGGGCTGGGGAGTGGAACCCACAAAAGAAGCTGGGATGAGGAGGTACAATTTACCAGTCATTTCGTTGGCGCAGCCTCTGTAGCAATGGCTGACGGACCACGAGAATGGGTAAAACTATCTCCGTGAAGGACAAGCTCAACCCAGAAATGGCCCACCCTGCCATCACACTTCTACTTTGGACCAGTTCACCAAGAAATAATCCAAGGCATGCTTAGAGGGCGCGCATGCAGCCTCCAGAACACACCATTAAGTCCTACGTGCCGTGACGAAATAGTGGACCTCCCAGCGCCTTCAACAGCAATGCATCGTCCACGGTAAGATTGGTGGCATTACCCTCCCATAAAAGAGGGATCGTCCATACTCCAACGCATTGCAAAGGTTCTTACGTAAACTGGGGGAGAATTGCGTGCATTCCGCCTCTTCGACCTTTCGAAGACACAATTAAGGGAGGATCCGACCTGACGACCCGCTGGAATGGGCACAGTTGAAGAAAACGTTCCCATACACATGAAATAACAGCGAGGGCTCAGGTAGCCAGCCATTCTGTGAACGCCCAAAATGTAGTGAACAGCTCTCACCAACGGCTGTTATTTCGTGTTACCCTATACGCACACTTACTTAAGTGCACACTCTATATCTATTGCCACACTCAGCGAATATTCCCTTGACTAACCAAAAATAACAAGCATAACCCACAAAAAACACTTTCACACCTCATAATCTTAAAAGGGAAAACCCAGGGTAATCGAACTCCCGCCTGTGACCCCTGTGAGGGTCGGCGCCTAGGCCGGGCGCCAGCCTCACAGCCAGCGCAGAACCTGGGGTCGTTGCCGAGCAATATTTGCCCCGAGGCTTCTTTTCTATCTAATATTACTTGATTCATTTCGATTACGACATTAGATTTTACCTTTTCTGCTCGATAGGCCGTTAGAGGACCGTTTTGAGCACCATTGTAGTGCCGGCGGACTACACAAAATGAACCGCATACAGTTCACTCTCGTTGGGAGCATCAAGCTTTGTTTCAACGTAGTGGAGACCCTCACATGGTGAGGAGGAAGTCGAGCGGCGAGCAAAATAACTGCTAAGGAAAGGCATGCGTCAATCTTCAGATGTTGTTTTGGAGACAATCCGATGGCTCATGTGCGGCGACTTCCAAAACATCATCCGTCCAAAAGCCCCGGATCGACGACATCGTCGGATGCGCGCAGAGTCAGGCATTACACCGCAAAACATGATTATCACCTGACATATTTGACGAAGAATTTTCAATAATTCGATGGCGAGATTGTTGTTCGGTGGCATTGCCGGCGTAGGCAGTACGACTTCAGGGACAAGTATATCGAGGGTACCAACAACACGGTCACTGACAAATCTTTCGAGACCCTGCCTATGATGCGCTGTGACTCACAACTGCGCGTATCTGCAATAACTCCCATTTCCTTTCGAAACTTTGGTCTTCTTACTTCCTAGGTGCCCAACCGGCTGTGGTTCTTGCCAAACTCAACAACGGCTTTCACGAGGAAAGCGCTTCAACGTTGGCAGTGATGTTTGGTGGAGCAAAGGGAAGCATGGACTCCGTCGACGATACATTCCAACATCTCATCGCACAAACATGCGCGCAAAATGTTCATGATCTTGCGAGACATGGTGCAGTCAGCATAACAATCAAGCGGGTGGCGAGGCCAATTTTAAGGTTTACGATAAGCCTTTCTGCAGGAATATACGGTCTCGTTTGCCCGGAATTTCACCAAACAAGGCAGAATAATAATATCAACGCAGGACACTTGAAGACTCGTGCGGTTCCGTTGGAGTTAGCAGTGCAGCGTATAGTTCGCCCGCTTGTAATACTTTGGTGACAGCTGCTCACTTACGAATAAAGTGGAGCCCGCATATTTCCATCGGTGTGTTCTCTGGCGCTAATTATTCTTTCATTGTGATATATGTCCCTATCTTTGTCAACAGCTAGCTCGACTCCGCTGCCGACAGCACCTTCAGCTCTTCCCTACTCCCGAGTTGCCTCGTGGCGCTGGGCGTGCCGCTCCTTCGCCCGCACTGATGTTGCACTCTAGCCGTGGTTAACTGCAAATTTTTGGGTAGGCTGAGAAGGCTGCCTTAAACTACCGGTGCATAACCCAGGTGCATGGTAAATATGGCCGTAGTTGAGCAGTGGCTACGCTACCGTGCGGGCTAGCCTCTGAGTGATTTGCGTTTGAAAGCAGAAACGGCTGACGCAGCTCGCCTTTCTCCTTCGTCATTTTCACTTTTTTTTCGGCTTCGGTATAGCGAGTATCCTCCATCTTAGTTGAGGACTGTCGTGGGCTGAAGGGGCGTCAGATACAACAGTTCCCAAAAAGCATTTGACCCCCTTCTCAGCCCCAAGTCGCGCGCCCCGGGCAAAGCAGCCGAAGGGCCTTGGACTGACGTGAATAGGAACCAGCCTGTGTTGCACTGCCACGCACCCTCCTGCAACTCGTGTATGGTTGCATGTGCAGTTCCGCTGAAGCAAGAGTTGCCCCAAAGTGTATTACCCGTCAGCGGCCGCCTCCTCTCTGCCCTTGGCATGTGTTGCGATGCTACCAGGAAGCCTGGAGACTGGATGTTAGCTTAGCTGATTTTGGGAGTGCTAACCTCGAGTATGTCGACTTGCTACAGCTCACTAAAGTACTCCCTCAATGTTGTGGACCCCCACCACGCGACACTTGATTCCGTGTACACAGGAGCCCCAGTGAGCAGAGGAACGCCACATTATTTGCTAGAAAGCACTAAATAAATGGGTATTCGTTGTATGAAAAATGTTTCACCAAAAAAGGAGGGGACGCAACACAAAGCCAGAGGAGGGCGGCAGCAGCAAGACAACCCGTTGCAACAGCAGCGCCTTCAATTGATGCTGGGAAGACAGGAGCAATCAGGTACCTTCTGTGGTCTCACGTCATGCATTTCGCTTCCTACAAACGGTTTTTCCGTTATTTTGGTTATTTAAGGTAGACCTGCGCTGGGGGGAAAGGGATATCGAGTTACGCGTCTGTCGAGATCCTGCGAGCACTGATGACGCACCGGAAGGTTTGTGGGGCCGTTGGGGGCAGCCCCAAGTTGACATATTGCACGTCGTTGGAACCGATGGGAAGTAGGTAGGATTCTTAGGAGAAATGGTCTTTTTCCTGAAACACTCGTACTGCAGCGCTAGCTCCTAGGTCGTACACCGTAAACCTTACAAGATGCTGACCTCTACAGCAGCCGCCGCTGCTCGCAGCAGCAGGAAGGCCGTAGCTTCGTCATTTGCTCAAATGCAGCAAGTCAGAAACGCTTCTAAAGATATACGCTTTGGTTCAGATGCTCGCATGCAGATGCTGGCAGGTGAGGTTGCGAAGAGGATAGAAGCTTCTCGTTCCTCGCTAAGCTCTAGTGAACTCGTGGTTGCTCTAGATGTTTTAACGTTTCTTCGACGGCTGTAGCATTGCTGTGTGCGATTTTCGGGCTTCTGCCGTCGTTTGTGCGCTGCGTGAATGCGTAAAACTGCCATCGGCCCGAGTGTGCGATCGGCAGTGTAGGCGCCGGGAGTTTGAGGGACCTCGGCGTCAGGGCCGTTTGTTTTCATTCAGGTTGCAATCGCCTGGCGGACGCAGTAGGGGTTACTTTGGGGCCAAAAGGGCGCAACGTGGTGATAGCTCAGCCGTTCGGCTCGCCGAAGATAACGAAGGATGGAGTGACCGTTGCCAAGGCGATCGAGTTGGGGAACAAAACGGAAAACCTTGGCGCCCAGCTGCTAAAACAAGTGGCGGCCACTACAAATGACATTGCGGGTGACGGCACAACGACGGCGACTATTCTGGGTCGCGCCATTTTCAAAGAAGGGTGCAAGGCGATCGACGCTGGCATGAACCCGATGGACGTACTACGAGGTGCACTTTGCAGACTTGCTTGCGAACTCAGTATCATGCGCTTTCATGCATTGTGACGGACTTTCCCAGTGTCGTTTGAAAACATTTAAGCCCGTTATTAAGATTGAATGCACGCGTCCCGCATATCGTTCATTCTTTGTTGGCTGCTGCAGGCATCCACCTGGCGGTTGAGCACGTGCTGTCGGCTCTTTCTGCGTCTCGTAAGGAAATCTCGACGACTGAGGAAATCGTATCAGTAGCAACGATCAGCGCCAACGGTGACGCGCAGGTGGGGGCGCTGATAGGCGAGGCAATGAAGAAGGTGGGCCGTGAGGGAACGATAACTGTCTCGGAGGGGAAGGCGTTGCAGCACGCGCTGGAGGTGGTGGAGGGGCTGCGCTTTGACCGAGGGTACCTCAGCCCTTACTTCATTACGAACGCGAAGGAACAGAAGGTTGAACTGGACTCCCCATACGTCCTGCTGGTGGACAAGCGACTGTCGCAAATACAACAGCTTCTCCCCGCCCTCGAATTCGTCTTGCAGAACCAGGCAGCCCTCCTCATCGTTGCAGAGGACGTTGAGAGGTACGTATACCCCAATTGAAGGCATGCAAGCCATGGAAGTTCGAAAACACGGGGCCTCTTTCCTCTTCAACTCCCCATGCGTCACCTTCAGCCCTCTGATCTCTTGGAGCTGGCTTTGGCTCTCCTCCCCTCCTTGCCACTCCATATGGACAGCCTCTTACCCGTGTCCGTGCGAAGCGTTGTGTGTCTCCGTGCATGCTGTAGATTTTTTGGGCTTTGGGGGGCCCTTCCCATGTGCAAGCGTTGCGGTACCGCGCACATGCTTGCGTTTTTGATTTATCGCATATTCCTCGCTGTAGGAGGCTGAGGGAGGTGGCTGGGGTGTCCATGCGTCTTCTTTCTGTATCTCTTGCCTGCAAAGCGCGGCGAGACTATTTTGTTTGCTTGCGTTAGGCGGTGCAGTCGAGATTTCAGGTGTGTAGTCTCCGTTCACTGCTGCTACCTTGAGGGGCGTCTATCAGCTGTTCATTTGTGTGTCCATACAGAAGTTGCTCTATGGGCAGCGGGGGATAGATACGCGGCGTCTGTGCAGCACCTCGCGCATGCCCTTATTGCTTGCTTCTGCATGCAGCGAGGCTCTCGCGACTCTGGTGGTCAATAAACTTCGCCTGGGTCTCCGCGTCTGTGCAGTGAAGGCCCCCGGCTTTGGAGACGGCCGCAAAGCGCAGCTCTACGATCTGGCCACCCTTACGGGGGGCAAGGTAAACCCTAAGCCTTGTCCTGGTGTACCTGCTCACGAGGGCTTAACTACCCGTGCTCCGGAGCTGGAGACTAAGGGTCGAGGATGTATGGGCAGCTTGTTCGTGGACTGGTTGGTTGCTGCCCTTTGCTTCGAACGTATACGTGCAGAAGCTTTCTTCTGGTTTTGTATGGTGCTGCAGGTGCTCAGCGACGACACACCGTCCATTGGAGAGGAAAAGACAGACATTGTGGGGATGCTGGGACGCGTAAGGGCTGCACAGACACCTCGTTTGCACAGACGCGTCTCAGTGATCATCTGACCAGTTTGATGAGGAAACGCTTCCCCCTTTTCTACGCATGTTGCATGTATGCACAAGAATAATGAGTGCACATTGGTTGTACCTGCCTTTACCGTGTGTGTCAACCTACACACGTCTAAAGTACGTGTTTACTCCCCCTTCCATGAACCATTAAATTTGAATGTTCACACGGTTGTATGGTTAGCAAAGGAAAAAGCACTTCAGGAAACGCACGGTCATATAAAGAAGAGCAAGGCAAGGCCATTGGGGTTTGAGTTGCACAGGCGAAGAGCGTAGTGGTGACGAAGGATTCTACGCTGATGATGGAAGGCAACGGGTCAAAGGCGGACATCTCCGAGAGATGTGAACAGCTGAGGAACCTCATCAAACAAACCTCCTCAGGCAGGTGGAACTGTCAGTGTGCGGGCGGTTTTGCTTTGCTCGTCGGTCTCTGCGTGCGCGTGCTAGTGGATGCGCGTTCTGTTGATATGCGCTTGTGGGAGAGAGCCGCATCTCACGTTTGGTTTGTTTTTCTTCGGACTGGACTGCCGTGCTTTATTTTACTTCTCAGTGGTTTAGGAAGCATTAGGGACCATTCTTGCGTTTCAAAGGTCATATGGATCTTGTGCTTGTTCCCTACCCCATACTTCTGTTTGCTCTTTTGTACGTACATTTGCACTCCTCTGTGCATGTGCATGCGTATATGTATATAAGCATTAAATTGCGGATATGTATGTGTGCATTGCCTAAATTACATATATGTGCCTTTGGCTGCAGAGTATGAGAAGGAGAAGCTGCAGGAGCGGCTTGCGAGGCTGACTGGTGGTGTGGCGGTGATAAAAGTGGGCGGGGCATCTGAAGTGGCCGTAGGCGAGGCGAAGGATAGAATTCAAGATGCCCTTTGCGCCACAAGAGCTGCCGTTGAAGAAGGCATTGTTCCAGGAGGAGGCGTTGCTCTTCTCTATGCTTCGCAGGTGCTGCTGCTAGTGTTGCTGCCTGCTGTTTGTGTTCATGTTGCTGGTATTGCTACTTCTGTTGCTGATGGTGGTGCCGTTAGTTGCTATTGTTCCTTGTTATGCTTGTTGCTGTTTGCTCTCCTGCTTGTGTAGCTGTTCGTGTCTGTTCGCTGTTGCCCCGAGCTGCTTGTAGTTTTTGTTGGTCGTGTGCAGTTCACTCGGCTTTTTTCTTGGGTTTTTGGTTTTGGTTCTGTAGCGCTGCGTATTTCGTGTGTTGCGCATGCTTTTGTGTGCTGGGCATCTTTTAGGAGTGTTTGCGGATGCTGGTGTTTCGTTGTTGGATGCCTTGAGGTTGTGTGTTCCGCTTGCTGGGGTTTAGGGCTTGAAGGACTTGAAGGTAGACAACGCCGAGCAGCGGATGGGCGTGGAGATTGTGGAGAAAGCATGCCAAGTACCGTGCAAGCTCATAGCAGACAACGCAGGACACGAGGGGGCGGTGGTGGTGGGGAATTTGTTGCGCCTCAAGGACGAGAAGATGGGTTTCAATGCACAGACAGGCTGCTACGTCAACATGATTGAAGCAGGTGGGCATACACTGCGGTGCATGCGAGCAACACCCGGCACAAAGAGATACACGAACTCAAGGCAAAGTAAAGGAGACAGCCCGGCACAGACGATTCTGAATAAAAAGCGGGGGAACGCCTGGCACAACGGGAGGATTTGCAGGCGGCTTGGGCTCACAGCACACAAATGACACGGAGAGCGAGAAAAACTCACCTACATGAATCTGGTGACTCACTGAGGGACAGAGACAACGCGGAGAGGCAGGCATTGCCGCTTCTTCCCTCGGAAAACACGTGTGGAGATGGACGGCAGGAATGTGGTGGCAGTGTAACTACAGCTTTTTTTGTTTTAGCAAAGCCGCATTTGCATCCGTAGGTGCACTGCCTTCGCCTACTTAGTTGTTCTGATGGTTTTGCCGGGCGCTAATGCTATGATTGTTGTGTATAGGCATTATAGACCCAACCAAAGTTGTTAAGACTGCTTTGAGCGACGCCTCTTCAGTGGCTTCCCTCATGGCGACAACGGAGGCCTCCATCGTGGACGCCCCCGAGAAGAACCCGCAGCAGGCAGAAGGAATGGGGGCCCACGGGGGGGGCATGCCTATGGGGGGAATGTTCTAAAGGTCTCAAAACCCCAAACCCTGGCGTAGACACACCGTAAGAAGCGCGGTGCAACACCAAACCCACACAAGCACACAGCAGTGACGCTGCTGGAGCAGCGCCATGTGCAGCAGCAACGGATGAAGCACCGGATGCAGAAACGGCTCCACCAAGAAGGGGCGCCGCAGAATAACCACAGCTGCTTCAGCTGCAGCAACAGTTTCAGCTGCAGTAGCAGAATTGGTCTCAGCCACAGCTGCTGCAGAAGCTCGGCTGCAGCACCAGAAATAGTTTCATCTGTAGCAGCAGCAGGAAATAAGCCCTCGTGAGAGGCCAAATATCCAAACCATTTTTGGCAGTATGGGGTGTATGGCCACCTTATATATTCGGGGTGTACGTACACATCGGACAGACAGATCATCTATTTCCTCTTACAGCGGAACCCAGTCTCTACCCGCCAGACCGTAGACAGGATGTCAAATCCTGACCTTTCTAGAGCCAAACGCCTTAACTCTCCTTGGGAGCAAAATAACAGCGGTACAGCCCTAAACGCCAAAGCATAAAACGCTTCCTTGAAAACAATCCCTAAAGCTAATCCGCAAGTTCCTGGGCCACCGGCCCAGGATGCACTCTTCAAAGGGCCCCCTCGGGCCCTTTGCTGGGGGCCCTCATCCGCGATGAGGACACGCTAGTCTACTGTAGCCCCTGGAGCAACGCGCTCGAAGTATCTACTGGTGGGGCTTTTTCTTAAAGGGCCCCAATCTTCAATGCCCCTGGAGGGCTTGGGAGCCCTAGACGGGCTGAGCGGAATACTCTAGGGAGGCTTTTAAAAGGGGCCCCTAACTCGAGGGCCCCTCCAGACGCCCCATTCAGATGTTGGCCCTCAACGAACATGCAGGGGCTCTGTGATATATGGCACCCCTGTCGGGGGCCCCCGTGATTCGAGAGACCCTAATAAATCGGGTTTTGGACACACTGGTGGCCCTGGCTGCCCATGGCTTGGCGGCCTATCTATGGGGACCCCTATCTAGGGACCTCCATCTCACTTGTTGGGGTGGGCTCCCTGAGGGCAAAACGCCCCCTGAGTGTCAAGGAACAATCGCATGCCTAAAGGCAAAACATGGGGTTTGCTAGTGAGCTTTGAACCATTGCAAGAAATAGAACAGAGCGCCGCCTGCACGCCCTCACAGAACCAACGCAAGCTCTAAACCTAAAACCTAAACCCTTAACCTCAATACGTTGGAGGAAGCCTCTGGATGACTCCGCTGTAGCGGGCTAAGAGTTGGAGTTTACGAGACGAACCTGCAATGAGGCCGAGGATAAGAGAGCCGCTGACGCCATCTGAGCAGACGCCCCAAACCTTAAATCATAAACTCTAAGCCCTAGACCTTACCACTTATCGCCATAGCTCCTAATCCCCTGCATATCTTACCGTATGCTGCACGATCCAGGATGAGACTATGCAGAGACAACGCGGACAAGTTGCGCGGCTCCTGAACGCCCAAACCCTAAACCCCAAACGCATCATCCCTATACCCTGCGCCCTAAGGCCTCTCCAGCTAAAACCGTGCACCCGTCTCCTCTCCGTTAAGGGCTTAAAGCTCACGGTTTAGTGTTCATGGAATACGGATACGTGATTAGGGTCTACGCACCATTCGAAGAAGGGCCTCCACCCGGCGCTTAGCGAGAGAGTAATGCCCCAGCTTCAAATACACCAGCGCAAGCTGGAAAAGACAGTCCGACCTGAAGCGCAACCGTAGTCCCTAAACCCTAAACCCTCAATTTTAGGCTTTTGAGTTGCTTGCGGAGGTGTCGGCCCTGCGCTAAAACTCCCCGTTCCACACGCCTATGGCCTAAACGCCAGCCCCTCAATCCCAAATCCCCCGCGTATGCCCAGTGCACTAAACCCTAAATCCTAAACTCCACCCCGCATCGAACCTGCAGAAGCCGATCTCAAGGAGTTCTGTGAGGAGATCTGCGGAGTCCTTTAAGTCCTTTACGTTGGGAGAACAAATCAAAAGAGAGGCAAATTCAAACTGCAACCGCGGACAGGGACAGCCGCTTTCTAGTTGCTGCGCGCAAGCCGCAACCCGTACACTTTAAACTCGAAAAGGAACTTATGCACGTAAATACATGTTATATTTTACAGGCATGCATATTTCCGGAAATCTGCAAATATACACACCCTAGGCCCGGGGATGTCTATGCGTAAACTACATATTAGTATGCATATAGACACGTCCATATATACAATGCATATATGCATATATAATGATGAACGACTACTAACATACATAAAGATACATATGTATATATGTATACAAATTTAGATATGAACATGACTGAAGATCCTTAAGTCACCAGTTCAAATCAAGTACAATGTATGCGCATCCGCAAAAATACGGACATCTTTGTTTTTACATGTGTGCCCCAAAAGTGGCAGAGGGGGAGAGAAAGAGTATCAGGGCACAAGGAGTGAAGAACAGAATATAACGGAGAAAATCAGGTAAAGGCAACGAGAGAAAGACGCCACACACAAGCACAAAGTGACGGCCGGAGGCAACAGATACACACAGCAACAAGAGTTGAAAGAGATATACACAGGCAGGCGAAGATAAGCAATCAAAAGGCACGGGAACACAAATGGACATGTAAAAAAACGCACGGAGGTAGCTGAGCAACATGCGAGAGATACAGAGAAGAGCAAACCTCAGTGGCCCTACTTCAAGGTATTTGGCTCTTAGGGCTTCCGTCTCAGCCTTGAGGTCAAAGCTCAAGGCTCCGCTCATCTTCGGTCCCCGAGCCAAAACCCTAAACCCTCAACCCTCGTCACGAAAGCCCAGACGCGCCATGCGCTGGGAGAAGGGTTTCCGCGCAGTCTTTGGGCTGTCTGTTTGCCTTGGAACGGGAAGACGAGGCGTTGCAGCTTTCCAAGAAGCTGCTTGAGGCTGGGGTGTACCTACACCTGGTGTGGCTAGGCGAATGCAGTTGTCTGTAGCTACAGAAATGTGTGGCTGCGGAGAGTCACCCACAAGCCTGAACCCGCGGGCCAAGGCTCTGAGCGCTAGTCCCTGAACGCTAAACCCTTAAGGTGTGGTGAGTCAAAATCAGCAAAAAGCCTCCAGAAAAGGCGGAAGCACCGCTGGCGATTTGCCATTGAGCTACCATCGGGTTGCTTTCAGCCCCAACGACTCGCGTGCAGCGAACAGCCGCCTTTGGCGTCCGCCTCTAGAGATATTCGAATAGAGATTGCAAATTAGCGGATGAAAGTTATAAGCATACATGCAAATACAAAAGGCGGAGGGAGGAGGAGGGCGTCTTCTTTGAACGTCTCGGGAGAGCTGCCGAGACACCTGAAAGAGCGTCTACGAGTGTAGATACTGCTCGTTTCTTCTTCGCACGTCTTCATTTACGTCTGACAGTTTCCTTATTCTGCTTCCCTATATTTGCTGCATTTTTTGCAGCAACTCGTTCACTTAGGCGACCCCTCACACAGGCACACGAATCAACCCACCTGCAGCCGAAAATCTCAAGTTCCCCAGTACACATTTCAGGTGCATAGACACCTCGCAACAAAATGTTGGGTGTCGCGACAAGGGGCATCGGGAGACGTCCTTCCGCAGCCACAACAACAACAGCAGCCAGGTCTCTCAGCGTTGGGTGCTGCCAAACAGTCGCAGCAACAGCAACAGCAACAGCAGGAGCCCCTCGTCATTTTTCGGGAGTTAAGTTTCTAGACCAGAGACGGACAGGGGAGGAGACGGTGTACTTCAAGAAGGAAGGTGCGGCTGTTTGAGTGCTGTTGTTTGCCTGTGCTTCTTCTCCTGTCTCTGCAAATACTACTGTCTAGATATAGTCTGCATCATTGCCACTCTCTCTCTGCTGCTGCTACTGTGTGATGCTAATTTTGCTGGTGCCGTTGCTACTTCTATTGTTGCTGCTGTTGCTGCTGCGCTGTAGACGAGGCGTTGCTGCGTCGTCTGTTGGCGAAGCATCCGGAGGCGGATCCGAAGTTCCAGTCAGGGGGCGGTACTGCGTCATTGGAGTCTCTTAGGGGTTCTTTGTCTCTCTGTATATCCAAGCATTTCAAGCAGCAACCTCCAAAGGCACTTCTGGATGAACTGCCGACAATATTCGCTAGCCACGGCTGGCAGCCTCCCGAAGACGTCAAAACCCTTCTCCGCTCCCTCCAGACACAACCCGGAGGCGCCAGTTAGCTATCTGGCTAGCTAGCGGAGTGGCTGGCTAGCTGACTAGTTGGCTAGCGGCAGTGCGAGGTAGCTAACGAAAGACCGGCCTAGCCCGGAACAGTCAGCGTCCAATCCACAGGCGAAACCCCACGCCCCGCTCCCTGAGACATAGTGCCAGAAGGCTGTATTCACAGCTAACTGGCTGTGGGTACAGCTGGATGGCTGTGTGTACAGCTGGATGGCGGTGTGTACAGCTGGCTGGATGTACAGCCAAACTGCTGTATGTGCAGCTATGTGACAGCATGTACAGCGTGGTATTACAGCTACCTGGCTGTATGCCCAGCTAGCTAGCGGTATAGCGGAACAGCTTTCTGGGAGGAGACGGCAACGGTGGGGTCTTTTGCTTAGGAATTCCTGCATCTCCTTTCCGTAGTGCGCATGGACTATCAAGTGCTGCTCGGTTTGTCGTTATCTCCTGCGACGTACGAATATCGCAGTTGCGTATTTTGGGGGGTTGCAGTCTCCTGCCAGGCCTTTCCTCCCCTTCATTTGCTTGGCTGCCGATTGGAAACAGACAAAAGGACCAACAATAGACGAGGAACAGCAAATGGAAATTGCACGGAAGAGATAGAAAGGAGCGGGGACACCCGGAGAGAGACAAAACCAACAGCGGCAAGCGGGGCAATGAAAAGATACAGTGGAGCAGAGGGTAATAAGCAAACACAAGCAAAAATACAGAACAAACATAGGCAAACACACACAAAAAGAAAGAAAGAAGAGGATGACACAAACCAAGGCAAGATGCATACAGACGGAAACATACAGAAGCAAACAAGGAAAATACAGAGACAAAAACAGAGACGGAAAGGGGAGCGCCGATTGTCTTAGAGGAGTAGGAATAGGAACACAAATAAACAGTGACACAAACAGGAACAGAGACGGAGGCAAAAAGCAAGATAGAAAGTGCCGTTCTTCTTAAGCAACAAACAACCCCAGGAAGAGCGGGGGACAGTGGCAATCGGACACTGCCGCTAGAAGAGTCGTTTTAAGGGGAAGGGGCCAATGGGAAAAAGGGAAACAAGAAGAGAGACATATCAAAGAGCCGGACGGGCAAATACAAACAGGGACAAATAGGCAGAAGCAAAGGCAAACATACAGAGACAAGAAGACAGCAAACGAATGAATACGAATGCAAAAACATTTAAAGGAAACGACCAAAGGCAAAGAGAAAAACATTGGATTTGGCTCACCTCGACGTCTATCTCGCTTGTCGCCGCTGGCACGCCCAAGTTCCAAGGCAAGAAGGGAAGCAATTACGGGCAGAAGCAGGGCCAAACAAAAGCAAAGAGACAGGAAATGTCTCTCGTCTTCCTGCTGTCTATAGAGTTAGTACCTTCACATTTTTGCATTTAACAATATGCAAAGGTGCTAGTATATATGTGTATATATCAATATCCATATACGTACTTAGATGCGTATTACCTATGTATGTGCGTATGTACATATATATCACTGTGCAATATAACAATTACAGGGACATGTAATCCTATATATATATATATATATATATATATATGTACATCCACATGTGAAGATCGCTGGTGTGGAGGAGCGTATACACCGCGGCGCGTGCACTATCTCCACCGGTGTTGCTGTGCTACAGAGCCGCATGCAGCCCCCACACTTGGAGTATTTTGGTGCTCTCAGGAATAAGGCAGTGTTTAGGGGCCCTCTTGGCCTTTTGTTGCTGTGTGCGGCTGAGGGCCTCAAAGGACTGCAAAATTTAAGGCTTTAGTTATGCTCCACGGAGACTGCCGGGCAAAGCACAGAAGCAAATACAAAAACAATGTGCAAAAACAAGGCCAGAGCGGCGGTCTCAGGGGACCCTAGCGGGGCCCCTAGGGGCCACTCGGGGTGCTGTGGTGCTGTGAGGCCCCAACCCCTCGGGCTTCCCAACAGCACCCCAGTTTAGGGGCCTCCAGGGCCTCGCAGGGTACCTAGGGCTCGGATGCTGCTTAGAAGCAAATGCCGTATTTCGTGCAGCAGCTGCAGCTGGAGTTGCTGGTGCAACTTTAGCTTGCGCTGCAAAACCCCCATCCAATCCTGAAGTGAAGCGAGAAGGGGTCCCGCATGCTGTTTGAGTTTACTGGCAGGGCGGAAGTCTGAAAGGAAAACGTGCAAAAGCAACAATAGCGCGTCGCGCAGAGCGACCCCCCAGTGCTGCTGCTGCTGTTGCTGCTGCTGCTGCTGTTGATGCTGCTGCTTTGCGTCTCTGCCTGAATTGTGGAGCGGCAGTTGGAAGACAACCTCTGGGGAGAGGCGGACCATGAAGAGGAAAACCAAAGCGTCATGGAAAGCGGCGGTGTGCTGCAGCAGCAATACAGCACGCGCTGCTGCTCGACGCACGGGGGGCCCTTTTGACTTGCGGGGAGACCCACAGACGGAGGAGACCTCATTCGCTGCCTGTGGCTGTGCGATGCGCATATCCAGACGGTCGCCTGTTGCTGCTGCTGCTGGTGCTGTTGCTCCGGTTAGAGAAACTAAAAAGTGCAAAAGGGCTGCTACCAACTGCAGAGGCAACTGGCGCAGCAGTAGCGGCGCCACGAAATCCTCCAACGACTCCTTATCGCTTCCTCCAAATGCCCGTGGCTTCCCAGGTGAGGAGCCTGCAGCAGCAGCAGCAACGGCAAAAACAAAATGAGACTATATAAGCGTAAGAGCGCAAGAGCGAGTCGATAAACACCAGCCATAGCGCGCAAAGCAGCAGCAGCAGCTGCTGCTTTTGAAAGTGCGTGGTTGTCAAGCAACAGCAGCAAAATTGGCAGAATGCCCTCCTTGTGCCCCATCATACGCGAGCGCCGTATGGATCTAAAGCATCTAAAGAGCCGCACCTGGGGGTCCGTTGGCAAATAGGGGGGCAAGGCATTGCCTTTCGGCGGCTGCCGCTGCCGCTGATGTTGTTGCTGCGCCTAGACAGCCGAGCTGTGAAGACAGCAAGAGCATCTCAGCGGGGCTAAGGCTCCACTGCAGGCGGGCGGAACTAGCAGCAGCAGCTTCAGCTGCCCTGTTAGTGTTGCGCTGCAGCAGCTGCTGCAGCCGTGGCCGCAGGGAAGCAGCAAGAGCTCCAATAAGCTGCATCAGGAGGGGTCCCTCTACGCCTGGGCCTAAGGTGTGCTGCAGCAGCAGCAGAACGCTGCAAAGTAGGCGTGGCGGCAATTTCTGCTGTCTCCTGCTGCTGCTGGTGTTGCTGCTGCCGAGAGAGTTGCACACAGAGTCCACCAAAGCAGCAACAACACCCGCTTCCTGCAAGCGGAGGTTCAAGAGCTCCTCTCCCGTCTCCAGCAGCAGTAAGCCTGAAGCTCCTACAGATCTTCTGCTGCTTGGCGCCCCCAGCAATGAAATCTGCTGCCGTGCAGAAATACACCGCTGCAGAAACTGCAGCAGCTGCAAGCAAACGATCGACAAACAGAAGCAACAGTAACAATAACACAATAAACGACGCACTCCGCCACCGTAGCTACCGCCGTTGCGACTAATGCTGTTGCTACAGCAGCTGTGGCTGATGCTGCTACTGCTGCATGGAATATAGGGTTACCAGGCTGAGAAGTGCCTGCTGCAAAGAGCAGAGGCGCCACAAGGCGCTGACTGCAGCAACCACTGCACCGAAAGGTAGCGGAGGGGCGGCAGCAGCAGCAGCAGCAAACCCATCTGGTGTGCAGGTACACGCTGCTGACAGCAGTTGTAGCAGCAGCAGCACTCGATGCAGCAAAAGATTGCCGCAGCTACGCCCAGAGTTGTTGACGCTGAGAAGCGACCCCAAGTCCCCAACACCGTCGTCCCGCTGCTGCTGCTGCTGCTGCTGCCGCAGTGACGGAGGCTTCTGTTGAGGCCTCCGCGCACCCAACGCAGCAGCAAAGTTCAGCAGAGATGCAGCAGCAGCACCATGAAGAAGGCATTCCAGTGCTACTGCCAGATGAGCGGGAAGAAGCAGCGGCTCCACCGGCTTTCTGCTGCTGTTGTCAGGAGGGGAAATGAAGCGGGTCCAAGCTGCAGCCGTCGCTGCAGTGGGATGCCCCGCAAACAGCAGCAGCAGCACCTCGCCCAGCGCATGGAGCAAACAGCTGTTACGATATTCCTGTCTGTTTTGCTGCAGCAGCAGCGACTGCTGCTGCTGCTGTCGCTGCTGGTGCTGCTCGTCTCCGAATGCAGAGTCAGCATGTTGCTGGTGTTCCTGCCAAAAATGGTTGGTGTCTGCTAGGGCTGCTGCAGAGATGGAGTGTACAGACAGATGAGAGGCATTCATCGGACTGCTGCAACAACTGCTCGATGGGCGCTGCTGCTGCGGCTGCCGTCGAAATTGCGGGGGTGGGGAAAGGAGGCCACAGACTTTGCTGCGACCCCTTCCTCTGCTGCCTGCAGGGCTGGCAGAAGCAGCAGCAGCTGCTGCTGCTGCTGTTGCTGCCGCACTGTGGCGCCTCAAACTCGGAGGAGTCCGCTGGTGTGCGGTGACAGGGCAAAGAGCAGCAAGACTGCGGCAGCGCAGCTGCTGCAGCAGGAGCAGAGCAGCGGCTGAGAACAGCCCTACGGCCATTCGCGGATCAGTAGGTAGCAAGATGGGCTGCTGCAGCTTCTGCTGTGTGTCCTTTGCGCCATACAGTTGCAGGTGCCCAGGTGGGAGAGGTGGCAGCAGCGGAGGCAGTTGAAAGGGAGATCCCCCCGAGAAGGGAAGCGGGACTTCTGGGAGCCCCTCCGCCTCCAGCTTGGCCTTGGACTGCTTAAAATACTTTGAAGAAGAGTCGTACGACAGCCTCAGCAGACACACTGTAAGTGCTGCTGCCTCCCGAGGCACCCCAAACGAATTCGCAGCACCGACACCCACGGGCTGAGACGCACCACAGCCAGCAGGCGCAACAAGAGTAGCACAACCAACAGCAGTACGAGCAACAATCTACGTGCGACAAATAGGCGGCATCTGATAGCTGACCCTAGGCATGCCAGGTGAATCAGGTGTAAGTAATTCACGCTCACCTGGAGGCACAACACAATAAACAGCCACAGAGAAGGAGACGCCCACAAATAGTCAGCGGCAGCCTTCTGCGCAGTTGCAGCATCAGAAGATGCTGCTGCTGCAGTGCCCAGTTGGATACCCTGAAGCGTTTGCAGCAAGTCGTCATCCAGTTGCTGCTGCTGCTGTCGCTGCCGCTGCAACTCCTCCCTCTGCTGGAGTAGCAGCAGCAGCACTGATGTCTCTCCTGGAAGCTGCTTGGCGACCTGCAGCGCCGTCTGTTCGTGCAGGATGACAAATAGTCGCAGCAGGAGCAGCAGCAGCTCATGGACAATATCACCGATAGCCCTCGGATAGAACCCAGCAGCAGCAACACCTGCTGCTGTCGCTCCTGCTGCTGGTACAGCTGCAGTGTGCCTGCTCCGCCGGTTGTCACGCTCCTCTCCGCAGCAGCACGGGCGGCTGCAGCTGATGCACGGCGGAGGCCGGAGCAGCAGCACTGCCGCCGCCTGCACTAATGCCTCTACATGCCGCAGCAAGACTATTGACTCAGCGTCAGCTCTAGCTGCTGCTGTTGGAGCAGCAGCAACAGCGCAGTTGTTGCTGCCAAGGAACGGCCCGGGCGTGTCGGCCCCATCGAGAAGCGTCAGCAACAGCTGCAACGCTCTGCAGCACTTCGTTATTTCCTGGACGCACACTGAGGCCCCCTCAGCTGGTGCTGCTTTTGCTGCAGCAGCAAACGCACCAGCTGCGTCTTGAGTGCCCGCCGCTGCAACAGCAGCAGCAGCGGCAGCAGAGAATGCTGGGCCGCCTGCCGCAGAATGAAAAGGCAGCAGCAGGGGATGCGGCCGAGGACACACCGCCTCAACAATGCTGCTCAGGATGCTGCTGCTGCTTCTGGAATCGCTGCTGATCTTTTGGTTGCATGCAACAGCAGATGCGCCCGTCTGATCGATCTGCTGCTGGCGCTGCTGTGGTTGCTGCAGCAGCTGCAACAAAGAACCCGAGTGAGTTTGGGCAGAGCAGCACAGGAGTTCAAGAGCTGCAGTGAGACCGTTTAATGCAGTCTTGTGGGACGCAGCGCCTAGATGACTGGTGGTGATGCTGCTGCTACTGCAAAAACTCAGCAAAGCAGCAAAGGTGCGGTGCACGAATGATTCACTTGCGACCCACTCGTCCAATGCGGCAGCAGCAGCGGCGGCAGCAGCAGGCGTCGCGTACCCCGCTTTTATTCCAGCTGCTGAGATACCAATGCTGCAGTTGCTCGGGCTGCTGCTGCTGCTGCTAGGTCTGCTGCTCCAGCGCAGCGTAGATAGACACTGGAGTGCCTCCGCCACCTCCCTGCAGCTCGATGGGCAGCAGCAGCAAAAGCCTCCCGGCAGCAGACCCTCTCGCACCAATAAGCGCTGGCAGATTTCAGAACAGGTCCAAGAGTAGATGCGCAGCAGCAAATCTTGCTGCTGTTGCTGGTGCAGCTGGTGTTGCTGCAGCTGGTGTTGTTGCTGCTGCTGTAGCAACTGCTCCAACAGGCCGGATGCCATTTGAAGACAGCACCGCAAACAACGCCAAGCGGCCACGCGGACCGCCGGATTGGCCTTGCCCATAAGCGAAAACAGCAGCTTTACCTGAGCCTCCAAGAGGGTCTGCTGTTGCTGCTGTTGGTAGTGGAGTTGATGCAGCTGGTAGTGGTCCTGTGCGGGGCCTGCTGGGCTTGATGCTGCTAGCTCCTGCCACTCCGCTGCTGCCTCAGCAGCAGCAGCAGCAACGACAGCAAATGAGTTGTGAGCGACGCAGACCGTCAGAGCCTCCAGGGCATCCGCTAGGGGCTGCTGCTCCTGCATTGATGCCTCATCCTCTGCCGCCAAGCGCGAGTGCAGGTGCAGCAGCTGCTGCAGCTGCAGTTGCAGCAGGATGTTGCTGCGGCCGCTGCTGCTGCTGCCGCTGCTGTTGCCAAGGCCTGCTGCGAAGACCGTCGAATCAAGTGCCAACAGCTCGCTTGCCTGCGCTCGAGGCAGGCAAATCCTGATGCTGCTGCTGGTACTGCAGGGGCGTGGAGGGAGAGAATGCGGCAAAGCAACAGCAGCGAGCTGCAGCGCCGCCCGGCGCAGCAGCGGTAGCTGCGACGACACCCCAAGGAGGCTCCCACAGAACTGAGAAAGGTTCGGGAGGATCATCCATCTGCTGCAGCAGTCGCATTCACTGCTGATGATGCTCAAGTTGGTGCTGCTGCTGCAACTGCAGGGTGTCCCCGCAGGAGCCGCCGCAACTGCTGCTAGAGGTAGCAGCTCTGTCAGCAGCTGCGTGCCCAGCAGCAGGAGGTCGATTTCGCTACTGCAGACTGCAGCAGCACCACCAGAGGCGGGCTGTTGTTGCATCAGCTCCTCCAATCCCACTGCTGCTGCTGCTGCCGTTTGCTCCTCCGCCCCCAGCATTGTCTCTGCCACCTGCTGCGCCAGCTGCTGCAGGTAAGGATAGGTGTACCGTTTCACTGCAACAGCAACGGCCCGTAGGCCCTTGGCAGCGCCAACAGACAGAGCGCAGCAGCAGCAGCGCGTCGTTGCTGCTGCCGCTGCAAGTCCTCCCCGGCGGAGGCAGCAAATAGCAGTAGCAGCAGAATCTCCCGGAAGCTTCAGCGCTGCCGTAATCCTTTTGCAGTACTGCAGAGCCTCGGCGTAGGTAGTAGCATCGGACGGCGGGTTGCCGCCAGCAGGAGCAGAAGGAGGACTCGAAGCAGAAAGAGCAACTGGGAGTGTGCAGTAGCTATCACCTAGCCACTGCTGTTGCTGCTGCTGCTGCATGCGCAGCGGTGGTAGGGCCCCCTGCAGCAGCGGAGGGTGTGACAAGACGCCCAAGAGTTTCTTCAGCGTGGGGTGTACAGGCAGGAGCAGCTGCTGCGCTGTCTGGCGAGACAGGCTAAGATGAATGAGAGCAAATTCAGTTTTATTATTGGTGCCTTCAGGGGAAGGCTCTGACAGCGCAGACCCCATATACACAGACTGCGAACGACAGAGACACACACTGCATTCGACTGCTGCTGTAACTGGTGCTGTGGTTGCCGATGCTACCGTTGCGGCAGCAGCGCCAGTGGAAGCAAGGGGACTGGAAGGGGAGCTGCTCCGTGTGCTGCTGTCTTCTACCCCGGGTTCATCTTGCTGCAGCACTGGCGCTGTAGCGCCTCCAGCGGTAAAGGCTGCAGTTGCTGCTGCGGCTGCTGCTGCTGCTTTAAGAGCGCGAGGGTCGCTGGCTAGCTGGCTAGCCACGAAAAACGCCAAGTCTTCGCTGCGGCTAGCCCACGCAGCTTGTGCTGCAGTGCAGCAGCTGAAGGTCTCCGTTTCCACAGGCAGCTCGACGCGCAGAGACAACCACGTCGGCAGCACCAGCCGCGGCTTGTGCTGCTGCTGCGTTTGCTGCTGAGGCTGCTGGGCTCGCAGCAGCGCCTCCACCTGCGGAGCCATCGGGCAAATACGGTGCGGCAGCAGCAAAGACTGCTGCGGGTGAAACAGTAGCACAGCGCACAGCTGCAGACAGGCGAGAGACAAGGCCTCTTGTTTGGAGAAACACAGCAGCAGCAATGCGTCCCCGAGCAGGTGTCTGTACACCTCCAGTACGGGGTGCAGCAGCGGATCTTTGGGAGGCAGCAGTAGAAGCGGAAGCGACAGCGCACGAGCTGCTGCTGTCAGCAATGCGTGCTGCTCCTGCTGCTGATGCAATAGAGGCAGCTGCAGCAGCTCCTGCAGTTGCTGTTGCGGATGCACTGCAAAGCGCAGCAGCTCCAGTAGAGAGAGGAGCAACGGCTCCTTATCATCATCGCACGCTGCACCGCTCACCTCTGCCGCCGCTGCGGCAGCGGAAGCAGCAGCAGCAGCAGCGGAAGCAGCAATGCCTCCTTTTAATACGTACCCAGGCAGTACAGCTAGCAAGGAGCAGCAAAGGCTGCGCAGAAAAGGCCTCGCATCTGCAGGGCTGGCGTGGAGATACACGTGAAGAGTGTTCAGAGACTCCGCACGCGTGGCGGCGCAGAGGCGCCTATTCACAGCAGCAGCACAAAGCAGCTGCACTTCTGCTTCCTCCAGCAGCAGCCCACAGACCTGCTGTTGCTCCTGCTGCTGCTGTCGTTGCCTCTGCTCTGACCACAACCTCAGGGCCACGCCGACGGGATCCGTCCCCAGAGAAGCAGGCAGCTGCAATAGAGCCTTCAAGGCCGCTGCTGCGCTCTGCCGCTGCTGCAGGGACACAGAAAATAGACGCTGTAGCAGCAGGAGGCGGTAGAGGTGCCCCTGCTGCTGCAGCAAGCAGCTGCTGCGCTCTTCCTGCTGCAATGTTCTGTTGCACTCTTCTAAGAGACAGGGGTCATACATGTCGATGAGGCACGCGCAGGCACGAAGTAACTGCTGCTGCTGCTCTTGCTGCTGCTGCTGCTGCAGCAGCAACAGCAGATGCGTGGCAGCGCTGCAGATGAATCGACGCGGTGCTTCCCCAATGAGAGAAACCGCCTCGAGGAGACAGTCCGGTTGCACCAGCAGAGATGGCCCAGTGGTAATGTGGTTGCATGCAAGGAAGCAGAGCCTGTCGCAAGTCCACTGTTGCGGACATGAGAGCAGCAGCAGCGCGCCAAAGAGATGCGCAGACTTTTCACAGCCACAGGGCAAATCCCTCGCTGCTTCCGCTGCTGCTGCTGCTGCCGCTTCTGCTGTGGTGTGGTCAATAAGGTTTAGCAAGGCAGCGCGTATCCGCCTGCAGCAACTGCTGCTGCTGCTACTGTTGCTTCCAGGCGCCGTTGCGTCGCCCTGAAACCTCTCCAGCAGCAGCACCTGGAGCACATCTGCAACCACTGTGCCTGGGCTGCTGCTGTGTCTGCTTCGGCCTCCTAGAGCATCTGCCATTTGCTTGAACACACACATTCTGCTGCGGCTTCTGCTGCTGCACTCCTTGTTGTCGCTGTTACTACTTGTCTGAAGAGAAGGTGCTGTAGACTGCTGCTGCACATTGGTATATGGCCTTGCAACAAGTGCAGCGGAAAAGGGAGGAGGGGCGGCAGCAAGGCCTTCCACGAAGGTGACGTACGCGGCCATATGAAGGCCGTCTCTAAGTGCCCTTGCAGCAGCAGAGGCAAAGAACTTCTGGTGCAGCTGCCGTTGTTGTTGCAGCCGCTGCTGCTGGTGCTGTTGTTCTAGCTGCAGGTCGACACCACAGGAGTCAAGCAGTAGGGGCAGCAGTAAGGGACGAACAAGGGGAAGTGAGGAGCGTAGCAGCAGCCGCAGCAGCAGCACGTCGAGACCCGCAGCAACAACCCAATCCAGGCGAGGTCGCCCAGGCGGCAACAGCAGCAGCAGCTGCTGCAGCAGATCGATCCATGCTGAATCACACCACCACAGAAGTTGCCAAGTTCACTACTTTTCACGGATGAAGCAGATTGAGAATCAGCTGCAACGCAGAAATAGGCGGCAGGGCAGCGGCCGCAGCGGGAGAAGCATCAGCAGCAAGGGCGGTGCAGCATAGGCGCAGCAGCAGCCAACGGCACAGGAGCAACGGCACGAGACGCAACAGCGGATGCAGAGATGCTACATCCTCAACAACTACCTAAGCAGCATGAAATCCAGCAGCAGCGGCAAGTCCAGTAGGAGTAGCAGCAGGCGGAACAAAAGTAGCACGTCTTTTCTAGCAGCAACAGCAAGTGCAGCGAGTTGTACCGTCCTGGCGATCTGTGAGGGGGCGGGAGGTAAGTTGTGGGTTAATAGTGTTGATGGGGGGAAAAGCGCCGTCTTTGGGGGCCTCGAGCAGCAAAGTTCTCAACGTATCCTCCTGCAGCAGCACTTGCTGCTGCTGGTGCTGCTGAAAGTACTCGGAAGGAAACAGATGCGTTGCTGTTGCCAACAGCTCGTGCCCAGCGTGCAGCAGCTGCTCGTCAGACAAGGGGCACCAAGCACCGGGACTTCCCGTGGTACTACTAGCACTGCTGTTGCTGCAGTGCAGCAAGGCTGCAACGTCTGCTGCAGCTGATATGAGTCCCGACAGCAGCGGCATCACCTGGGGGTGTAGCAGCAGTACGCGTTGCTGCAGTGCAACAGCAAGGATCGGTGATAGGAAAGTGCTGGGCGACGATGCAGGAATGAGGCACCGGCAGCGGCGGTAGGCATTGCGTAGTTGCTGCTGCAGCGGATGCACCTGCTGCTGAAGCTGCTTGCTGTTGCTGCTGCAACTGCGCCGCAACAGCTCAACAGCGTGCCGAGCTAGCTGGCCCGTTGCCGCATCGGCGTAGTATGGAAGGTCCAACGAATCAGTAAGAGGCTCCAGCAAGGCCTGAATGGCAGCAGATATAGTAGCAGCAGCACGTTAAAAGCTAAGTGGAGACCAGAAGACAGCAGCAGCAACATATGCCAGTTGCAGCAGCAGCAGCAACAATACACTGGCATTACGAAGCACTCAGGAGCACCAACTTAAGTGGCAGCTGTAGCAGAAGCAGCAGAAACAGCGCCAACACTACCTCCCGCAGTTTGTGCAAAATTTTCGTTTGCGCCTCCAGAACCGCCACAGCGAACTCGGGAACAGTTGTTGCAGCTCCTGTTGTTGCTGCCTTCCCTGTTGCTACTGCTGCATGGGGTGCAAAGGAAGGTAGTCCCTTCGAGGCGCTGCAGCGCTGTTCTAGTGCCGCAGCTAGTCCCAGCAGCAGGGAGGTTTGCTCCGCCTCACCCTGCTGCCGTTGCTGCTGCTGCTGCTCGTGCAGCAGCAGCAACAGAGAAGGCGGGAAATCCTTGAGGAGGTCATGAGGCAAAGATCTGCACAACTGCTGCACAACCTGAGGCTCCAGAGATACGGACACAAGAGCCAACCTGCAGCAAACAGCAGTGGCAGCACCAGAAGCTACCCCAAGGTGACGATGCATCCATCACCAATACAACAGCATCTGGCGGGAAAGAAGGCACCAAAACGAGCAGCAGCCATGCAGACGCCCCCGGTTTAATACACAGCCGCAGCAACACACTTGGGAAAGAAGCAACAACAGCACGAGCAACAAAGCTAGCAGCGGATGGGACCACAGCCCCAGAACGGGAGGCTGCGGCAGTATCAGTTGCAGAGGCTCACGTTGTGCCTTTGATCAGGCAAATATCTGCCGCGCTGCACAGTTGCAGCTTCCTCTCCAGTAAGCTCAAGTGATAGTTCGCTGTTGCAGCTGCTGCTGCCGCGGGTGCTGCTATTGTTGCCTCTTTGGCAATGGGCGTGACTAAGGGGACCCTTTGGGGAGGCTTTCGTGGCTCAGCAGCAGAATCAGGATCAGCAGCAGCTACAGCAGCACCAAAGCCTGATGAGTGAGCTGCCGCCGCGAGGGGTGATCGGCTGCCGCTTGGCATCTTACGTGCGCACATGCATGCACTGCAGCAGCCGCGGCGGCAGCAGCAGCAGCCCTTCCATGCAGCCAAGACGGGGGCCCGTCTGCAGGGGCTGAAGTGCTCCAGGTGCAGGAGCTGCCGCCGCCCCTACTCCAGAGTCGCTGCTGTTTGCGAACGAGAGCACAAACCTGTTGCTGGTGCTTATGTTGCTGACGCTGCATCTCTAGGTGGTGCTTATTCTGCCGTTACTAGAGCAGCGGCTGTGGTGGTGGTGCTGCTGCTGCACCCCTATGTTGCAGCAGCTGCTGCTGTGCTCATTCGCGCGGTTCATGCAGATGCGTATGTATGGGGCACTGTGGCTGCGGCTAATGATGCTGCAGTACGCTGCAGTGCATGCGCAGCAGCTCCAGCCGAACAACAGTCTACAAGGGGCCCCAAGACAGCAGCTGTACTTCCAACTCCACCTTTTGCGGAGCAGAGGCAGAGGAGACGTTGGAGGCTATGGGAAGACAATTTATGCTGGTTTGTTTTTTTGAGCTGAAATTATCCTCTTTGAACAAAAAGCGGCGAAAAGAAATGCGCTCTCTACTAACCCCACCCCGAGTAACACACCCCACGCACTCGATCTGCCGCAACAACATGAAGCCTCCAAGTGAAAACCCTAAACCGAAAGCCTAGACTCTAAATGCTGGTCGTTTTTTTGTTTATTGTGTGTAGTTTTGCCTTTTTAGGCAGAATAACCAGAGACAGGAAACCCTTAGCCCTAAACCAGTGGCCACTGCAGCTGCGGACGGAGGTTGGGAACGAGGGCCCTCTTTTGCTCTTTTCAGCTACAGCCCCCTCCTTTGCAAAGTGCCTTCATTCTCCTGAGTCTCCAGGGGTTGCATCTACTGGTGTTATCGCCGCAACCCTCGGCACTGCAACTGCTGCTACGGTTGCTACAGCACGTGCTGTTGCTGCTGTTGCTGCAGTTGCAGATAGGAACAGGCGAAATGAAGACGGAAGAGCCCCTGCTGGACCGAGCTGGGGTGTACAGGGAGCTGCAGCGGCTGCTGGCGCAAGACAGCAGCAGCAGCGTGTTGGGGTTGCTACCAGCGGAAACTCGGGATGTGTGGGCAGCTCTGGGTGCTGCTGGCGCTGCAGCAGCAGCAAAGCACGCTCGTGCGGGCGAGACAGCCGAAGTGCAGGAGGAGATGTCGCTGCAGCGGCTGCAGCAGTTGCTGGAGGAAGCAGCATCAGGCGTACCTGTCATTCTGGGCGCCGCAGGAGAAAGAGTCCCCCCGAATTCTGCTGGTTTCCTCCTAAACAAAATTATCCCACAGATACTTGCAGCGAAACCTCCCCTGCAGCAGAAGGATTTCATGGGTAGGCCGTCACGCTTCAGCTCGTGCCCACCAGCTGTACGTACATGGCAGCTGCTGTTCCCAACTCCCCACCCAACTCCCCACCAGCCTTTGTCAAAGACTTGTGGGGCCGTTCAGAGTGGCTGGTGCTTTGTAGACATATATGCTGCCAATAGCACCTCATGAAGCGATTTCAGACACCATACAAGCTTGCAAACAGCACGAACCGTTGTAGTGGAACATGTGAAATAAGCAGCAGCAGCACCAGCAACAGGCCATGCAGGGAGTTGTGTGCCTGTTATTTGCCGCAGGGGAGACGGAGGTACTGCTGGGTTGTCCTGAAGGTTGTATGGACGGCAACCGATGCATCAATAAGCAGCAGGCAAGGGGCTTTCTTTTGCCTCGTTTTATCCCGCTCTCGGCGATTTCCCTGTCTGATTCGCGTGGCTTGCTGCTTTCTTCCCGCTCCGTCTCTCTGTCAACTGCCATTTGTATCGTTGTTCATTTGCTCCCGTTTGCTTGTTGGTCTCAGTCTCTCCGTTTCCCTAGCTGGCTTCCTGTACTTGTTTCCTTCTTTTTGCTCCTCTGTCTGTCTGTCGCCTTCACGTTCTGACTTAGTGCAGTCATCTGCGGGAACCTCTTTGGCAGCAGCAGCGCGCAGTGCGAGTGTATTCTGGACGTGTACCCTTTGTACCTGTCTCTGTGTGTATCTCCACCTCCGTCGATCACTATCTCGGTCCCTGTTTCCAGGTCTATATTGGTATTTTCCCAGAGGCCTCCACCACAGCAGGAGCTCCTCTTGCCCCTTCTTCTCCTCATTACTCTTCCCCGGGTGGTTTGGGGGTCTCTTGCGGCTCCTCCTTGAGCGATACAGTGCGCGCGCACTTCCTGCTGCAGCAGCACCGGCTGCAGCAGCTGCAGCGGAAGATGCTGACGGGGCTCAAGGGGCAGCAGCAAGCAGACATGGACGCAGATGGCGAGCAGCAACAACTGTCCTCAACTCCTTCAGTCCGTGCATACTCCCCGAAAAAGATTCCTCCCCCCATAAGAGCATCCTACCATACACCACCTATCTCTTTCTTGACTTGCTCTGCCCATCTCCTTGGCCTTGTCTCATTCGCTATATATATATATATATATATATATACGTGTGTGTGTGTGTGTGTGTATTATGAATATTATATATCTAGATGTGCCCTTGTGCAACATACATATGTATAACATACAGGTATCCATACACCCGTATGTAAATTCACACATATGTGTATTTATATGGTATGTGCCTACAGCTATGTATATACATACGCATTTGGATGCGCCTTTGGCCTCGTATAGGTTGTGGCTGGTGTGCCGTTTAGGGAGAAATGGTGGTTGTGGGGCGAGTGGCAGGAGAAGGGGCGCGGAAGCTGCACTGGACAAACGCAATCCTCGAGTCCCTTGACGGGGAAACGCCTTTGCAGCTGCTCTGTCTCGAGGCTGCAATGCTGCAGCAGCAACAGCAGCTGCAGCAGTGGGGTATCTCGCGCCTCCGCAGACACACGCACGCACCAGACGCGCTACTGTATCCAGGGATGGTTGTTGCTGCCAAAGGACGCTTTCAACAGGCAAGAAGGAACATTCCAGTGTTGCTGCTGCTGCTGGCGCTAACGCTGGTGCTCTCCTGGGGGGTCCCTCTGCCGGGGGCGGCGGTGGGGATGCCGGCACAGCTGTGGCTTCTGCTGGAATCCGTTCTTTGATTCGGGAGCAGCAAAACCCGCAGCAGTAGCAGCACCAGGGGCGGGGGCAGGTCTGTGTGGTGTTGTTCTTGAGTCACATTTGCAGGATGGCGTTTTTTGTCTTCCCTTTGGTTTTTTGCGGTCGTTGTTAACTAGTTGCAGTTCTTGTGTATCGCCCTTTGGTATTTGTCTTGAGATGCTTGTATATTTGTCAATTCCCTCCTCCTTTAGCTTGGGGCACTGAGCGGACTTGTTGTTCTTCTCGGTCTGCTGCTTTTTTGATTGATTACCCATCTGGCGTGCGTGCGTGTAAGATATTTACGTCTTTTTACTGTGGGTGTCTTGAAATCCTTCGTTCCTCTTTTGCTGCAGGACAGCTACGGGCAGCAGCTCCTCGTCTCCGCCTTTCAGTGCGGCGTTCCCGTGGGGTCGCCGTCGTTGTCTCGGTCTCTCCGGCATTGTGTTCAGGCAGTGTCACTAGACCCAACGAACCCTAGTCGACAACTTTCCACTGCTTTGCAGAGCTGCCCTCCTCAGGAGCAACAGCAGCAGCAACAACAGCAACAGCAGCAGCAGCAACAGCTGCAGCAGGTGGCGGACGTATTGAATTGCTACAGAAATCAAAATGTGCATATTCTCATCTCAAGAGGCTCCTTTGTGGTCCCCTGCACGAATGGGGGCTGGCGGCTGAGGTGCGTCATGTTTGTTTCTGTGTCCGTTGTCTCCTCAGTGTTCATATATGTGTTCATATATGCCTGTGCAGCTGTCTACTGCTTGTTTCAGTTGCTCTTCAGTTCTGTTGCCTTTCTCTCCTTACATGTCTCCTCTGCGCTGCCTTCGCTGCAGTATGATTATATGGTCGTGTCATGTTCCGGTTGTGTCTCTGTTTCTGCTGCCTGCCCTCTCGCATTAATTTTAATTCCCATTGTGCATTTGCCGATATTCATCATTTTGTGATCCCCTGTCATCTGCCTCGCCCTCTGCTTAAATCCTCCGCCTCTCCTCCCGTCTTCCTTGCTGTCTGTCCCTTTCCTGCCTATCGTTTTTAAGGCGTTTCACTTTCTTCTTACCAGGACAAATGTGCACAGAAGAGCAACCAAACGAATGCATTGCAGTCCTTTGAAATGAACAGCTCTTTATAAGCAAAGGCTTGCCATACTTGTGTGAATCAACTGATCCCTGTACATACGAAAACGCAAAGTGGCCAATAATAATGAGGCAGTGGGCACTTATTGCCATAAGGAAGAAATGCAAAACGCATCTAGTTGTTACGGTGTCTAGAGCTGGTAAAACACAAGAAGGCTTTATTTTTGCAGACGCGAGGCCTTGAGGTGCTTGCTAGAGACGATAAAGGAAAAGGTCCCCCACTTGGCGATCATCTGCGGGCCCATCATATCTTCTTTGAATCTGCAGCAGCCGCTTCCTGTCTCTGTCTGCTCTTCTGTCCCTTCTGCGGCCACCTCCGACTTCCCGAAGTGCGCCTCGCTGCTGCAAATGCCGGAGCCCAGTCAGGCGTTTGAAGAATTCTTCCAGTGCTTGTACAGTGCAGCCAGAGGCCTCAAGACGCAGTTTGTAATCGTCCCCAGCACCCGCGACGCCATGCATCCCGAGCCCCTGCCGCAGCCCCCCTACAGTCCCCCGCCCGTGCAGCCGCAGCAGCCGATGCACCAGCAGCAGCTTCTGCAGCAACCAATGAACGTGCACTTGGTTGGGAACCCTTGCACCTTGCAAGTCAACGAACTTCAAGTCCTCATCACCACCGCTGACCCCTTGGCAGAAGTAGCAGGAGAGGTGCTGTCGCTGTCTCGGCCCCAGCCGCTGCAACCCGCAGCAACAGCTGCTGCTGCTGCAGTAGCTGCAACAGCAGCACCGGATAACGACGAAGGGCTTGTGCATCAGCTGTGCCGCAGCCTAGTCCGTCAGGGAACTCTATTCCCTCGAGGCTGCAGCCCCCGAGTGCCCATAGACGCTTCGCGAATGCAGCCGGTGATGTTTAAGGAAGAGACAACGCCCGACGTATTTATCTTCGCCTCTTCCGTGCTGCAACAGCTGCAGCTGAACAAACAGGTGGGGCCTTTTGTTGCCCCCGGCGGGGCTGGGGCTTGTCTCGTTGATGGTCGTGTGTTTGTGTCTCCCTTCTCCAACACGGCGTCCCCTGAGGTGTGTCCTGTGGACAGAGTTTCCATTACCAACATGTATGTAAAACCCCCAGCAGAAGCAGCGGGACAGCCCGGGAGCACTCTCGCAGAAGACCTCTGCCTGAATCAACGCGTTGCCGTTACATACACTGTCTATACACCTCGCAACGCATTGAAGAAGGGCCCCGCTGGGGCCATGCCCTAGTACGTGCAGGTGGCACCGAAATTCCGGGCTGTCCATCGTCCGTTTTTGTGCAGCTGTACCTTTTCTAAGTGCCCCGTTTGATATATTTGTTCACTCGCCGCCTCCACAAAACTGAAGGTGCAGGCCCTTCGATGAAGACAAACCGCACATATAGTCACAACAGGATAGTCAGCAAGGCTGCCCTGGGGGGAAAAAGGGCATTGGCAGTTTCTGGGCTGGAGATAGTCTACAGAGCACCACAAGGTAAATGAGCAGAAAGTGGCAACAACAGCACAGGGAAAAGTCTCAAAAGACAAGGGGATGCATCACCTGTATAGAACAGGCAACAAACAGACCAGCGGGGTCCCCACAACACGTGGCAAGGCATCCAAGTTTTCACAACTCAAGCGAAACATAAAAAGGAGAGTGAGATACCAAAGTCATTCTGTCTCTGATTGTAAACCCGCGGGTGCCTTGTATGCAGCCAGAGGCGTGCCTGCGGGCCCAATGAGAAGGCTCACGGTGCAACAACAAAAGCAAGCTCAGGAGGAAGGGCAGTGCGCACAGCCTCTTGACAGCTGCGTCTGTACAGCGGTGGCTCGCGCAGTACTTGAACGCTGCACTGTATAGTCTGTGGTAACGTAGAATGGCAGCATTTGGGCGTACCTGCAGCAGCGCCGTCATTGTAGGGTTTCACCTTCAAAGTCTAGGGTTAGGGGTTTACGTTTCACTAAACAGCCCGCGATAAGCAGACAAGCATCCATGGCTGAGCTGTAACGACCGAATTTTGTCTATATTTCTGATGAAATGGGCAGAGCCCTTTCGGGGTGTCTGTGTGTCCACTGGTTCGGCGAGATGGCCATAGGAGGAGTTTAGGGGGGTTCTGCCTTTGCAGATGGCTGACTGTGTTCTTGCTGAACCGGAGGAAGGGGCTTTACATAATGAGAGGCCTCAGTGATTCTTCGCTCAACAGATCCACCCGCTACTCAGCAGCAAGCCGTGGCCAGTCGGAGCAGACACAAGACCGTGCCAGTGGCTCGGGGGACAAATCGTGTGCAGGCAAAATGAGCGACTGAACGCATCCGAAATACAATGAAAAAACAACAATTTAAATTGAAATATCTTCTGTGGCAAAGGAAAGCCCTTGTATGGATGGGCATGAGGTTCGAATACAACAACCAAGGCTGCAGGGCCTGACTGGCGCCTTGGGCGCGGGAGGAGGGTCCACCGGAAGGGGTTGATGAATAGTAGAACAACATTTGCGGATACTTTATTTCGTTTAGGTTGCATTTGTCATTTTTGCTGCCCATACTAGGTAGTTTTGCGCATTCAGGTCTGCCAACCCACCCCGTTGCTGAAGCCTCGTTAACGACGAGGCGCAGCACGGACTATTTGCGGGCTTTCTCTGTTTTTGGACCTTTTTCGATTTTTGTTTTGAACTTTCTCTGCCATTTCAATGCAGTGCATGACTGAGCATCGTGGAAGGGAGCCTTACGGTGCTTGTTGTGTTTCTCTGCTTTTCCCGCGAGGCGCTGACAGGGTGGCTCGATGCTCGTGGGCGGGTTTCTGGACGACTATTGGGTCAGCAAACCGTTATTTCTTTTCGCACTGAAGTACGATAATGAGGTGTCTTTTGTCTTAGCACGGATCGGGGGGCCCAAGCAGCACCATGAAGAAACGCTTCAGCGTCGGGTTCACCATTCACGAGGCCCTGAACTTGGTCCGAGAAAGAGGCCGTCCAATAGATCCTCTCGTCGTTGTGCGCTGCTGCGGAAGGGAGTACCGCTCAGATATAAAATTTGCAAAGGCAAATGTCGTCTCCTGGGACGAGTCACACACGTGGACTGACTTAGAACTCTCCAGCGAGGTAAGCCACCCATTTTGTGTACCCTTCTTCACCAGCGTGAGCATAGCATACTTTTCGGATCATGCACCGCTTGACTCATCCCGAAGCCACCAAGCATAGACTTCCTTTTTCTGCAGACGCAGCTATCTGACCCTGCGTCCCTGGCGGTACATGCTCCCCTAAGTATCTAATGTAGTGGACCCCATCCCCTCCTCCAGCGGCAGCCTGCGCAGGCATGCGCTTTCGTTCAACTCTTTCGATTGTTTTTGGCTTGATACAGCTGTTACTGAATTGGGGAAGGCGTTTTCCCATGGGTTTCATGCAGCACTGCACGGGGCTGTGCGATGCACCTGACCACTTCATTATACATTCCCTCAATGCCTATTCGTTTGTATTGGACGCTGTCCTGTTGCCTTTTGTGTTCAGGAGTGGGCCAAGTCATTTATTGAGTTCGAAGTCCAGGCAGCGAATGCCTTCTGGAGGAACACAACCATCGGGCTCGTCGCTCTGCAGCTCTCTCTCGTGCAAAAACGAAAGACGCACCAGGTCAAGAAGTCGCTGCCCCTACAAAGCCCTGATGGAGCCGACTTGCACGTATGTTCAAACATATGTTCAAAACTTGCAGAAAATAGGAGCAGAACGCGTTGAGCCGCGCTTGTCGCAGGCCCACGCTTGTGTTGTAACGCCTGCAGATGCTGGGCGTTGCAACTAGCGTCCGCAAGGAATGGCTGCTTTTATGTTCCTCTGCCACTAATGTTCGTGCATCGCGCTTGCCGCTTCGGTCTCAGTAGGGTCTTTGACACGTGTCTTTACTGTGTTGCATTTGGGTGTTGTTCCGTCTCCAAACCGTATTTTTGAATTCTTAGACGTCTGCTTGACCGTTCGGCTGTGTTTGTCGGTATTTTGCCATCAGTCTGTCGGTTTGGGTGGTCGTCCGTCTTTATTGTTTCAGGGGTCTCTTCGGGTTACTGTCTTCGCCTGCGGCCCGGGCGAGTCTCCTCCAAGCCCAGGGGAGGAGTTGGAGGACTCGGACGATGAAAACCAGGGATTTATTGACGACTTGCGAAATGTTGTAATTGACAATCGCCGTAAGCAGTGCGGTTGCCTTGTAACCTGACTGCAGCATTCTTATCCCTGGGCACCTATGGGTAGCCATCCTATTTGTTCGGGTTTGCATTTTGCACTTGTATGTGAACGTGGATTTGCGGTTTCACCAGAACCTTTCGTGTGCTTTTGCATGTTATGTGTCCACGTCTTTCTGTTGCGGAAGTGCACTTCCCCCTGCTTCCTTGCACGGAAAATGCAAGTGGCGTGCATGATGGCTTGTGGGCGCCTAGAATTGAAGCCCTTGCTGGGTTTGTTTTGTCTTTGCTACCACGCCAGAGGACTTGGTCCGAGGCGAGGGCACGCGCCCTTTCCACGTTTACGTGACAATTCATCGCTTGGAAGACTTACCGGCCGCCCCAAAAGGTGAGTAGGCGGTCCAGATGAAGTGCATCTGGCCGCACTGCTGCAGCCAAGTGTAGTTGGATTTATTTCAGGTTTTCTATTCTAGTGCTTGCGGTGCTTTGGAGGGCATCCGAAGAAAGCAGTTGCACTAGGGTAAAGGAAACAGAATCGAGGGTAGAATGAAGTTCCTGCATCTCCGTGAAAGCATGACGGACTATACGGAATGCGATCCGTAAAGATAATTAAAACGCAGAGGGTTTGGCTGGCGTATTTTCAGGACTGAGGGATCCTTTTGTAGTTTGCGAGTTCGCTGGTTGTCGCGTCCGCACGGTGAGCGGTTTACTCTCTGCTGTGCTTTGCTCTCTTTCTTCTCCTTCTTCATGGATAAACGGCGTAGCCGAGAGAGAAGGCCCTGTGCTTTTCCTTTAATGCTGGTAATGGGCTGCAGGCACAGGCGCGTGCGACGAGCTCCTACACCTTCAACGAATGCTTCCGCATTCCCGTCATGACACCCGTCCCGGAGGATACGATTTTGATCAAAGTTTGGGACTGGAACTTCATGAGTGCAGATGAACTGCTAGCCGTCGTGCGCCTTCCGTAAAACCTCGTCTCTTCCCTAGTGTATATATCTGCATTCTCATTGGGCTTTACACCTATGCATATGCACACATGCACCCACTTCCTGTAATTTTTTTGTTGCCCCCCCAGGGCCGCATTTCTTTCGCCGAGTTGCGGTCTCGCCACATTCTCCCCCGGTGCGTGTCACGGCGGCCTTTCAGTGTGAAGGACGGCTAATCTGTGCACGCAGTAGAATGCCAGCTGTCGAATGCATGCATGCGTGCTGCATTGGGGGCAAGATAGAACTGCATCTCATTGTTTGCTGCTCCTCTTTGGGCGCAGATGGTTCAACTTCTACGGATTTGACGTTGGAGAAATACCTAACTTCTCGGAAGTCATTGCTCAAAGCGGCAAACTGACTCCGTGTACGTACATGGGTCGTTTGCTGCTTAGCGCTCGGGCGGAACGACTTGACAAGGATGCAGAGCTGCTTGCTGCTCATTCAGTTGCAGCTGCTCCCTACGAAGACCCCCGCGTAATTCCTATTCTTCTATTTTCGGACGTGTATGAGGTTCGTTAAGGCCCTTCCGAACAGCTAAATTGAAAGCAATGCGAGGTGAACTCTCCTGTGATGGTTGGTGTATGCTGTGGCCTTGTGTTGCACCTCAGGTGCAAGGAGCTCCCGGCGATAGAGTCTACGTTGAAGTGTCTTGCGGACCTCTAAAAGAGAGAACTCGATGGGTGGCCGGTAAAAACCACATTTTGTGTTCTTGTCCGTTATAAATGCATGGCGTTAGTCTGCGCGCACGGGAACACGCTTGTTTTATCTTTCGCCTGTGCTTTATTGTGTCCGCCTTCAGGAGATTTAGTGAAGCAGCGAGAACGTGAAATGGGGGAGGCACCGTCTGCAGTGACTGCTGCCCTGGAAGGTGCAAAGGGCATGGCGAATTACTTCTTGGGGGCTTCTCCTGAAGGCCAGGACCATTTTGTTTTCTCCCCAGTAGATGGACGCATTCCAGAATTGCGCATGGCCGTAAGGATGCATTTTCAAGGAAATTACGCAAATGACAGTCCCTGAGTTATTTGCCAGAAGCTCGTCCATGGTGGCAGGCTATAGCTCTGTCCAAAAGTGTTGGTTCGGTATGGAGTGCACTGGACCACTCCTCGCTGATGGCGCTTGTGGTTAAATTGCATGCGTTTGGAAGTTTGTCAGTTATCTTTAGGTGCCTGACGACGAAAAACAACAGTGGGACGTTATTATCAATGTATATGCGAAGGGGATATCCAAGAATATGCCGCACGCAACTCGCGTGGCGTACCAGCGAATGCCGTAGGTTTCTTCTGCAGATGTCTATAATAAAGGCAAACTTTGACCGGTGGATCCAGAGCCGGGAGCTGCCGCGTGGTGCAGAATACTTGGACTGCTATGCTATCGTGTGCGGTAAACCTGTTGCTGTGTAGGCTGGCGAATATTCCTGTCTACGTACAAAACAACCCACGGGCGCCCGTATGGGTCCCTCTGCATCCAATGCCGCATCTTTCGGACAGTTTAGCCCCCTCCGCTGTGCTAATGACACTGGAAAAGGCCAAGACAGATGCAGCTGCTAGAACGAAGTGAGGATGTACTGCGAAAGACAGCCTCGCGGTGTTTCTTGTCTCGTTGACAAGAGCATAACACCTCCCGTGGCACTCTTTTGTGTAGTTTCAATCTGCATCTCAAGCGTGCGCGGTTTTGTTTGGCTTGGTGCCCCTGGTGCAGGCGGAAGCACATCGTTGCAGCGGAATATATTCTGCGGACATACATATACACAGCCCGCAAGATATCGTCCCCCAGCGGTGCCCTCCCGAACGCTTTGGTGCAGGTATGCCTAACGGATTAGGAAGCACGGTTATGTCTCTTTACGCTGTAGCGTTTGGCGTGGCATTCTACTCCCAATTCCGCAGCTGCTGCAGAGAAAGGCAAAAGCTGCACATGCTCCTTCCACTGACATTTTTTGAACGGGAGTTCGCTCACAGGTAGCAGGGCGAAACTGTAAAATTGGCGTTGACAAACAATCGCTCCGAGATGCGGCGCCGTATTGCACAGGTGACCTGCGCTGGAGTTACAAAGGAAACAGAGCCATGCGATGCCACTTCCAATCCGGTCTTCATGGAATGCTTGCAGCTGGATCTTAGACTTATGGTGTGTATTAGAGCCTCGTCAGTCCCCTCTTCCCAGTTCGCCCCCACTGCGCTCGTTAAACCGGTCACCATGATCAGTGTAGATTGATGCTGGCACTTGGGATGGGTGATTGCCCACCCTTGTAGGTGGACCCCTGCTGCTTTCGGTGCACGCTCTCAGACCGACACCACCACTCGTCTCCCCACAGTCGTTCCCATCGTTGCCAGTGTGTTTGATGATCGCTCCTGGGGCCGTCAGCTTCTTGGCAGAGCTGTCTGTCATTATGACCGTCTGAGAGGAAGGCTGAAGGTCCGTTTGCTTACAGTGTGGTGCTCATTTCTCCATATTTGCAGTTTTTTGTGGGGCTGAGTTTGTTTGAATGTTGCACAAGAGGAGGATTCAGGCTCTTTTGAGTTATCCAATCTGAAGCGGTTGGCGTATATCGTCTCCTGCCTGCGCTTGCCCACACTGCAGCCAGGGGAAGTTCCTTCAGTCGCAGAGCCCCGTTGGATTAAGCTAAAGGGGGGAAAACGGATGAACAAGCATCGGGGAGACATTCTTGTTTGCTTTGAGCTTATTCGCAAGAAGGACGCAGAAACACTGCCAGCTTATCCGATGAGACCTCTCGTCTGTATGTGCAAGCTCAGCCTGTCCTGTTTGAATGTGCGGGACTTGATTATGGCGCCAAAAGGTAAGCGTAGTCGTCTGCCGACTTCTCGCTGTGCGCGTAGTCTGTGCGCAACCGGTTGCAGGGATTGGGGTTGCTGCACTTTTGTTTTCGGCACCGTCACTAATGGCTAATGGGGGCCATCGAAACGCTGCTTGGATGTCTTCAGGCCGGCCTATTGACTTTAACAAGCTCATACTTGGGGAATTCGAAGGCATCAGACGTGTTCGTAACCCCATTTTGGTAGTATCTGTCCCGTCCTTCGGATCGTTAGGACGGGATAGGACGGTAGTAACCCTTCAATATGAAAGGAATGCCGATGGAGACCCAAGTGTACGTCGGAACAAACCGATATTCATCTGATATTCATCGTCGAAATGCTCCACGGAACTTGGGATAGTGTTCTGTGGAGATCAGTGGGCAACGTAGTTTTCTTGGTGGCCCCTGGAGGTGTTCGGGATTCGTGTGAAAATACTTGCCTCATGTGTATCTGTCACTCATCACTGGTTTTTCTTCTGGCAGACCCCCAATAGGAGATGGTCGAACGGCGCTTACGAAAGCTTCGACATTTTAAAAGTAGCTTCGCTGGATGTGGATATTCCCGAAGACCCAATCTATGACCCCACCCTCACAATTCAGGTGCGCTAGACTGGGCGCAGCATTTTGATGAGAATGCATCTGGCGTGCACTTGCCTTTCGTCGCATATCTTCGCTGGTGAAGCATCCAGGATTTGCGAGGCATGCATGCAGACCCACCTCGGACCATGAAGTGCTGGTTACACACAACAGAACGAAAGCCTTCACCACTCACTGCATTTATTCTAGGTGGATGAGCACTTGGATGGCAAAGGAAGTTCACGCATGCCTCTATTTGTGTAAGTTGCTTAACACAGGTGTATGACCGCAAAATCAAGCCCAAGTATTTCATTGGGCAGTTCTCCCTTTCCCTTATTCCTCTGATGCCGTGGATCGCTGATGTCGAGACGGCATTGGAAGATGTGAGGCCTTCACGGGACTATGAGGACTCAGTTAATTTGAAAAAGTTGGGTAAGTCGGAGAGTGCGTGGGCCCATGCCTCCTTCGGGGAGGATCATATTTTGCGTAACAAAAATTATTTCGCTGCGGCAAGCTCCACAAGCGAATTGCAGTGAGCGGCTTATACCTATATTTTGTACTGTCGATGTGGACTTTGAACCAACAGGAGGCATAATGCTCGGCGCCAAGGGGAGAAATCAGAAGGGATTAAGCACTGTAAATGTAGTTCTGGAGGCGATCAGCTCTGCTGACAGGGACGCTGCTGAGGCGAATCAATCCCGCTACCTTCATCAGGTTGGAGTTCTGAAGTGCGACCAGTCCGCAGAGGTGAGTCCTGCCATGGAACTAAAATTTCTCCTGAGAGCGTTTTGAAGGTAGATGGAAGGCAGAGCTATTCACCTAGCACATATTGGGGAGACAGACCTGAGGGTTCCACGGAGGCACCTTTCTCTGTAAATGTCTTATAATTGCGTCTCCTGCACTATATTGCTAAAAACTAGATGAGGGGCGACGCATTTTGTTACATAGACGTAGAGAGGAATTCAGAAGCATGTACATGCAGGGGTCATTTATCTGCGTTGGGGCTTGCTATAGGGTGTAGTCTCTGTCTGGCTAAATCCGGACTCGTTGCCAAAGATCCTTGTGCAATCTTATGCATTGCCATCGGATCGGCCAATCCTCTTGGCAGGCAGCATGTTTACCTTGAATGTATTCATTCCCGCAAAGTGAGGCCTGGAACACGAGATAAAACGATATTGACGACAATATTTGTTGCCACCCGGCTGTGTGATGTTTCCTGAAATTTAGGCATATAGCTTGGTAGTAGACAATGTAGAGTCGAATCAACAGGTGGTAAGGAGTATTCAGAGATTGGCTTGGAAGTTCGAATAGGCGTTGTTGAAGAGTTGTCATTTTATTTCCCCACAGGTTTGTCTTGTGCGCTGAGGGCAAACGAGCGGCGGAGAAGAAGACAAAGGAGCAGTTTCAGCGGCCTTCCGTCGAAACCACAGTGGAGAACTTCTTAGTAGATGTGGACTTTCCTCCCGATCCTCTTAAGAAGAAAGCCTTGGGGGTGACGCAGCTGACCGGATCTGTTAAGTTTTTTGTCAACCTTACTCACAATGGTGAGGCGGAGGTCCTCCTGATGAAAAAATGAGATTTTGATTACGTTGGGAAAATTCAGTTTTATCTGTAGTGAAGCGGGTCCTCGAATTGCGTTTCTGCCCGGGGTGCTGTGCAGTTTCTTTTGGTTGTGGAGCATATGCGTTCAGATGAACCGTCTGAGCACGTGGACCAAACGATGGTACCATGGGCACTGAATGAGTCGCGCCTTCGAAAGCATTTCAGAGGGGAAGAAGCTTACCCTAAGATGATCAAGATTAGGGTGTATGTTATCCGAGCCATCAACGTCCACTTGGTCAAGGGAATGACGGTTGCGAACCCATACCTCGTATTTTCAGTTGGGAAGACAAAGGTGAGGCTGTCCAACCCCGCCTTACTGATGCTCGCTTATGACAGGGGAATTCCTTGGAGATCTCTCTTTCGAGGAAGTTAATAGATCCCCGCCTTAGCTCCAGAAGCAGATAGTGCATGTAGCCAGAAGTGTTGGCACGTTTCGTTGCCAGGCTGAGAATGACGTAGTTATGTGCCCTCTCTCGCTTTAACAGATGCCCTTTCGTGCTGAGAACAAGCCTGGAACGCTAAACCCGGACTTCTTTACTATGTGGGAGAGGGATGTTGCATTCCCCGATGAATCGCGATTGGAGGTTAGCGTGTGGAGTGCGCATGAAAAGCTGCTTCAACAAGTGGATGACGTGTTCCTAGGAAGCACTGTGATCGACCTAGAAGAGCGGTAAGCATGTTTGGAATGGTATAGTGTATCATCGGCGCGAACGTTTGGTAGACCCGCTTTGCAGTATCGATGTGGGCTGTATACGGGTTCTAGTAGCTTCATTTCTGTTCACTGGCCTGGACGTCCTGTAGTTTGCAAGAGGCACGAGTGTCCTGCGTAGGCACAGCAGCTAAATAGGGTGTTCGCTGACGAATTGCGATTAAGAGATGATGTGGTGTGGGGATTTTGCTGAGCCTTGTGATGGACTGCAGTTGGTTCTCAAAAGAGTGGCAAGCTTTCATGAAGAAGAATGAGGTACCCATGGAGTACAGACCACTGTCAAGAACGCCAAACGGTAGCGTTACTGGAAGTATTGAGATGTGGTTGGAGATGATGGATTCTCAGAAGGCCGGCAAAGTCCCTCGATTCAATCTGCAAAAGCCATCATCAACGGACATTGAGATAAGGTGATTCGCTCGGGTGCTGCTGCCACTCAAGCGCTGCCGCCGAATGCGTCCAGAATTGCCAGATCTCTTTAGACACTTATCTGTGGCGCTCGTCTATAGTGCGTTTTCATGTGGAAAGTCGATGCACTTATTTTGGATGTTTCTTATTCAGGGTTGTTCTTTGGGGTTGCCGTGGCCTTTATTTCAAGCACTTGGGTCCAAACAAGGAAACTGTAGATGCTGTCCTGCGATGTACAATGGATTGCACCAAGTATCAAGGATCTCAGCCTCTGTTGCAGAGCACGGACGTCCACTATTATTCAAAAACAGGGGCGGCTGTTTTCAACTGGCGTGTTGTATACTCGCGCGTAGCAGCTCCCGTCAATTCGTGCATTCTTCAGATATCGGCCTACGACTTCCGCAACATCGGCGAATCACCATTTATTGGAGAGGTACATAGTGAACAATTCAGTCATGACGATTAAAGGAAAGAAACATAGTTTTCCCGCTTCATTTCCATAACTGGTTTGTTTCCCTACCGGGGGCTTATCAAGAGGACATTTGGCTGCCGGAATGTAGCAGCACGTTTTGAGACTCGTGATGACCCTTGGGTGCTTTGCAGGTAAACCTGGAAGTGAGGAAGTACTTGGAAAGAGTTGCCCAGACAATGGCATCTATCGAGGTTGACGCAGAGTTAAGGCTGCAAAATAGGGCTCACGAGAGCCTAGATGTGCAGACCTTCGGCTACGTGCAGGTCACCCTTCAGTTTATGGCTCAGTCAGAGGCGACAAGCAGACCGGTAAGTCGTCATCGGGCACTCTGCCATATCTGCATTTGGCGCATGTGGCGCTTGGCGCCTTTTTCCTTAAATATATGAGACTGATAGGGTGTAACCAATTGGACAGAGTGATATCTTTGACATACTAAGTTGCCCAGCATTCGTGTGCCTTTTTGTTCTCCCAGGTAGGTATGGGGCGTGAACATCCGAATCGTGATCCTCGCCTCACAACGCCACAAGAAGGGCGCAAGTGGGAAGATGTCTTGGGATCTGCTGGACTTCGTGTAGACTACCGTCCCATATGGTATTGGGTGAGCATGGTAACTGTGGCGTAGTTGGTCCGAGGTGTGCTGCTGGTGCTGCCTTAGTTGCGCTCTGGTGAAATAACCTACCAACAGAGCCTTAGTGCAAAGGCTTCAATGGACATGCGTCCTTTGCTGCATACAAATGCTCATTGAAATTGTCTTGTGGTTGTGCAGGTACGTGTTGTTTTCATTGTCTTTTTGTCAATCTGGGTCTTTGTCATGGCGTTCTTGTATCCGGCTCTGTTCCTGTGAGCACGTCCACTGCCTGTAATCCAGACGTCTTCCTGTTTTAGTACAACACGAAGGGAAATTGCTACTGCACCGCCGCCGGCGAATCCTGAAGAGATATTGTCCGAGTATGGGGAGCATGCGGTGGCACCAGCCATTCGCACGTCAGCGTAGGCGAATAGACTCGTCATGCAATGGGCGGTGGGCAGCTGGAGCGGTGGAACGCCGCGCTGTTGTCTCGGAAAAACAGTTAACACCACCACATCTCGGAACCTGATAGTTTCGCCATACGCGACAGTTCTCGCGTTTTGGTATCTTTTGCATTTCCGAGGAGCTTCATCTATGCAGAAGTGCGCCTGTTTACAACTGTGTGGTATTTACACGCAACACGCAGAACAGTTCAGTTACTCTCCACAGGTAGTTGGAGGCATGCTTACAGCAGGGTGACCGTGGTGCGTAAGTGTTCAGTGCTGCCAGCCCTTAAGGGGAGTCAAAGGGATTCATGCACGAGTATCTGCAGCATTAAGTAGAGGAGCGAACTTCTCACGGCGTTCGCGCAGTCCTACCGTCTTCCATATTCTGTAGAGGGTGCTACAGCGATGAATAAGCATATCCCTGACTGGACTAGGCAATCAATTAGCCAGACTTGGTCCTCAGAGTTTTTTATGTGCGTCCACGCCGCTATCCAGTCACGCTAATATGCCGTAAAGCTGGACGACATTGGTTCGGGCATGGCGGCTCCATGGATTATGAAGTTTCGTCTACAGTGCTCAAGAATTCCAGTGCCCGGGAAGTGGGAGGAATTACCCCGCAGCACATGCTAGGAAGTCGCAGGTAGCCTAAACTCATTAGCAGTGCCAGTGGGAGCCACGTCAGTTGCGGATATACGCATAGTTACAGTATTAAGAGTGCCAAAAATCGAAGTCCACGATGAGGACACTCTCATCGCTGGACAAGTGTCAGCACGCCACTGCAGCCCGCAGGCGTTACGGTGCCTATCGTGCTAGCAACGGTGTGGTGTGTAACAGGGAAAACAGGAGCACTGCTCCCAAAACCTAAGAACCATGAACAGTCTATACGACCCTGGCAATTGGTAACTTCCGTTTGTTCGTAACTCAAAAAGACAGGAACTCATGAACACCCACAATCCAGTGACAACCAGCTGCAACGGGCGTGGGAACACTCATCGAAGCGCTTCTGAGCCCGACGCAGCAACACCCACACCTAAACACAGGGGTACAGTGCATGTAGGTACAGTGCTCGTGTGCACTATTCATCAAACTGTTCACTACTGGGTGACCCAGCGATTTTTGTAGAACACAATGGGCACTTAACACTGTGACTCGTTTTGATCCACCTGTCTATGCAGCGCTCGTGGAAAATATGAAGGCACCGCAACGTCAAGAGAGCGTCGCCAGTTTCGAAGGCACTCAAGCAGATACAACAATCGTAGCCGTTGTGCGTTTCCGATTGTGCACCTCCTCCTGAACTATCAGCTACGGCATCCGTTGATGCGTCAATCGACCCCAAGCCTCTCTGCGTCTGCTGGGCCATCCCCCTATTCGTTCCTGCCGGTGGTTTCATGCCATGGGAAGCTGTGGTCGAGTTTCCATCGACCTGCTTGGCCTCCCCAAAAGTCCATTTGAATGTGTGCTGGCCCAGACTGTCGCGGAGACTTCGTGCCTCCGAAATCTGTTGTAGCGTAACACGGGGTCCACTAGCATCTGCCCAGATATGAGGTACAAACTCGTCTCCATCTCCAGCGTCCCCTCCCGAGACAACAAGCATGAGGGGAATGTCGAGGTCGTCCAAATCCTCGAAGGCAAAACTACGTTCGATTTCCTCAATGAATCGCCCAATGCTACGCTCGAGCACGTCAAAATTCTCCGGATCTGCTGATGCGGACGCAATAAGCACCAGAGAGGAATTCGGGCCCCTAGTAACGCGCCGGGGGTGCCTCTGGTGTTCAGCTCGATGGGCAGCTGGAAGCGAAACTCCCACCCTAACTTCCCATGGCCCTCGCCAAGGTAGCGCTACAGGGCTCGTCACGGGGGAGAGGAACGACCGAAGCATGTTGGCGGCCACACTGTCATGGAGTCGAGCCCCAAGCCTTTCTCCAAACAGGTCATCAAGCAAGTTCATCCCTTCGCTTCTCCTCGAGCTCCTCAAGAAATAACTTAAATCTCCATTTGAGCGCCTGGGCCTTGCATCGTCGCCGCTCCACAGATACCTCTCATCGACAAAAGACAAAGGCGGCCGTTGCTCATTGCTGTGGCTCCTGTGATGTGCCTCACTAGAACCTGGTCGCTGCAGCGCAGAAACGAACTGGAACCCTCTAGCTGGTGAAAGGCCCCTCGCGTTGGTGTATGGGAGTGCAGACACTCCCAAAAATGAACTTTCAGAACTCCTCATCCGTCTCTCCATATCCTCAACAGTGGGCAGCGAAGGCATTCGAGTGCCGGCTAACTGATCATCCGAAAAATTCATAGTGTTGAAAGCTACCGCAAGCTCGTCAAAGGAACTATCCTCTGTACGCCCTGTCGTCGAGTAACCGCCGCTTCCCGAACGGGACCTCCCCACAGTATTCGCTGGTCTTTCATTTGAAGGCCCACCGGTATGGCGGAGCGTGCGGTTTGCAGAAACTGATGAAATTCCATGGGGAGACGCCGCTCCGTGGTGTTCTATTCGACAGGCAGTAGTCCTCAGAGTAGTTTGGGTGTTGTGTCCTGTGGGAGTTCCTTCGTTGCGCACCCGAAACCTACCTGAGTCAGGACGGCGGAGGGAATTCCCCGCAGCCTGCACAATGACCCTTCTGTCCACAGGAGCAAACAGAGACCTATCTCCAGCCCGACGGCTCTGCCTATAGCTTGATGGAATACTGGGAGTCGCGGGCGGAGTGAACGTGTTGGCCAAACCATTTGCTTCAGGCGAAGGCTGCTGGCGTCCCAAGCGAGGGCCACTTGCCTGCGGGACGGGAGGAAGGAAGACGAAGGGTGGAGGAACCGTTGGCACCCAACCAGAGGGGCCACCCTCTGGATGGCCGAATGGAGCGCCAGGCGACCCACTTCCAGCCCACGCTCGCCGTCCGCCACTACCTTGCATCGGGAATTCCCACAGGTACGGGGGGTAATCCGCTACTTAGGATAGTCGACCGCCTCCCTGGAAAAAATAAAACTCTCATCAAAGATCTCACCACAACGACGGTTTGGGGTAATCCCCGAAGGCAGCTGCATATGTCGACAACCAGCACTACTGGTCCACCGGCGTACACCAGACCGATCGTGCCGTCTCGGCTTTGCCGTGGTGAAGCCTCGGAGGGAGCCACCCTGCTAATCCACAGGGGAAAAGGTGCAAAAAAACCTATGCTGCAAGTAAGTGTAAAGCCCGGAACGCCCCTGGAAGATCAGCCATCCTCCCGTGTGTGCTGCCTCGCGTCCAGAGGGAAGTACCGATGGAGAACTGGGGCGCCAGCAGACATAGTTTGAGTGTGCTACGTCTTACTTTTACATTTCATCGACTTTAGAAGAGCATATATATACATACATATATACAAACTGGCGCGAATACTCCTTTTTTACAGGCGGTGCTCTCACGCGGTGTCCCGCACATACAGCAGCTGCACCGCGCACGGCCATACCAGGACTTCCGTAGCAGTGCCCTCATGATCATTTTGGCGCACGCCTTTGGAGAAAGACAAGTAATTTTCTCGCAATAGGCCTGATGTGAATGTTGTTGAATAGTCGATTGACAGTTGAAGACAGAATGCCCTAATCATCTTCCAGACTTCGGGCCTCAGCTGACAAGACCATCCGATGTCCATGTATTGTCTCCTCTTGCATTCAAGCTGCTCCTCGTCCTACGCTAAGACTTCTCTTCTTGAACAAGCCTGGTTTGAGTCACTGCAAGAAATTCGGCCAACTTCCGTTCCCGCTGCTAAATCAGTTGCTGTGCTCGCACACGCCGCCAGCGAGACACCGGAGCAATCCACCTCATTGGATGAGCAGGGCCCCAACAAGGACGGATTGGATCAATTTGATATGGAGGGTTGCTGGTGTGTATGAGAGACCATTTCCACATCACTACTGAAGGCTCACTGCCACTGCTCATTTCTTCAGCTGGTCCCGCTGGCTCTGTTTGATCGCAAACCTAAGGCAGCGACTGCGGAGATGAGCACACCGACATCTGGCCTGCTACCTATGTCAGTGTTGTATGGAGATCGTATACGCCGTGGGGGAAGGGAATGCACTTAAAGGGATCCGCACTGTTGCATGGCTGCAAGCTGGGCGCAATACATGGGCTTTTTCTACCCATGGTTGAGGGTATGCAGTTCCTGGTGCACTGGACGAAGTGAGGCAGAGAAACTCGGTGCGTAAGACGTCGGACTGCTGAGTGGGCAGAAGAGACAATGGCACCCGCATATGCAAAAGCGCCTTCGCAGTTACTGCTGTCCTCAGACAGCTCTTCCAGCGGTGACTTTCCGTCGACTCCCGCTGAGGCTAGAGAAAAACCGGCAGCACGAGGGCAGCAATCACCAAGGCGGGGAAAGCTGCCGCTTGCCCCAAAGAATACGAACGAAAGTTTGTTGTACCGTCAGGGTCAGACGCCTAGACATCCAAATGGGTCTTCGAAGAAGCCGCCACCGCCTCCCCCGGTAGATGCCTTGGGCTCTCTGTTTATCCCGGGATCTCCGCATCCCAAGGATAGATCGGCGGACCGCGAACTGGGAGTAAGGGACCCACTCTTGGCTCTAGACTCTCCTCAGCAGGCAGTGCAGCGAATCAAGAGCGCAGTCATCATGAGGGCCATGAGTGCTAGGAGTACGGAGGCACGAGATATGAAAAGTGCTTCTGTGGAGATCGAGAAGGGGCACTTTCAGCCACTTAGTCGGCAGGCCTCGAAACGGGTAGCTTTAACACCTCGGGAGTCGTCCTTTGCTCGCAAGCCATCAGGTTTACCTGTCAGGAGCAGGCAGAGCATCGTATCACGTAGAAAACTTGAACAAACGGAGTCTTCCCTCGCTGAAAAGTGGCTCCCATCCTCACCAAGGCCTCTGGGCTCGGATGATGGTGGCAAGCCAGTTGCTCGTCAGCGGAACGGAGCCGGCGAGCAAGACGCCTCAGGGAGGCTTCTAAAGAAAGCGAACTCCGAAGATGCGTGGGCAACACTTCCTCGAAGGGAGGCCTGGTCAAGAAATAACAGTAAAGATGGGGGACCTCAAGGCCGAGCTCAACCTGGTAAGGCGGAGAAGCGGCCTTCCGCTTCTGGGCCTCCAGCGACGCGAAAATCGCTAGTTTTGTCCAAGCAGCAACCGAAACTTCCGACGGGTAGGTCGGAGGCAGATGCAACACCGTGGTCTGATGAGGTTTTGGAAAGGCCAGGCACCTCCAGACCCGACCAGAAGGCCCCTAAGAAGCTCGCATCTACAGGTTCCGTAGCTCGTTTTTCTCCAAGAATTAAGTCCTCAGTTGAGCAGGATCTCGTTCAAGACCTTGAGGGTCGCCTTGTCACGTCAAACCGTCGAATAAGCGAGCTCGAGGCTCAACTAGCAGAAATCAACAGACACCACGGCGAAGAACTTGAACGGCTGCGTTTAGAGCACCAAGTCAAGCTTGCTGAAGAAGTACGGAAGGTCGCGTCTGAGCGAGAAGAGGCAATGGAGAAGCTTCGAAAAGAGGAGAAGAGCAAACGTGAAGAAGTGCAGAAGCAAGCTTTGGCCCGCCAGAGTAGCATGAAGATGCGGTGCGATGCTTCGGTACGCGAGCTGAAGGAGAAAGTTCAGTCTTTGGAAAAACAGCTAAAGACAAAAGCTCAGGACTTTGAGCGCGAACGAGTCGGCCTTATGAAGTCTTTTGAAGATAAACGGAAGCACGACCTGCAGGCACAGGAAAACGAGGCGAAGACGCATCAGAAGGAGCTAAAGAACAAGGAGTCAGAGTTAATGGAACAGCAAGGCAGAGTACAGGCTCTTACTGCAAGCATGCAAACTCTAACAACTTCGCTCGCCCAGATGAAGGAACTGAACGACATATCAAGGACGGCGACACAAGCGCTGGAAGAGAAGGCAAAGACACAGGCTGCATTTATAAACACATTAATAAAGAGGGAAGAAGACCTGCGAGCCCAGGCAGCAAAGCTCATGCCAATAAAGGAAGCTAAGAGGCTTGCATTCCGGGCACTACTCAAAGGAAGAGCGGTGGAAATGATTTCACGAGCGTGCATGCCAACAGACGCTAGCCTTTGGAACAAGGCTTGGGCTTTCCAACAGCTTGTTGACCTTATCGGTGGCATACACGGGTCCAAAGAGAGGAGACAAGACGCGATCGAGTCAAGGCTTATGCAGTTCCGCAAGGAACAGATGTTCCTCATGGCGGAAAACGAAAGGCTGATGGCAAAGGTGAGGCGTCCGTTCACTTTTGATTCACTTTTTGGAGCAAATCATGGCTCTGGTGTTTCCCGGCGGAGAAGCGCATGCGTTATCCTTTGGATATTTCTTTGCAGGTTGCTGAGCTGCAACAAGAGGGAATCAATCAGAGGCAGAGCAAGGTGGAACCCCTTATTAGCACGCTCATTAGAATCACGGCATAGGGCTCTTGCACCTTGGCCAGTAATTCTCATCCGAAGCAAAGGCTTCGGCCTTCGGTCTCCTCCGTTGATTGTGCCTTCGCGGATTTGGCCGTTTGTGAGCCGCAGGTTGCTTTAATGGAGCAGGCACTCATCGGAGAATCTTCAAGCAGTCCACGCAATGCAGCAAACAACAGTAACGGAGGCCCAAACAGTGAACCTGCTCCTCGATGGCTTGTAGTGTGTATTCAACACATGGTTGATAGGAGACTGTTGTGGGCGTTTCTAAGGTACGTTGCATTGGCAGAATTTAGCCGGTGGTACCGACGGACCGATGGCCTAGCCAGATCTAATTAGTGCGAAGACTCGTCTGGGCGCACTGGTTCAGGCTGCAGAAGGTGACCACAGAAGCTGAGTCGAATACCACGATAGACAAGCTGCAGAAGAAATTCAATGAGTTGCGCGTATCGGCTTACAAGGAAATGGCAGCAAGGATCGGGATTTTCAGGCTTGTAGCTTTCATAAGGTGAGGTACCTTGACAGGACAGCGACGCAAATTGGTGTTGCTTTTTTTTACGGGGAACTTGACTTCGGTATACGGGAGTGTACAGTGCTTTTTTTCAGGTGCCTGCGTCTCCGAGCATTGTTCAATGCTTTCTTCAATCTTGCAATGAATGCAAGTGAGCTTGAGAACTGCGTGAGATTACTCCGTAGTTTTACCATTCAATATATCTGGCAGCACAGCTGCTTACGGGGATGTCTAGCCATGCGTGCGTTGTACGATATGCAGGTCAGCTCTCCCGCGACGAGGCAGTGAAGAAAGCAGAGCAAACGCGGGTTTGTCGAGATCCGTTCACAAAAGAATCAGGTGCAGCTGAACTTCCAGTTACAGGGTCCTACGCCGCTGCGGACAATGCACGACTTGACCTGAACGTTCCTTTGGCCCATCAGCCACACTACTATCGTCAGTTGCCGTCCGTGCGGAATCCACCTCGGGGGCGCAACATGTTCGTCCCTATGGTTGACCCTAGGCCACCAGTGCAGGGGTACTTGCCACACCCTGGGTACTCGCACACGCCACTATCGCTCGGTGTGCCACCTTTCGTAACAAAGGGCCGAGCGCCTGGAAGCAGCGCGGGTGTACCGAATGCGTTCCCTTCGGGGCCATATGATGCAACACAGCCAGTTGACGAGCGAGGCGCAGTTTACCGCATGAGGGGAGCACAACAGGATCTTAGGAGAATCATGATGGAAAGTGTTGGTGACAAGGTGGGAGCGCGCATCGTTGGTAGAAAGTAAGCATGCACCGTGAAGCATACCTTTCTGCCAGCGCTTATAAAGGGCAGTGAAGCAGAGAATCGGCAGAACGATGGATGATGCGCTCTGTATGCTGCAGGCTGCCAAATACAAGCTTTCGGTCATAGCACAACTACTGTCGGTGTCCCGCCGATGACATCGAAGTTGCGTTACACTCGACTCCCATCAAGCAGTTATGGCAATGACGGGATACTCACCGGCTTCTTTCGTTGCTTTGAGAACCAACGAATTTGTCTTGAAGTCATGTGGTTGACATTGGGTAAACCATACCAACCCCTCCTGGCAGCTTGACAAGAGCCGAATTTGTCAGAAGGGGTGCGAAAGAGTCATGTCAGGTAGTCAGTTTCACCTTTATAGTCCGTTGCGCGCCGATGCCGACAATGAACAGTGTCAGGACGATTAGGACGTAGGTAAGACACGCCGCCGTTGCATCATACAGGAACTTGACGGCAAACAAATGCCATATCTGCAAATACCCAGGGGATAGATAGGGGATTTCTGTGCAGCTGGTGAGAGCTTGTCCAGGCGCGAGCGCACTGCTTCAGATGTGAAAACTTACGAAGAGGTGCTGTCGAAGAAGTGTCAGAGATAGTAGAGAACAGAGGTGTTTAAAGGTGACTCCCGTGAGAATCCTGTGGTCACAAAAGCCGCAGTTATGCGAGTAGTTTGCCGTCTGTTGATGTTGCATTCTGCATATGTACTTAAATGCACATCTGCTTCCTCTGCCCTTCGGCAGGACTGAGTGTCGCTATCCAGCGTACCGCGAAAACGTTCGCATGTGATAGTCTTACCCAAAAGTGACTTTTCCAATCATTAGGGTAGTCATCAGCACCACTTCAGGAGCTGTGGATCCTTCTAGGGCTAACGCGATGGGGGCGGCCTTGTCTGTTGCCAGATGCGCCGTACGCAAAAAGGCGAGCATAAAAATAAGTGGACAGCAGATAATGTAGGCAAAGTAGGTGTGCAGAAACGACGTTACAAAGGACCAGAGGGGATGAAACTCCAACAACCCCACAAAGCCAGCTTCGATCGGAAGCGCGCTTAATTTCGTCCTGTGCCCTGTCACGAAAAATGTATCTAGCGTTAGTAGAGCAGCCAGCATGCAGAAGCTGCCGTTGGAAAGGAAGAACTGCATTCCGGCCTTCGGTTTAATGAAGTCTCCGCTGGTGCTTCCACTTCCGTTACGGTAGCCAGTGGCATCTCTCACAGAAGCTGCGGAAGTTGTAGATGTCACGATGCAGAAGCTGCACGGGCACTTTCTGGAGAGAGTCCCACGGGGCTCCAGGACAAGCACTCGGCCCAGAAAAACAAGCAACCGCCACTTTATACAGCAAAGCAAAAGCGGCCACAACTGCGCCCTTCCAAGAAGAATAGCGAACATGCATAGCGGGCATACAGCTGTAAAGAAGAAGTAGTGTGAGAAGTATTCCCATAGTTCTATGCTCCACAGACTAAGAACACCTCCCTTCATTTGTACTTGCTGTTGAGATGGGCCACGGTCATTAACGCAAGTCTTAAGTTCCTCTCCCAGTGTAGTCGATTCCGCCTTCGCGCTGCGTAGCATTTGCCTACTAAGGTCATTTTCGCGCTTCTTCATTCGGCAGAGAATTAGTACCAATCTCATCCAGAGCCCTGCAGTGGACAAATAGATTACCCACGGCAGGAGAACATTGAAGAGCGGAACCAACTTCACTCGTCCCCCATCCACGAGCTGGGAGGGGAGGACTTCCAGTAAACAATGTGGAGCACTCAAGAGCCATGATTCCGGTGTTGTGACCCATCCAAAAAGCGTGCCACCGGCAGTGTCGAGGGCCTGAAATGGAAAGACGAGGACCGACCACACTAATACAAATGCATCGTGGATAGGAGTATCGTATCGTTCCTGATGATGCGGCGGAGCTTGGGACACTGACTGTTGCGACTTCGATTCGTGAGGAAAGGCAAACCAGAGTACCGATATGGCACCCTGGGCAAGGAAGATCGCGCGTTCAACCGTGGAAGGTCTAGCCCCCTTCCTCCCTCTTAGCGGATGAAAGCTTGCAATCCGAAACCTGTTATTTTCTTCAGATCCGCAGTGGTTGTCATATCCAAACACCCGCGAGACAAGCGGTAACTCCTCCACTCCGACTACGTAATAGGTGCAAAGCATGAGGAAAACGGTGGCGCTAGTGGAGTCAATCTGCAAAGGCCAGGCGTTTGCGCCCGCGTTCTCCACTGAACGCGCAGATGGGTCAAAAGCGCTTCCCATCCGAACGCACAGCGCGAGTCCGACACATCTGAGGTCAAACGCATTCACACAACAGGAGAAGGTTCCCGAAAATACCCCGTACTTGGGCGTAAGTGCGGGAGTTCGTCTTCCACTGTGCAACGGGCACCGATGCCTAACCCGAAGAGGCCACAAAGAATGAAGTAATTCTGTGCGATTTAGTGCTAAAGCCGCTCCATCGGTGACTGAGTCAACGCCTTTCTAGGGCGTGTGAAGAAATTGTGCTGCGTTAGCACTCACGCAGCAACAACTTGGTTCTTTTCTCTTCCGGTTGATGGCGTGGCAGAGGCAGTGAGGGCAGCGGAAATGCAATATATGCCGATAAGAAACTTGACAATAGAGCATTCCCCCTCGACAAAGCAGTCACTGAAGGGTAGAATGCACAGGACGAGCAATGAGGCATAGCAGTGGAACCTCCCACCGCTGAAGAGGCGTAGACACAGGTGGGAGAGACATAAATCCTGCTGCAGCAGTTTGCTTAATCCGCATGCAAGTCGTTTTCCCGGAACAAGAGGCTCATCTTCTCCCTGCCGTGAGCGACGAAGCAAGCCACGTTGTGGACACAGAGACAGACTGCTTCGGGCAAAAGGCGCAACCACCGAAGACAAGGCACCAGTTAGGCAAAGTGCTGGGAGCTGACGCCACAAGAATAAGTCCAATGCAGAAGCAGAATCCGCCAGTAGATATTTGAAAACTTCCAGGAAGGCCCATACTGCCGCCCAGGTTCCTCCTCCAATGCAAGTACTCATGCATAGCCACCGGGCAATGGTGGCTGAGTCTGGAAGGCTATGCGCACCCCGCCTTCGAGTGGTATGGTTTGCACCGCTACTAAAAGGGTTCCGGAGGGTCCAGGCAGCCAACCCCAAAATGATGAGACTGCTAAGGGCCATGAAGATGCCGCAAACCATTAGCATTATATTAAAAGTGCATAGCTGGCGGACACTGGCCTGCCAAGCTTCCTGCGAGAAATTCGCAGACGCTAGCAAATATGGGACTAGAGAAGGTAAAGCAGATGCAGCGCCTTCTTTGGCTTCTTTGGCCGTCCCTATGTGTACATCTCCATCGTTGCCACTTCCAACGCCATCTGGACGGAGTTGAGACAAATGCGAAATCAGCTCAGTATCTGCCCCCTCAATTCCAGCAGTGGGCATCGAGATAGTGGAGCCCAACTCCCCGAGCCGGGAGTTAGGCGCCGATGAACCTGAAGTCAGAGGTACGTGTGCTGCTTGAGGCAGTGACTTTATCTCCTTGTCCAGTTCAGAATACAGCCTGAGCCATTTAACCTTTATTGCCGCAAAATGAGGATCTGTAAGCACTGCCCCGTTTCCAGTTAGCGCTGCGTGGGTCAAAATGGCTCGGTGCTGTTGCCACGCTACGATGTGATGCAGCTGTGTAAGGTAGGCCAGGTCACTGCAGCGCACTGTCCTTGCAGTTGCAAGATCTTCACTCTCCTTCACGCTGCACGGCTTGCCATCGCTCGTGCCGCACGAGAAGGTGCTCAGAGATGTTCCCTGAGATTCTGAAGCGCACTCCTGCACAAAGCTTGCAACGCTCGGGACGAGGTCTGCTATGATTCGCCCCATAGAATTAAATGGAATGGGAAGTCCCAGGAGTAACGAGAGCGTTGGTGCCAGGCCAACCTGTCGTACTCGGCTCGATCCGTAGCCTAGTGCTGCTGTTGGGGAGGCTGCATCAAGTGCTGAACCCGATCCAACCCTCCGACGCCCACTGCTGTCGCGGAACGCACCGTGGTTCTGCAAGTACGTCGGCAGACGACCTGGAAAAAGCCGTGTATCAGGAGAAAGCATCTGCGCAGTACGGGGACTTAGCATCGCCGGCAGCGTCGAGAACGACAAAAGACCAGCCTCGACCTGGGATGGCAAACAACCGCACTCAAAAACTCTGAACATCGGGAATCAAACGACACGATGTCCTGCCAAAAAAAGAATCATTTCTCCCCATTTTAAACCATTGATCAACTCTTCCACTGCACTTGAAGCTAGCCAAAGCTGCGTTGCGCTCAAAAAATCAAAGCTGTCCAGAGACTACTTCGGTATTCCTTGTACCTACTTCCTCGCTGCTACCACCTCCATGAGATCCTGCTTCAGTCATTCCGTGGTCTCCAAACACCAGGAAGAGCGTGTGAGTTGGCCTGGTAGGCGTTGCACTAAAGTCGTGTTTAAGCATCAATTTGAGAGTATTCTTAAGCATGCCATTCATTTCTGTCAGCTTCTTGTGCATCAAATTAGAATCAAGGACTGCTGCATGGCCCACATGATCTACACCAAGAACGTGGCCGACAAGGAGAGTCCAGTCGCCCTTCCTGCAACGCATACAGCCATCGCATACCTGTGCAGTGTATCATTATGGCATTCCCTCTTGAAAATTCAGCCAAACGTCCAGGCTGGCAAGTCTCCATACAATCTGAGTGGTCGTCTTGCGTCAGGGCATGCTTAGACTGGAGAGGTGTTGGGAGAAGGAAGAGAAAAGAGAAAGCCCGAAGTCGTCTAGGGAAGGGCGAACTCTCCGAAAGCAGATTGGGCAAACCGCATCGCTACCCAGTAGTGAAGCCTTACGCAAATTCCCGTGGAAGTTTAGCGGCGACTCCGTCATCTACTGTGTGCAAATCCTGGATATTCAACGACGGGAATGCGTGCACCCGAGTTAAGAGGTGACCAAACAGGCGATCCCACGTATCGTCTCCTGTTTTGTGGCAGATAGTCAGGAGCAAAACAAAAGGCGCTGGTGTTTTGGATTTTGCGCTTGTTACACGCAGGAAAATAAGAGCAGCGGCATTGCAGACATACCAATGGCGACGGAGGTCTTGTTTGCTGCATTCAGCTGCAGCAGCAAGCTATCCACGTCTACTGCTGGCGCAGAAAACGTCTCCCGGACCTGAGAAATGTCGGTGAACCCAGCCACAAGAGATGAAACTGGTTGATCAAAGCCAAGTGCGTACACCCCCAACTCTGCGTAGAGAGAGGCCACAACAGTTACAGCCTTCCTTACTACAACCAGCCTCCCAAGGCATGCTCCCACCGACTATGCCGCTCTTTGCGCACACGTCGGGTGGAAAATCCGCTGAATCTTACGCTGAAAAAGCTCGGCATGCTTCCTGTAGCGAGGCCACTCAGACGCTGCGTAGTGGCTGTAGGCGGATCTGCTTCGAAGATGTATAATCGAGTGAAACGGTTCCCTCCCCAGTTATACGTGGAAGGCAAAGAAGCAGGGCTCGTCTGTGAGGCACTTGGTGGCAGCTTGGTTTCACGTGAACTCAGGTCCTTCTTCAGTGCAGCAGCGCTGCTTCCCAACTCCTCTGCGGACATTTCCCTGTTCTTCACCAGGCTGAGGAGAAAACGCTGTAGGTCTGCATCGGATCGGCGGAGAAGGTCGTGCGCCAAAGGCATGCGATTTCGGTAGAAAGGCCGAAGCCCAGAAGGCGCTCTCACACACTCCTTAGTGGCGTCGTCTTCACAAGCACTCGAAGCATCCGGGTCCCAAAGCAGAAAGTCATACCGCATTGCATCAATCAGAAAAACAACGACGCGGTCATATGGTGTTACTGACACCCAAGAGGATCGACAGGGCTGAACCTGGCATGGTTCGGGCTCTGAGGACAATGGAAAGAGCTTTGGGTCAGTGAATTGCTCCAGATACAAAGGCCTAGGGGAGCCGTCGCTGTCAACGTGACTGCCTGTGCTACGTGGGGCTCTAGGGCCACTGCTCTCCACATAGTACACACTCTCTTCTCTATTCAGTTGGAGCCGTGCCGGGTCTAAGTGAGGAAACAACGGAGGGAATGGTATGATTCGTCCGTTGCTAATGTACGGCAAGTCGTCTTTCGAAAGGAAGAATCCACTAATGAAGAGCAAAGTCCCAACGGAAAACAGGGTCAACGACAAACCAATGACCAAAATGAGCCGAGATAACAGAGCGTGAGGTGTGATAGCAACTGGAAACCTGGTCTCATCTCCTCCTGCTTCTGCCTCCCTGGAGGACCTTTTGTACACAGAGCCCTGGCCAGAAGGTTCTGTAAAATCAAGATCATCATCCAATGCGGCTGGATGTTGCATGAGGATGCATGTCTGGCGAGCTCCTCCCGATGAACGAAACATCACGCCTGCTTCAGGAGTGCCATTCCTGCTTGAAGACATTCCCCTGCAGATGGTGTTGCAATTTCTTCAAGTTGCCCGAGAAGCATGTCGCACACGTATGAGGGGTAACGGCAGCGGCGCCACCCTAGGAGAAAGTTGTATGTAGCCAAAGTATAGCCAGGGCAAGAGGTCGAGTTCAACCCACGCAGACTTCTCACGCAAGCTTGTCCTCTTAAGACAGTAGCAGTGCTTCAAATAGTCATCATCTTACCTTATCCTCTGCAGTTCCGTGGCCAGTGGTTGTGCTGGTACGTACTGGGGGGGGAAGCGTTTTAAGGCTCGCTGGAAGCGGGCAGGCAAAAAAATCCAAAGCGGTAGTTTTTTTTCGTTGTTTCTCCCTAGAAATGGCTTTTCCCCTGTTAGACCCGAAATAGCCTGCTAATCAAGCACGAATTTCAAGTCAGTTATGAGAAGGCATCCACAAATGCAGTGCAGGGAACGAACGTAGCACACGGGCAGTCCAGGGGACGGGTCGCCGTGGGCCAAGAAGTTCACAGGGCAGAGATACCGGATAAACCGAGGCAGAATACATTGTCCAGGATGCAAGCAGTAAGCAAGTAGTCGTTATTGGATGGTAGCGTGGGAAGAGGATAAGACAAGCATTCAAACGCATGCAGTCAGTCAGGGGAGGTGGTCTGCCGAACGCAACCATGGCTCGCCATACGACAGAAAAGCTGCATCAGTAATAACAGCTGACGTGGAAATGTAATAATAAATTAATACCCAGGTTAATAAAGATATAATGTGTCTAGACTTCTGCAGCTGCAGCTCACGTCGGTGATCACCGACCCTCCTGGAGACTGACCAAGGCTTAAGTCGGTCTGGAGGGCAGAAGCAGTTGTCTTAAATGTACCTCTTATTTCAGATTGAGTTAATGCTTGAGGGGGTACTTTGCTTTGTTTGTTGGAGAAAACGTGACTCCTGTTTTGTTCCGTTAAACTGCCATACACTTCAGCCGGTTACGTAAGTAACCGGCTGAAGTGTATGGCAGTTTTGTGCGGCTTTATGCTTGGGGCACGCAACAGAATATCATTAGCATGTGGAATGTAGGGATATACAGGACCTTACTGTAGATCTACAGTATTTGTTCGAGATGCTGCAGACAGAAAGATAAACTGTCTCTTTGCTCTGAGTGCTGATGCTGTGCAGCTGCGTAAGACAGTTTCTGTGTACACAGCGCTTCACTCCGTAGTGAATCCACAAGGGACATTCTTTCAGTCGTTATTATAGGGAAGAGTGGATTCTTGGGCCTCGCTCCAAGTAGGGAAGGTGTGAATAGGCCTCTTCAACAATATTATAATGCTAGTGAAGGCTTGCGGTAAATGTTGTTGCTTTTAATAGTCAAAAATGCTATTGAATCCGTTAAATCATGAATTGCATTGAATATACGTTTGGATGAAATCCGAAGAATTCTCAGTTGATATTTGCTGTGCACTATTGTTTAAAAATATACAACCACAATGAATAATGTGAAATATATTTCCTAGATTGCCTGCTAGATCAGCCACTTTAGGTGCCTAGGTGCGCAGTATTACAGGCATTGCTTCTCAAGACGCTCTGAAGAAGAAGGCTCCCGGGATACAGAACCGTCTCTACGTTTGCGTCTGACTAAACGGTGTCCGTTTGCCTGCATTCCTGTTCTTTTACTTCAAAATTTATTTAGCCCTCTACGTGGTGCTCAGACGGTGAATTGCACTTCTGCAGCCTAGTCTACATAGACTAAAAGATAGGTTCTTGACGATATATAGTGGGTCAGTTGTATGGTTTGACGTTGTTCCCTTTCCCTCTTTTTTAAGGGTGACTTCAACTCCTTTCGTGCAATCCTTGGTCAGCTCCCACTCTGCTGTTACCATATCTTGATTTGGTGGACGGCCTTGGATCTCTGGCATTCTATTCAAACTATGGTGAGCTTCGTTTTCGAAAATAACGGGTAGAGCGATCTACGCTGACATTCCCCAATGCATACACCGTAGTACCATCCGAAAACTGCGGTGCACCAGACACCACAAGTAGGAGCGCGCTACCCATGCGAGGGAATCTGCTCGTTCCTTGCGCTACCATTCCGTGCTATGGGGGAGTAAAATGCACCGGCATGGAAACCCGTGGCCCATAACTATACCATAGACTTGAGCAATTCCTGTGAAATCGAGTCCCGCAAGTGACGGGACAAAATCTATTTAGATTCACGGCAAACTAGATGAAATACGCCCCGCCAGGGATATATGCAGCTTATAGGAACCTGCGTTACTGGAATTTTGGGAGAATTTTCCACTCCTGCCTCAGCAACTCAACGTGGCTGGCAAAGATACTGGGGGCCTCACAGGGCAGCTCTCTCTAGGGAAGAGCTTCTGACCGAAACTCAGCGGCGTTCTCATCACAGCAGAGATGTCGTCACCTCTCGATTATATTTTCCGTCTGTGATATACCGCCGCAACCGACGCAATATACGCACACAGATAGAGCTCATTCCTCCAGTTCGCCCTCCCCCATCACTTGAACGGGGCCAAAAAGGAATTGGAATACCCGGTCCAAAACGCCTGACTACCGTATCTGCTCACCGAAGGGGTGCTGCAACTTTCATAAGAGCAAGTGCAACCATATGTACGCCGAATTTGATTCCAACAACGCCCCACCTTTCAAATTGTCTTCAGGCTTAAACCGTTCCCAGGGCATTTTTAGGTGTTCCACTTATAGCAGCATACGCGTACAACGGGGTTGCAAGCGCAGCCGTCACTGCCTTCCATCCGCTGTGAATGTGGGACTAGGCCTGAGCCGGACTGCTCAAGTCCCCCAAAATCTTGACGGAAAGCCCTCCGTTGCTGAGGAAACAAGGGCTATCAAGGTTCCTATTCACTGTAGCGACCAGTTGAATACTCTTTCCAGGGGTAGGAGACAAAAACGAAAATTCAATTGTGCGTATGGTCGGAGGCTGCCGTTTTCAGTTTTCCTTGGCGGGTCTTCTGGTCGTTGCCTCACAGGTTGCAGGTGACGCGCCTTAACATAGCCATTCAGCCTTGCTGCAGCATACAGATGTGCGTAGCAACCGGCGGGCTTCGACACAGCAGGGGATATGTACTTGCTGCGCTTCTATAATTAAATAGCAGATGTAGTTTCACACACACCGAAAGCCAAAGGGACGCTAGTGTGGTGTCATGCTTCGTAACCCTCCTCCAGAAGTAGTCAACCCCAAACTTGCCCGTCGATATAAATTGTGAATAGGTTCACTTTTGCCGACGGACACACACGCTTAACGTAGAAGATGGCCGTCCCCGATGTGCCATTTGATTCCGCCGGCGGCCACCCGCCAGCCCCTTCATAGAGAGCCTGGGCGTGGAACTGGATAAATTTTGGTGGCCCTCTATTTACTTTTATCCTTTGTCTCTGAGTTGTGGGGCTTTAGAGTGAGGATGCCAACATCACCATTTCATTTCCGCCTTCTGCGGGATGCGTGGACACTGCACGCAGGCTTCCATGCAGTGGGTACGATCCTTTCGATCTCACAGCCTCATGAGATGAAGCATTACCCAAGGCTAGACGCCAGACGAAGAATCTTTGTGCCGTCGCTAGATGCTCACTAGACAGCAAGACCCCGGAAGACAAACATAAGATACCTCTTTGCCGAAGGGCAAGTGCAGTGGATACTGGAACGTTGGAGTGCGAGCGCAGGTAGAAGGCAACTAAACCGACGATGGAAAGTTTTGACAAAAGACCCCTCAGTGTTCCCGTAATTCATAACTGAAGCTTTACCAGTACAGGGCTCTGCCTGCCACAGCATAGCTCAGTGCACCTGCTGTGCTCTGTGGAGTAAAGAGAACAGATCCGATGCAGTCGATGAAATTTGTCCATACAGAAGAGCCTCTTCAAAGAACATTGTTGCGCTAAAGCTGCTATTATTTTGAAGTACGCTCTCGGAAATTATGTGCAGCACTCGCACAAGTGGGGTTACGTGACACTGCAAACAAAGACCAGCGTTGTAACACTCGGGGGCAAGTGGAACTGGCATATATAGTCCAAATATGAATTGGGGAGGTCTTGCACCAAACATTCGTCACAAGTCGGAACAATTAATCTCAAGTTCCAGGACAAGGCAACCCATCACCTCCAGCTGCAATGCTGTCTCTACGCACGATATTCAGGCAGAAGCGAGTTCACAAAGCGCGAAGACAATTTATGGCGATCCTGGATTCGGTAGGCAGTGGAGCACGCTTGAGGTGATGTCTCAGTGACTGGAAAATCGGCGAAGGATTTGATGGAATATAGGCTCCAATCGAAGATAGTCATGCCCAGGTCATGCTACAGAAAGGGTTTTCTTTCCGCTTCCTAGTGAGGCAGAGACGTTAAGCTACCTGTATGCCCATGGGCCAGCATGCAGCTTTAGTTCCAAAGGTGCTGTCGCAGGGATAGTTATCCTTTAGGGCATTGCTCTGGAAGAACATATGCAGACCGGAAAACCAACACAACATGTTTGTTCCCAAGACAGAACAAATCCATGCGGCCATACACCAACTCACGGGCAGCAGTGATGGGATGCGGACATTCCCAGTTCCCACTGGGCTACACCTGGAATAACACCGCAACTGCCCTAGAGTTGAACCTGTAAATAATCTTGAAGCCACAGTTGTGGATGCTCCAGGCACCATATCAATAGCAACTAAAAGAGGCGTGAATTGACCTAAACATATCAAGTGGGATGTCAGATGGGCTGGGCGTTGGGGACCACGGAAAGGCGCCGGCTCAGCACAGACGGTCGCCTAGTCGCTTCTGCCGCGAAGTGCTTAGGGGGCAGTTCTTTCACTGGGTCTTGCGAATCCAACATGTCCTTGGCAGGGTTCAGATTTGTGGAGCTCTGCGTCGCGTTGGAGTTCGCATTTTCATCGTTATCTGAGCGACCAAGCTCACGATTGTCCCCAATGGCACTGCCTGCACCTGTTATGGGCGTTCCCCAGCATCGATCCCTTTCCTTCTCTCCAGCTGTATTCAAACGGCTGTGTTCTATAGGACTTGGAGGTGGGCTCCATTCAGCACAGGGTTCCGTCTGCGAGGCCCCCGGGGTTTCTTGCCACACATTGTGGGGTCTCTGCCTCCAAGAAGGTGAAACCGTAAAGGGGAGCCTGCCTAGTCCACTTCCTTCTGAAGCTACGGCCCCAGTCGGCTCCCTAGCATCATTAAGCTGCATCTCTGCACCACCCTGCTGAGAAGGATTAGGAGACGTTCCACTCTCTGCTTCGGCACCGCGGCCCGGAGCCAGCGTAGGCGATAAGAAGGCTATACTATCCCTAGAAAGCAGCCAAGCCACATACACGGATTGCATGTGTCGAACCCCGTCTAACGAGCTGCTTTGTGGGACGAAAGAAATTGGATGCGTGCTTGGTGGCGTTGGCGGCCACCTTGACCAAAAAGGCATGTTTGAGCAAGGGAAAACGGTTTTGGAGAACTACTCCGCAACGACTTACTCATCGTCAGAGTCGTACAGGTTTGCTAATTCTCGACGTATCAGCGCCAGCTCCAAGTCCGAATCGCCTCGCAGCAGCATCAGTTGAAATTGGTGCGCCAGCTTCTGGCGCAGCTGTTGTCGCTGTTCCCCCTGCTGAGACAAATGAGCGGCTGCTTCTTTGCTCGCCCGTTCATGCTCATCAAGCATGTACAGCTGGACCTGAACAAAAAATGTTTCCGCAACTTTAGATGTGGTTTGCAAAGACCGAATAACGGTCAGCACATGCACTGGGTACGGATTCAGATTGCTGAGCACAATCAGCCTCAGTGTTGGGCTTCATGCTCATTCAGGTGGTTAAGAATGCTCTAGGAATGACAACGACGCACCTTGTTGAAAGGGGAAAAGCTGATTCCTCGGTTTCTCGTGCGTCCCTCAGAAGGCTGCTGCGAGCCATTGCTGTTGCGAAGGATTGACTTTCGGCGTCTTTCGTGTGGCACAGTGCCTGTAACAAACGAGCAAATATCCATGCTGATGCCATTTTTTAAAGAAGAGGTGCTTCACCACCGACGTACAATTGCAACCAGCACATTAAGCATAGGCAATTTTGCAAGTGAAACCTCGACTTTCTTTCTACTTCAGATTAAGGAGAAGATATTGGGGTTGATGCGTGGTGTTGGTACACATTCTAATCGCTCAAGGTATTTGCCACGTATCGGTCAGCATACAGATTAAGCAGTCCTCACCATGCACTTGGCGGGCCGCCATTGGAACGACGCGTTGCTCCACTTTTGTGAAGTTCAGCCTCGAGCTCGCTACGGAGGAACACCCAAACGCGGAGAGCGGGACGATAGTGTCCCACAGTAGATTGACACGCTTCACGTAGAACCTGTAACATTAGTATTATTGGGCATTTCTAGGCTTACTGGTTGTCGTCGTCGTTCTGGTCTGTTCGCTGAACTTCTTCACGACGCGAAGCAAGTCAGCTCGTGAGTGGAAACGCAAGTCCTGGTCCATCCATAACACCAAGTCTTAATGTTTTCTGATAGTTGACGAGTGAGCTATTAAACCACAAGTCGTGAATAATTGAACGTGCTTCAGCTTTGAACGATAATATTACAAGACTTACCCCCTTCAAGAAACGCGACACCTCAACACGAAGTTCTTCTGTTGTGAGGACCTTCTCTTCCTCTTCATCAACCATGACTGAGTACACATGCACAAAATTACATTAAGTAATAAACTCGTGCTTTTTCACTAAGGAGCATCAGAGGAAAAATGGCAGATTTTTCGTTGAGTCTAGCATAGACAGGAACAAGTTACCTCATTCCTTGGCTGCAACCAAATCCACGCGTTCAAAAGATCAGGGAGCCGTGGAAAACAGAGTAGCCAGCGAAGACATTGCAACACAGAGGTGGTAGAAACACCACTATGATCACTCTGAGAGCAGTTTGCATCAGCTGACTGCAGAGTAGCCGTGACTCACATGGGTCAAATCCCCAAAATGAAGGCTCTTCTTTGGAGAGAGCCTTCCGGTTTTTCAGCAATTCAGCCTCGCGTTGTTCCCATGCAAGCAATCGCTCTCTTCGCTGTTGTTCTAGCAACAAATTCTGCTGCTTTTCCTGGTACTCTCGATCGCGGCCCTCCCACTCCTGGTGTAGTGCCTCGTTCTTTTGTTGTTGGGCTGAAACGCGCTTCCCATCCCCATCTTCGAGGCTACAGGCACTTGAAGCTCGACGCAGGGACGTAGAGGTGCCTGATTGATGATTATCATCCCCATTGTCGTTGCCGGCACCTTTTTGCAGTGCTAGGCTATGCGGGGAGCTGCTGCGCCGCCTGCTCGGAGGATGCGCCGTGACGCTACCCCACGAATTCTCCGCCAGTGCTGCGCAGGCTGCAGATGCAGAAACACCGATACCTGCACTAGAGTTTGTACTGGTGGAGACTGCGGACCAGCCGATTGTGCATTTCGAGCAGCTTCTGTGCCCTTCGTCTGCGGCCTTGAGGCAAGCCCGTTCTGATTGCGCGGGGGGCGTAGATATTACACTGCGTATGCTCAAAAGTTCGGGCTTGCTCAGACAGCTGCTGTGAAGACCTTTGTTGCGCGCATCCTGTTCAACAAGCTCGGCATGCTTCGCATCTACTTTAGATCCGGTTGCATTCGCATCGGAAGATTTCACTGCTGCCGAATCAGAAACTTGAAACTCCATGTCCGTGCGGATCGGTGAATGACACTTTACCTCCGGGCGGCCTTGCCGCAAGGCCGCTACTGCGGATATTGCCCGAGGGCCTGAGCTGCATGCTGGTAATTTATTGCGAGAATTACGTAGCCCGCGAACCCCACCTGCAGATGGTTTGCAGCTCACTGTAATGCGATTGACGCCCTTTTGTTTCTCTGGAGCACTAATAGGGTGTCTAGGCTTTATGATAGACAGCGCACTCGCACTGCCCCGTCCAGCTGCACTATGAAACAGCCCTTTGCCACTGTTGGCTCGAAGCTTTCCCGCAGAGGGGCGTGATGGGGTAGCGCGAGTAAAACCCCTCCGAGCGGTGCTTACTGTTGCACTTCTCCCTGCTGCGGGACCTCGTGTTGAGCTGCGTCCTCCTTTGCTGGCCCCAAGGCAAATATCAGCCTCACTATTCCTTGAAGACACTGAACTCTCGGTTGCCGCTTCACACGGTGAATTCCCAACCCTTGCCACTGGCTTGCGTTCCTGTAGCGCCGCACCTTTTGCAAAGCGCACGGGGTTCCTTGCTGTGCCAAGCAGAGAAGCCTCGTCGGTGACATCCTGAGAAGCCACCGGTGATACACAAACAGAGCGACGCGCTGACGGCGAGGTTGGATCCCAAGGCGAACACGCTCCTGCTGATGGCACCAGTCCAGTGCTGCGCCTCGCCGCCGAACGTCTGCGCGTTGCAGCGGCTGCTGCGGGAGAATCGCCTGGCCCTCTAGTGGTTGGGCAATGGCCCTTGCTGTGCGGCTCCGAGGCAGCCCTCTCAGCTAGGTCAGGTGAGTGTTTAGATGTTGCAGGCATCGAATGGCTTTTGCACTGCCTCTCCGATGCAGTTACACGAGGAGCACCGCCAGACCGCCCCGGTCTGTGCCAGGTGGAGGCAGGAGTCGCACTTTTCCTTGGTGAAGGAGGAACGTTGCGCATTCCAGGTGTCTCCGTCACTCCCTTTTCCCCTCCTGCTTGTCTGCCGCTCCTGAGCGGTACTATGGAGGCGTTGGAGTTGCCCGAAGCCAGCTTGAGGCGTGACGCTGGCACCGCCGAAGCGCGGCGAGACGTCACAGCGGTTTTTCCAGTAGACGCCGCCTTCAGTGTAATGTTACTGGCCATTTCAGGCCCATCTTCTGTCGCAAGCGAAGCGATTTGTTCGCGGGCATCATCCTCCCGCTGCTCCCCCACGGATCTCGGGTTGGAGGCGGTCGTTGGCACAGGCGGAAGGGGTGACATGCAACGCTGTGAGGCTCGTTGGCGAACGGAAACACCCGTTGCATCCTCATGAGATTCCAACGAGCTACAAGCGGCCCGTGGAGTCTGGAATGGATGGCCGAATGGGCCCCCTTCACCATGTGTACGACGGGGAGACGTCCGAAGTGGACTGCCCAGTGCATGCTTCTGCTTCCCGATGGGGCTACGTATATGTGGCCTGCCACTAGTAGCAGAAGCGCCATGAGACTGCATGTGGTGGGTCTGCTGCTTTGGCGCTGTCGCAGCATTTTGCCGAGGGGAGTAAGACCTGGAGTTAATAGGAGATGAGACCGGGAAGTCCGAAGGGGAAGGTGGAGGATGCTTCTGGAAGGGGGACTCTATCGTGCTGCTGCTGCTGTTGCTGTCTACGCAGTTGATGGGTATATCGACCGTCCCTCTATCGCCATCACTTTCCCCTATATATGGCACCGCCGTGGTAACTGAATTGCGTCTAAGTGACGCCTTGGTTGTGGCAGGAGTTGTACCCACAGTGACGAGGGTATGCGTAGATGGACGAAGAGCAGAAAGGCGCTTGCGGCCAAGAGGCTGAGGCGCTCCATCAGCTGATGAAATAATATCATTTTTCTTAGGATATCCATTTGGGGAAAACGAATCAGTGGAGATTACAGGGCTACTGGCGCGCCGCTTGCGAGCTCCAATGCCCCGTGACACAGTATCGGTACCAGCCACGGAATTGAGTCCGCTTGCCTGACCAAAGGAAAGATCCAGAGCTTCTACCACTGTCTGAGATTGATACTGCTGCTGCTGAATGTCGGAGATAGCGCACTGCCCCTTCAGCTGCTGTCCATGAAAAACTGGCTCATGCTGCTGCCGTTGTTCTTTTCGGGTAATGCATTGCTCTTGCTGGGAGGAAGTTTCACTGTGTCCCAGGTGCGCTTGTCCACAAGACTGTGCTGCTACAAGTTGCTGCAAGAGATTCGCACTGCTTCTTCTTCGTTGTGATCTTGTGAGAACTTGTTCCTCCGTCGAGCTGAAGGGTGCCATCTGCCGAAGCGCTCTGACATCATTAATGAACAACGGACCTCCCACCCCCTGCTGCTGCAAATTCTGCCTGCATGACTGAGTTCCTCCAGCTGCAGATTCAGGTGTTGCTGAACTACTTGGAGCTCCCTTCCCCGTGCTGTTCGGGGAAGAAGAGACGTAGCCCAAAGAGCGGTCAAGAGGCGCGCGGGGTGACAGCTCCCCGTCATCCCACATTTGCTGGAGTTTCTCGTGAACTCTATCTGCATCAGGTATCATGATATCTTTATTGATTCCTCCTGCTGATCTTATGGTGTTGCGGGTCGGCGTGGAAGCGGCAGACAGTGGTGATTCAGCATCTAGGGCTTGGACTCTTCCAGGATGTGACCTCCTTCTTCCAAAGAGATGATTTTTCAGCTCTTCTGGCACCAGCAACTCGCCACCACTTACACATTTTCTCGTATCTTCTACAGCGGAAGTGCTGCTTGGTCTTTCCAGTCCCTTCGATATATCATCGGATGAACGACTGTTGCTTGCGCAGCCGCTGGGGGAGGCCCGCCGCATTAGCGGTGATACCCTGACTGGCCTCATAATGCATGGACTGTGCGGAGCAAAAACAGCATGAAGTTGTGTGATTTGGCAGTTACCTTGAAATTGTTCCTATCAGCACAGGCACATCCCGCAGGTGGTGTAGGCCGGTTGAACCGGCGAACCCCAAGCATGCAGGGCCTTCAAAAGCGGTATTTCAGCCTAGGCAAAACATTACCAAGCCGTTGATGAGGTGTCCGTAGTGTAGACATGTCGAGTAGGGCAGTCGGCGGCACCCTCCTACCGCGCCACAGGGACTGGCGGGTGATACCTGGAACATATAGAGTCCAGAAAGTTCCGCATATGGATCAACTAAGCGATAATAATGACATGATTAACCTCAATACATTCGAAATAATCGAGATCCACTGTCCTTTTGGGCATAACGGCAGCCATGGACGGCAGGGATGGCCATGGCACTCTCAACTAGTGCGCAAATGCCTGGCCCACGAGGCCAATGAGCTAGCTTGGGTGTGTCTCTTACGCATAGAGACACTTAAGACAACCAGGGTAAAATAATTATACAGGCTTGAAGGGTTGGAATTGGAGACACGATGCATGCAACACTGGTGTAGTCGGCGGCCCACGATGGTGTGGTGTTTGTGGGGGTTATGCCGATCAGGGATCTCTTTAGACTGTAATGCCTCTGAACGGGAAACACATTGTACAGGTGCATCTGCGTATTTATTTTTGTAAAACGCTGCCTTGACAAGAGTTGATGCGCAACAGAAATAGAAATTGCGGAGCCTGTGGACACTAGACCTCGCCTGGTTCCACTTTGGGAGGTGATCACGAAACGTTCCATACACTGTTTCTGCGGGAGCATCCAGCTACGCTATTCACATGAATTGCACCAAAGGCTTGCATCTTGCGTATGGCATTATTTAAAACAGGACGCAGTGTAGGACACGACGTGTCGTTCCACAGTTCTACTAAACTCCTTTTCGTGTCGTTGAATCACCGTTTTTGTTCATGGGTGGTCGTTGAACCTTTTAGAAGGCAAAATTAATAAACTTAGACCACATTTCGCAAATGCCATATGAGCCACCGCGTACTTTGCTATGGAGCTTACGTGGCGTTCTCGTGGCGTAGGAGAAAGGTGAGTCTAGCCAAAGACCTCAATCCGGGGCGACTACTAAAAGGTGCTGGTACCCAAGGAGAAGCGACCTCATCGCTCCTCGACTCAAAAATGATATATATATTTTCCCATTTCCAGGCCGTATAACTTGCTTTTTCAGGGCATTGTGGTAGGAACTGCTAGCAGTGGGAAACTCCGGAACGTGCGTTGCTTGCTGGGGCCGAGGCCCCGTCCTCTCCGCAGAGCTGGTACATTGGTGCTTTTGCGCATATTCTTGCTGTCTCTTGCTCGGCTGTCACTGACAGACACGGACGAGCAATACAACTCCTTGCCATTCCCTGTCCAACGCTCTCCCCACACTCCGGGGAACTTTCCCGTAGTGAGATCACGCTTCCTTCAGATGCCCAACTTACAAATGTCAAAGCTGCAGCTATGCAGTCTAGGTGGAACCAGACTCAGACCCTTTCACAAAGCTACCCCAGGCACGGTATGTTCTTCCTCTGCTACTAGTTGTGAGGGGCTAAGCCGTTATTGGAAAAGTTCCACCCCAGCAATATGCGTGCAGAGATAGCATTCTACAGTCTTCAGAGCTGAAAGAGGACGAACAGTCCGTAGTAATGTACTTCGGTCTGAAGCTTGCCTACTTGCATGAGGGCAAGAACAGGCTACTTCTGTATTTTCCGTAGTTGTTACTAAAGGGTTGGCGTGAGGTTTACCTAAACTGGTTGAGCAAATAGTATTTGGGTTTGGCCTAACTTGAACGTTTACTTCTGCACCATGCCGCGAGCATACAACGTAGCTTCCGTGCAGCCCTCACTCCCGGCCGTTCTTAATACATGGCTTTTAGCGCAAGTTGAACACTTTGGCATGAATGTAAGTCCAGCCTTAACAAGGACCTTACAAGAGATGCCCCAACAAAAGCGTTTCGGCGAAGACTTGTCGTACTTGCCAAAAACTCTCCGCCGGCAGTTTCCAATGGAATGCACGAACCGTTTAACCGTGCCTGCTCACCCTTCTATATGCCTGATGCCCTACGTCCCCTCGTCTTCTTCACGTCCAGTATTTATTTCCTGAAATTTGTGAGGGTATAGCCTTTCAAAGTAGAAACCTAGCAGCTATAGTTCCACACTGACGGTGTTTTAACGGTCGCTTAAGGCTAACAAGGTCCCAAGTTGAGTACAAACGCAAGCTGACAACTTGAAGCTTCGCGCGCACTACAGCCAAAAGACGGGCAATGGAAGATGCCAAATATCCGTGCAAAAATTTGAGACTCCTTTCTCCCCTAATGCCACTAATCTTGCCCCCTAACTCCATAAATTCTGTCTATGGATCAGGCAAAGTCTGAAGAAGCAGAAGTGCATACTGAAGAGCTGAAAAGACATACTTCCTTTCATGCTTCATCAGACGAGGACTCGGAAGGTAAGAGAGAACCCTCATCAAACCTAACAGGAGATCTGCGTTTCCGAGCTCCACTTTGAGGATTCTTCTCTTTAAGGCAACTTCGACCTCCCTGTGTGTCCAGGGGAGGAGGTTCGTGGATTGACTCAGGCTCCCGGGCTAATCGCCAGCGGGCGGTGGACTTGTCTTCAGGTGCGTCGCTCTCCCCATTCTCTGCCTGCCTTTCTTGATCCCTGATCTTCGAATAATTAAGTAGTGCAAGCGAATTTTTGCGCGTGCGCTTTTTCGCACAGGCCTCGGCAGCATCGCGGGTAACAAGCGCAGGAGTCAAAGGGGCCCCTTCTGCAGACTTCGTCTCATTCTCGCTCGGCGGTCCCTCGTCCTGCCGTTTGTAAGTAGAGGCCGCCTTTGCTGCCTGAGCCAAATGCACATGCTACAAACCAACGTCGTACAGGCTGCACGGGAAAGCACTGCATTTGCATGCGTCGCATATCATCAATGCCGGAATGAATGCATTTCGCGAACAGTACACTAACCTGAACCGTGATCCTGCGGAATCCACCAACTGAAAAGTACCAGTACTGACCAGCGCCGGCATCGTCCACAGCCCCATGCATTTCAACTCAAGACAGTGAATCGAGCAAAACAAGAAAAAAGCTGAACAGATGGGCCGGCTTTTTTAGATGCCAACCGCGTATATTCTAATGCAAGAAAGCCCTTGCGTACCATTTTTTCCTGAAGTGGAAAAAGAAGAGTTTCGAATGACTCCTTGTCTAGACAGAACAAAACTAGTTCCGTTCCCGCGACAACCGAAGCCGTGCGTCTTGTGTTCCTTATCAGTGCCATTTCACCAAAGTACTCTCCTTCCCCCTGTCTCGCCAGCTCAAGGAATCCTCCATCGTCTTGAGGCTTCTGTGTGATTGCTTCACCTTTATAGATAAAGCATAACATATCGCCATGAAAGCCCATCTTGAAGACAGTCTGGCCCTCTGCGAACCTCTCCACCTTACATGCCTTTGCTGCCGCTGCTATGTTTTCCTCCGGCAAGTCCCTAACGAGGCGAACCGTGTGGAGGAAAGACTGGGCGACAGGAACGAACGCCTTGCGCTTTGCTAGCATATCCTTCACTGAATCATTAAACACTTCTCTGTCTAGTACCCATAGCGCACATTCGCTGGTGCTCGGTCGAGAGGTCAATGCGCACTTAAGCTTTTCCCCAGAAACTAGCTCCTCCAGGCCAAAAAATTCTCCGGCTGTCAGCGACCGCAAAACTGAAACACCAAAGAAGCCCTGCATGAAATTGAAACGCACAGTAACGGAATGCTACCCCTTCGCCGCAAGCCACTAGAAAAGATCAGTCCAAAGCACAACGGTCCCAGGCCACCCTTCTGCAAAAGGTTTGAATAGATGCTGCAGTACAGTCAAATGGGTGTAAAACTACTTGCAAAGTGCGTATATAAGCCGTAGAGCTTTGGAAGAAACCCAGATAAGCAGATGACCGGATACCAATGGATGTGATATCCTAGTGTAGGGACTTGCAGCTTGGGAAACTTCAAATTCTCCTGAGCTGCACCACATGAGAGCAGGTTCTGCTCCTTCCTCTACTATACAAGTTGATGCGGGGAAAACGTCTCGTCGCATGAGAGATGCGACATATCTTTGTTGCTGTGGGTTGAGAAATTGCAATGTAGGCTCCTGCTTTATGGACTCAAGAAGGAGAGACGTTTCACTCGAGAATGCTCGGTGGTCATCACGCTGGACAACTGCAGGGTCTTCATAGGGAAGAGTTTGCTCTACGACGTCCATCTTTCCATCCCCCCCAGCCTTAGTTCTTTCAGCCCCAGCTTCCCCCCCAAAGAAAGCCCATATGCGGTTGCCCCAAGAACGGGCAGATGCTTCCTTCGCTGCCGCTTCGTCCGTTGATAGCTCACCTGCAGATCAAACACAGCACAACACAGCTTCGTCTTGGGAGTACCAAAGATAGCTATCAAGAATCGCCGATAGGCTTTCGGCCTTCAGAATCGTACAAGAAAAAAGTATCTGGATTCTTCTGTTCCTTTTCGCAGTGAATAACACAGCATTAGGCCACCCCAACTCGAAAAGCTCCTGTCGCTACAGTTCACAACGAAACCCTAAAGAGACGAATTCTGTAGAATGCCTGCTGTCTGCCCACTATTGCTCTCCACTACACCCGTCATCTTCCGCGTTGCTCTCAAGAAGCAACACCAATCCCAGTTCGCCCCAGCACAGTTCAACTATTTGGGCAACTTTGTAATTCGGTTCCTAATTCAGAAAAAAACCGCCACGCCAACACAGCTGTGAGATCTGGCAAAGCCACAGATAGTCCTCACCTGACATGAGGCCGATGAGCGTAGATAAGGTAATGCGACCATCCGCAGACCGGACCCTGAGATTGATCAGACGCACGACCACAGCATCCAGTTCAGCTTGATCTGCAGTGCGGTGTTAGGCTAATAGTGGTTGGGTACACTTCGAGAGGCGTCATCAGCCAGCGTGTGAACGATAATAATTCATATAGCTGAAGTAACCTATGGCACAAGCCCCTGTATAACTTTTAGCTCACCCTTTGACGTATTCATCCCAGATCTTCTCGGCCTTGTCGTTGTCAACTCCAACTTCAGCACACAAGCTGCAAGCGCATGGTTCCACATGTTTAGCAAATGGCTCCAATGAAGTGGCCACATCTTTCTTCCTACACCTGCACTAATGCAAGAAGTAAATTATTTTATAGTGGAGTCCAGAGCATATATCTAGAAGCTCAGCACAGTTCCATTCAGCAACTAAAATATATTTTGTATACGCCTCTATTACAAATATAGAATAATGATGATATATGAATATATTAAATATTATTTGTTTTGTTCATTTTGTATATACCAAGAGGCATTTCAGAAAACAGCATATACCAAATATTTCAGAAAAAGAATAATTGTGCCACTGGAATAACCGGTAAATATTCCTTTACACAGATGATTTTGGTCTGTCACTTATAATATCAAATGCCTGCAATACACATACTTTAGTTTGCGTATACATCTTACTTAGTATTATGGATTTACCACAAGTCATCTACACTGTACTTTATACACATGAATAAATTGACAGATTATATTTATTACTTATAAATGTGGTATAATGCTTAAGTATAAATTTGTAGTACATACTATTGGTATTCGTAGTGCATATTACTTATATCATTGCAAACATATATAATTGAATGCATGTAAGCCTAGCTCATAAGCCTACAGCTCTTTTTTGTCTATTCCCCGCGCGCTAGCTTCAAAGACCCATACTAACCTCGTGAAATTTTCTTTGGTACACAGATCCGTGGCTTCGAGGCCAACAACTTTCACGAAGGCAGACAACGCAGAGCCATAAATCTCGACGGCTCGTAAGTGGATTTCTGCCCCAGTGGGCTCCACGCCTCTAGCGTTACGATACAGGTTGCCCACGACCAGTCGGCCCTTTATTGGGCGGCACAGCTCGTCAAAGAGGGCGTCAAGTTCCTGTTTCTGGAACCCCCGAATACTGCTCTTCTTTGTGAAAGCATAGAACTCCTGTTCACCAAACACCCCAAGAAGCTTGATCAGTAGGTGTGCATGCATGCTCACAAGCGCCCTAAGTGCGAATAACCGACAGTGGTTATGAGAAACGCTGGCTTTGCATGGAATATGCACCAAAGATAGGTCGTGCAGGCGACCAGGATCCACGACAGTGGTTGCGAGCAACGCTGGCGTTTCAGGGAATAGACACCAAAGGTAGGTCGTGCAGGCGAATAGGGAGCTGGAGCGCATGAGGAAAATATGGGTGTGCTATTTACATCCGCATCTACAATGTCGCTTTTGTTGACGTCCATTTCTGCAAATGCGTGGGCAAGCGATCCGTATTTGTTCTTGAATGTGCCCACAACGAGTTCCCTCAAGCGATTCAGGTCCCCTGGAGAAATGGGCGCAACTGTCCGGGAGCTTTTGCTGTTTGCTGTTCCATGCTTCTCCTTATGAGTGTCCTTGCTCCCCGATCTCTTTTTCTTCTTCTTCTTTTCGTTCTCTTCGTGTACTGAAGCACCAGCAGCAGCACGTGCACCTTCGCTGACGCCCTCCACCGATTTTTTCTCCCCCGTTTCCTTGTGTGGTTTGGTCTCAGCATCTTCAGACGCCGTTCTGGGGATTTCTGAACTGGCTTGCTCCTCTATCTCTTCTGTTTCGCCACTAGGATCTGGAAGTGCATGAAGGTGGTGAGATGACCCTTGTGTTTTCGAATCCCTGAGCCATGCCGGCATTTCAGCCTCGGAAGCAGAGTACGCGCTCTCCGCTTGCTGGAGAAAAGCATCTGCCAGGTGGCCCAAGTACTTGTCAAATTCAGCGCGGCCCAGACACAGCAGCTGAGGGTCAGCAGTGCACAGCGGTGTTACAGACCTCTAGAATTAAACTTCAGCATTACACTTGCTAGGGTGAGTGCACTTGAGACAGCAAGCACTTTACTCCTGAGGTCTCACCTTGACCTTCGTTTTGGCTACACAGCTTGCTGTCCGAGGCTGGTTGTTCAGAAATCCGATTTCCCCTAGATACTCGCCTGCCTTCACTACCGCAACTTCTTTCCGAGGTTTACCGGGTCCGGGAGACTTTTGGATGGAAACCATCCCCTCAAGTACAATGCAAAACTTGTCTGCTGGGTCGCCCTCATGCATAATCACTTCACGCTCTCGTATCTCCACGACCTGTTAGCTCCACAGCAGACATAAACAAACTTTTGGCTTTAGGCACGTGTTCGCCCAGGGCCCTTCACTGCAAAAGAAACTAGGCCGCGTTGTAAATGAACACAAGTGGCACATTATGCACAAAATGACTTGTGGAAGGGCTTTTGCAGATATCTCCCACTCATATATCGCTAGCCCTCAACCCGTAAATGTGTTGTGGACCTTGAGGCTCGCGGACCTGGAAAGCAGATGCTAGCTCACGCAGTTGCTCGAGACTTAGCAGCTTGATGACATGGACACCGGAAAGAAGATGCACCACTTGGGGAAGTTCTTCATCACTCTGCATGCACCAACTGCATGTCCATCGAAAGCAGCCGTCGGCGAGGTGGTAGTGAGGCTGTTACCGCACGGAATGACAACATGAAAACAGTTCCGCTTGCTGAGAAACGTTCCATATCTTCTCTGGAACTCACCAGCTGACTATGCTTGTCCTCCCCCGTCATAGACTTGACAGTTTTCTGACTATACATTAATTTGGCATGCTCCAGAAAAGCGTCATGCAGGTCACCTAACAACTCTTCAAAGTCTCCAGCTTGCAGGGCATAAACCTGAGATTTCATGCGCAGCCAGAACATGCACAAAAAATGTACATGCTTGCAAAAAAGTGAGAATGCAGCATGAATAATTTTGCTGTCTCTGGACCATCAGCTTACAGCCACCGTTTACCGTATTTTTAATAGGGTAAACGGAAGCTGTAAGGAGGCCAATGGAAAGCTTGTACACCCCAAAGGAACCCCGCTACACAGAGGCCAGTACAAGCAAGCAGCGCATAGTGAATCGCATGCTCATACGCATGCTTCTGCGCATTTTGAGTTTTCTTCCTTACGTAGACAGGCGTGAGGGCAATGATGGATGCTACTCTTGGTTCGTGCTTAATTATGGACATTTCCCCAAAAAACGACCCCGATGTCATCTCCCCAATCTTCTGCATCTTGCCTGAGACAAAATACAACGGGAAGCAACCTACAACAGGCTAGAACATAGCCTCGGCCAACTGGCCAAAGGTCTCAAAGCTGCACTTAGACTGCATTGCAAGGGTTCTAAGAGGGTGGCCTCTGACCGCATCCTAGGTAGATCTCGATAGAGACTGTTCCTGATTCGATAGCATAAAACTTATCGGGGGCTTCGCCCTGTAATACAATTGCTTGGTTTGGGAAATATATTTCTAGGACCATACGCTGAGCAGGCCATAGGGACGCAGCACTAGCCGTCGCTAGCTCATTCATAAGTCTCACGGTTCTAGCACCATGAATCGGTTTCTATCCTTTGGCCTACCCTTTGCTGGTTGTGCGTAATCATCCAGCGCAGTCCATCTTGCAACAAGCCCCGCCGTTTCCGGGCTGCAGGTGCACTAGAGAAACCATGAAATGGTGCCAATAGACTCATTGGGCTCTACAGAGTAATAAGCACTGAAAAAAATCGAAAGTCGCTCCCCTATCAGAGCCAGACTACTTGCTTCCTCACCTTGCACAGTTCTTGCCGGCGCTCTTTCGGCAGATCCTTCAACACAGGAAGTGCTTCTAAAAGCAAGCTGCATTCTTCCCTCATCTGCTCAGCCGCGCATAGCAAAAACCGTTTACTTTCACATCACAAATAAGGATGCAACTGCTATTCACCCCGCTTTTACAGGGTTTGGCGAATGGTGTGGTGCCTGAACGGCCCTCAACTACCCACTGTGGCTGGAGCTTTCACAATGGAGTTCGCGCAACAATATGCACACTAGAAACTCCTCAAATTAGTAGCACACCCTTTCCGTGTCTTCCTGTAGCAGTCTCTCGATGAGTTCTTGGTCAACAAGTGTCTTTTCTTGTTCAGGAATAGCCAGTGTCGTGGATGTCTCCTGGTTGCTCTCAGTTTCCTTAGGGACAGCAGCCTTATTGCCTTCTTCAACTTCTTCCGTGGTCCCTGAACAGTTCCAAGTACCTCCGTCTCCACTTTCTTCCCCTTCTTTTGCTTGACTGTGCAGGCTCACGATACTGTTGTCCACTGTGGAACTACGACCACTTCGCCTCCGGAACTCCATTTCCAGCTTGCGTAGTACACTGTAAAATATGCCGCTCTCAATCGACAAGACCTGAAGCATCGGCAATGAACAGAAGCTCGCTTTGCATGGGTGGCTCACATCCTGAAATCGGAACAGGCCTGAGAGTGCCACTGAGTTCATCTCTGGACTGAACTCAGTGGCACTATCGCCTGGCGCTAGCAGTGCCCGCTTGATGCCTGGACTCACGGTGCAGTCGGTTTGGGCCTTGACTGATGCAGTGTGAAACCGCCCCTTGACTGTTGTAATGTCACCAAAAAAATCAAGAGGTCTGTAAATTCGGAGCTCTAGCTCCTCATCTGAATCTGCGAACCCCACTGCGACTGCCTCTCCATCTTTTACCATCAGTACGCGGTCTGCTGGGTCTCCCTGCAAAGACGGAAACGCCGCATCTCTGTAGTCTATACGTTTGCGGTCTTTCAGTGCAGGTAATGATTTAGCTGTGATTGACACTTGCACGGCTGCGTTTTAACTCTAGAAAGCAGTTCAGTTACGCAGTAAAGGCGCGTCCAAGCAAAAAGGCTGCTCGGGCAGACATATGCGGCAGTCGATATCAGGCAAGGGCACTCACTTTCTCAATAATTTTCTCGCCTGCATGAAATGTTTGCTTCCTGAAGGTCTGACAGATTCCCAAAACACATCGAGTGCGTGCTCAATACCTTGCCCGCAGAGGAGGACCAGGACGTTCAGTGCAGCTACAGGATGCGTAGCACGAAGCGTAAACATACCGGACCTCCTTACCACAGCAAGGCATCTCATCAACTCTGGATTGAGCTTATTAACCACTGGTACTTTCCGGAGCAATTTTTGGTACTCCTCCACTTCTCGCTGTCTCTGAATAGCCAGTGGCTACATTCAAACAAAAAAAATAGCGCCGAATGGCTGATAAGTTATAAGTTGAGATATAGCAACGGAATTGGCACGAGTCACAAAACAAGCAGCCTCAGGAAAAAAGCACCCTTCAGCAACAGCATTGCTGCTTATTGAAGATTCTCACCTCGTATGACCTCTCGAAGACACCTCTTTCAAGCGAATACAAGAAAACATCTTCGCCTTCACCCGCCTTGGCACAGGCTACGTTGGGCGTTCCCTCAATTATGTTATCAGAGAACAGCAAGCAAGGCGCGCTCATGTTCTCGACAAGGCTGTATTGAATAAATCCCTATCCACAGGCACTGAAAATGAATCACCGAAATTCATGAGAGTGTGCCTGAGAGTAAGCAGTACTAGGGAACGCCAACCACTTTATCTAGATCTAGCCTGGCTTGGTCTTGATCTCCATCTGAATGGCTACAGTTGCATTGTGAATTTCCGTACCGGCTCTAATATGTCAACAGTCCCCTTTAGAATGACGTACAGTGGACACTTGGGATCCGCTTCTGCTTGAATAAGCCCCCCTCCTTCCACAGTACGTGTCTTCATGTCTCCTATCATGGCCTTTCGGTCTTCCGGGTACATACAATCCCACGGGGGAAAATCGGCCAAAACCGCATCAACCTGTGCCTCATTGTCTGTAAACCCAAGTTCCTGGTGGGTAGCTGTGTCTGCAAACATCGCAAGGGCGGAGCGGCAGGGTTATACAGGTAAAGCACCGAATTGGCCCATTTGTGTGCCCAGGGGAGAAATTCGTGGAAAACCGGCGCTTTTGCTGCTTGCTCCTGCACACACTGCTACGTTAGTTAACATTTCCAGTCACCCAAAGCCTTGGCAACGATAGCCAGCTCCAGCAGGACTCTACGGGCGAAGCACCCTGGGGAAGGCCTAGGTGGGCAAGTTCTAGGGAAGACGTATCGCTCTGAAAATTAAACTCCAAACGTAGCGCATCTATCTCAGGGGACCATACAAGTGAGCTTTTTGAAGGATGAGCGTTTGCAAATCTTTGCTTCAGGTTTTGGAGTCTTCGGCGCCCCCGAGAAGACATTCAGTACGTTATTCAGAACGTTAGTTGCATCCCGCTCCACTCTTTCAACCTCTTCCGGATCCACATTGTCTGGGAACACGACAGCGTAGTAAGATGATATGCATAGAAACTCATGGGATAAAAAGCGTTGCCCCCCCAAAACCACTATACACGGGAAAAACGTTTCTGAATGAATGCTTGCGATGATACCATTCCTGGGAACTAAGAGCTCACCTTCCAGCAGAAGCAAGACGTTTTCTCGTTGAAGGCTGCCCCGTTTCGACCTGCATAAATAATTATAAATTTAAATACATCTGTATTATTTAATCAATATTTCATAGAAAATCATAAAGTAGCAGAGCAACATGAGAGCACCAGATGAACACAAGCGACTGCAAATGCTCCATCAAACCTGTGCCCGTCCTATTCAGGAAGGTAATTCCCCTCAAACATGAAAAAGCGAGTGTCACGGACCTGTCCATTTCGGCCCAAAGAGTATTCGCGCATGCTGGCGAGATTCCTGCTTGGCCAGCAATAGTGAGGAACTGATCCTGCGTCACGCGCCCCTCTGAATGTATGTCCGCGTCATTGAACGGCTGCTCCACGTCCCCAAATATCTATGGCATTCCCTAAGCGCACTAACCCGCAGTGGCTACGACGTGGACAGCCTACCAAAATCAGCAAAATGATTTGACTAACGTACAATGTCGCCGATAAGCACCTCGGTGGGCATGAGAGGGAGGCATAAAGGTCTTACAAATGGCTGCCGTTGCATTTACAATAGAAGAGAGAGGCAACTTGAAAATAACGAGCGGGGAACACCACCCAAGCATAGATGACAAATTCAAACGAGCTGTCTTGCGAATGCGTGGCCAGTGCATCACTTAGGCCAAAGTTGGACCTGCCTCTTCTAGTCTTCGATGGAGCTCAGTCAAGGTGCACGTCTCTCCTTCAAGATTTTTGTAGAAATTGCTGAGCAGCAACATGCCCTCGCAAGGGTCACAAAGTTTGTTGTAGAGGTCGTGCGTAGCACTGAACGGCAGATTCATGCCCAAGTCGTCAACGAAGTTGGCGAACTCCTGAGAGGGAACACTGATGTATGGACAGGAACGTTTGGCATATTGTGAACTCAGCAGTTTGCGAACAAGCTTGGCAAAGGTCACTCTTCACTCAACTGTGAAACGCCCACCATAAATAAACTCTAAGACTAAGCTGCGCTGGCTCCAGGTTTCCAAGTGTATTGAATGACGCGGGGGAATGCAGGGCGCGTGATGCATGTAATCAAGGAGTCCCGCCATTCCACTTGTGACATAACCTACGCTAATCTTCACAATCCCCGAGTGATCAACATCCATGTGGTTAAAAGCACTGGCAAGAGATGTGCACTTTCCGAGAACAAGCTTCTTGAACGACGATCTGGGCGAAAGGACTTCCGGTGCTGCCTTTCCGGAGGCATTCGCAGTCCCTGAGGACACGCCCTCCTTGTCAAATGCGGGCGCGTGCACAGCTGGAACAAACAATGCAGTGCTAGAAAGCATTTGGCAAGACTGCTCAGTAGCTTTACAAAATGCAGCGCTCTCCCTCACACTCTACAGCTAGCACTCCGTTTGGTGTAAAGGGCTCAAATGGCTCAAACACAAGCCCCTTACGTATGGAAGGAGCCGAATTTATCGTCTTCGAGCGTTTTTTCCTTGCAAGCCGGCTAAATGTTTGTCCTATTGCCACCTTCTGGGCTGCTGCCTGGAATTTCTCTGGGTTTAATAAGAGCGCACATGCAGGATCCGATGCATCTCCAACCTATCCCTTTGTGTCAAAGTGTGAGCAAACTGCTGGCAATCCCACTGTATACCCTGAGTATACCCTGAGTGCTTTTTTGAATGACGATCCAAGTGCTTACTCAGGCCGGTGACGGGCTCTTTCTTTGGTGTCTTCTCGGCAGGATTATGCAATAAACATGGTGCAGCAGGGCCGCCTGTAAGGGACTGGTTAAGTTTCTCTTCCATCTCCTTCAGCTCTAATTCCTTCTCCCTTACCAACTTCAAGGCTTCGTTTGCCTTCCTTTCGGCGGCTTGAGCAGCAGCGGAAAGAATAGCCCTCTCTTCGGTTGCAGCGGACTTGAGGGCCAATGCCTCACGCGCTGCGTCAGCTTTAATACTCTGCAATTCACATTCCAGTTCCCTGTGCTTCATGCGAAGCTTATGCAGCTCCTCTTCCAGCTCCAAACTTTGTTTCTGTGACCGCTCTCTAATCCTTTCCTCTGCTAGCTGTCTCTGTAGGTCTAGCTCCATCGCCTGCACCTCCATTTCCTTCCGGAGAGATTCACAGCGCTCTCTCTCCTTTGCTAGCTGCTGCTCGTATTGCTTCTGCTGTCTCATCATCAATTCACGCGCCTCTATGCCATCTTTGCGACGCTGTTCTTCAAATTCCTCCTCCTTCCTCCTCATCTTCTTCTTATGCTCAGCTTCCGCTCTACGGAGTGCTAATCGAGCCTGCATAGCTTCCTCAGCTTGCTGCAGTGCAACTTCTCTCTGGTCGATATCTTTGTTGAGCTGCTTCAATTTCTGCCAGCCCTCAGAATTGTCAGCTTCAGGGGAAGACTTTTCCACGGAGTCACTAGCCTTCCGGTGCTCCTCCAAGCAGACGGTAGCATTGCTCGCTATCTTCCGGAGCACTGCAAGGCGCCGGATTATGTCCCGTGTCTGATCTGTGGTCAGCGCATCCCACAATTTTGCACTGGAGCTTCCTGAGCCAATGCTGCTGCCGAAAAATGCATCTTGCATCGGAGGCAACTCCAGTATTCCAAATGCACTGTTAGATTCAGCTGGTTGCGTGGAGGTCCCTGGTCCAAGCTTTGTTGAATGGGTGGCTTCGGAACCAGGTAAAATGTTCTCTTGTTGCTCATGTATCTGGCGTTTTCTGTCTTCCAGTGCTCGTATCACCTTATCTGTCTCTTCGCGGTTGATCAACAACTGCTTGGCTGTGCGCAGTGCGGCTACTCTATAGTCAATGTCAGAAGAAACAGCGCTGCTCCCCGCCAGAACAGCACATGGGTCGTAGTCGCAGTCAAACACCTGAACGTCGTCTTCCCATTCTTCTGTGTTCCCTGTATCGAGCCGTGTCATGTCGCACTAAACGCAACACGCACGCAACCAACGGCAGCTTCGCCACTACAAGCTACCGATAAAAACGTGGAGAGGAGCTACAGTCCCGCACTTCGCTCTAAACTGACAAAGCAACATAACAATAAAAAATTCCAGTCAAAACCTCAGCAGTTCGATTGAGCCCAAAGCCCTCTTAAAATTCTGTTTTCATAGCTGAAGAAGAGGAAATGCCAGTACAGACCTCATTCGTCGGTACTGGGCAAAACACTATGCAGCCACAGGGACTGAAGCTGCTACCGAAAATGGGAAGAAAAAGGGGCCACATGCAAGCGATGGCCCGGCAAGCTGGTGGGACCTTTCCGGCCAGAGGAGTTGCAGTATACTGTAGGCTGGATCAAGGCCACGCAGACAGGATCCGACACCCACGTCCAATAGTACAAAAAGGCTCCCGGCATCCGGGGCCTCAACACTTATCGAGGGGGGGGATGACCAGCTGAGTTGCAGAGTCTAACCCGCAGATCGGCGACTTCCTGTTCTAGCTCCCGCACTCTGATGGAGTAGCTCTCGATCCCTGAAATGGCATCGAAAGCCAAGTTGCAAAAATAGATGCCGATATTTCAACCAGGTGTAACTATCAAATAGCCAGGTAGAACATTTGCCCCAACCGCGAAACTGACAGGCTACTAAAGAAACGCAGTCAAAATACTTGGGAACGAGCAGCAATTCGCGCGTGCAGCGAGATATACTTACTGTGCGCATCGGCAGCTATTCTATCCCTTGCAAGACGTAAAAGCCTCAGACTCTCCTTCTCGCTCCTTGTAAATCCCTGAATCTCCTTGAGCGCAGCCGCCTCCCCTGCCTGGGCAATTGTTCCTCGAAGCATGTCGCATCGAAGCCCAGAAGCCCGGGAAGCAACTGCCAGGTCAGCCAGATGATCTCTGAGCTGCATACAACATAGGCATATCATGATGTAGGGGAACTGCGAAAAGTGCAGTGTGCCGAAGTGTACTCCGGCGCAGCTTTGGGGCAGAGAGAACCAAGTGGGAACCAAGTAGGCTGCCCAGTTGCACCCTAGATGTCCCACCGCAGTCAACCTGGACTGAGTGGGGCGGGGGTGTTACGATTCTGGTCACACCGCGCAGAGATAACTAACAAGTATTCTTACCTCTCGCTGTAAAGCCCTAAGGTTGGCCTGCCAACTGCGGGAGATGTTTCGTTCGGTTGCCAGCCGCCTTTCCAACTCGGCGTTGACATCCTGAAAGACGCAGAGGAGCACAAACTTGCATTTCAAGTCCAAGTCGTGTACTTCTTGGCCGAATAAGAATGTGAAATATGCGAAGGCCTTTATATGCTTTTAAAGACTTGCTTGTGCCGTTGCGAGCTGGACGATTGTGTCTCTCAGATCCATCATTGCATTCCGGCCCTGGCCCGACCCTAGCGCCTCTTCGGCAGCGCCCACTCCTCCAAAACGTGCGGCGAGGAACGGATCAGAGACAATTCTTGCCTGGACCTCTGCTAATCGTTGCCTCATCACGATCGTCCTGAATACGGAAGAACGCACATCCACGACAAATCCATGCAAGATGATTATTTCGGTCCGTCCAACGGCAGATGCTCTCATCCCCTTCGCTCCCATCAGAACCACATCTTTGTTTCAAAGAGCACATCGAAACAACCATTCAGCTGCTGTGCTTTCTGTAATCTCACTTCAGCATCAGACTGTCTCTCTCCTCCTCCAGTACGTTGATATGCGTCTGCCATACTCCCCTCTCATAGTCCCCCATTTGCGAATCAATGCAATCCAGAATCTCCTGCAGCTTCTCCGAGCAAGCGCAGTACCGCTTAACAAAGTTTCCACCAGCTGGTGGCCCCTGCTGATCACTAGAAACATCTTGACAACTTTTCGACAGCGCGTTGGTGGTCGCGTTAAGATCAGGCTCCCTGAAAGCTGGTATTTGAATGTAGGGGCGACCCGCCGATGCAAGTTCCCTTGCATACGCACGTTCTTCATGTTCTCTGAGTGCATTGCCCAGGCTCGCGGCCGTGCCCCGTAGGCTGGCCTGTGCGCGCATAGAAGCCTGCAACTTCAGCCGCAAGGATTTGTTCTCGTCAATCAAGAGGCTGATGCTTTTGGCCAAGTCGGGTCCGTAACGTCGAGCGAGGGCACGGATTTCCGCGGCCTCTGGGTACGCTTGCTGCAACGGCAGCACGCAGACAGTGCAAAAGGGGTTGGATAGGCAGGTGCTGGCTTGCAAAGAAAATGCTCCCAGAGCTATGAACGAGGCAGTATCAGGGCGTAGCGACCGAAAGCTAGGGGCGCGCTATCAAATGAGAATTTGATTCCGCACGCCGTACAGTATAGCCATCGGAAATCACCAGTTAATCCATGCGTTTTCTGGCAACAGCTTCAGCTCGTGCATGGGCGGCTAGTGGCTACTGGCACAGGCCAAGTTTTACGAGGGAATTATCACCTGCTGGTGCAAAATACGTTCCCGAAGATCTGCGTTTTCAGCCTCCAGAATGTCATTTACTCGCCTGCCACAAGGCAAAACGCTTCAAAGGCTGCATGGAGTCACAGATCTCAGGGACCTGCCAGAAGTGCCGGTACACAGCAACTGCAACAGGTCTAAAATAAGCTATGCTTAGGATTTTAAGACGCTGGAGAGGAGGCAGCCCACGAGGCGCAATTGCGGGATGAAATGGTGTTAATGCAGTACCTGACTTTGCTCAATTCGGTGCCAAGCTCGCAGAGTTTCGAGTTGAGAGCGTTCCTTTCTTCCGCTTCCCTTTTCCCAGCCTCCAACTCTAGAAGAATGCTGGATGCCTTCTTGAGCCCCCACTTAGAAGGCTCACCTCCAGCCGCTTTCCTCGCTTCTGGCAAGCGGGCCATGGACGAAGGCGTCGAAACCCCGAGGTTGGTCGTCCGGCCACCGCCTCTAGGACTCGAAGGCGGAGGGGCACCTGCCAAGGATGCTGGTAAGGAACCCTCCGGCTGCATGGTGGAAACCGAAGGGCTCACGTTAGTGGACTCCACTTCCAAGGGACATAACAAAGCATTGCTACAAACGCAGTTCCAGACGGACGGCACGACTTCGCCATTAATCACGACTGTCTGAGAGTCAAAACGTACTCCGGCTTAACCTTCGAAACGTCTCGCCAATACCTATCGAGTCAACGTTGGAAGCAGCATATGGTAGAGACGCCAATTCCTCAGCGCTTCGGGTGTTTGTGAACTTTGGGAATATCCAATCTGTGTGGAGTTTACAGCGGAGACCGCAATCCCTTAAATCAGTCCTCCAGTGATGAGACTTATGCGCATAAAGTATTTTCCGGTTCCCCAGCGTCCTGCTATTTGTTCAGTGAAAGAGATACGGACTGATTAGGTTTAGGACCCAAAACGGGACAACGGTGCAACGCCTTTGACGCTTTTTGAGTGCGAAGCCATGCGGACGGAATCCTAGTAAATCCTGCAGAGTTAAACTTTCCATAGTAAGTTGAAAAAGGGGGGAGCACGAGCGCAAACCTACGAAGGGAGTCCGCAGACGATCAACAAGGCCCGCAGGGAGATGTGCGGCACTTCAAGGAATTCGGAAGAAAACCACGCACTAAAAAATGAATCAAGATACACTATCTGATCAAACGAAGTAAGGATAGGTGACAACTACCTGTTACTTACTAAATTCACAATGAAACCATTACAGAAACGGGCCGCCGCCCTACAGTGGGATGCACTGCGGAGCAGGCCCACACCGACAGCACAAGCCAACTAAAGCCTGACTTCTTTGTTAAAATTTGTGGTTTTTATAAAAGTGAAGTATTGATGCGACAGTCAACCCCCCTGCTTCATGGCAACATTTGCACTACGCAAGCCGGCAACAACCGAATAGACCAGACCACCAATGCTAAGCTGCAGTTAAGGCCACGCACAGCTGGTAATCACACTTGAGTAGTGCTAGAAGTGCAAAATGATGAGATACTTATCGTCTTCCACACACGCCTCAAAGTAGACGTGTAGCCGCGGCGGTTGACATGCACAACTGTTCAGCCTATACTGCGAAGTTCCCGCAGTGGCCGTGAACAGTCAGAGAGCTACAGATCTTCGGTTCCAGCAGCAATTTGCGAGCTATAGGACTCCCAGAGCACTCATGCAGTCTCTCTAATGAACACTACATGCAATAGCTGCCCCGGGCTCTCAAAGTCAGCACCGTCAGTAACGGGGGTCTTCAGCGCGTCTTTGAATTCGACTCAACAGTCCGTGGATTGACTGCCCCGTGCTCTTCTCAATGCAGCAGAGAAGACCGCGGTTCTCTTCATTGAAGTCTAAGTTAGAACTCCGTACATTTAGAGAGTACCTCGAAAGTAACTTACAAGCTGGTGTTGATCCATATCACCAACGACTAGCACGAAGTTAAACGGGTTAGCCTGCTGTTGCCCCCTTTCAGTAGAATAATAATGCATTTATTTACAGCTGGAGGTACGTTGAAGGCATGGATTTTAACGTGGAAGAGACATTACAGGGACTCAGGCTGTGAAGAATTACTTACACATTCAGGAAGACAGCCAGTTTCTCAGATACTCGTATCTCATGCAAAAATGCAGCCGTAGACAGCCACTCCGTTTCACTGGAACGACGCTAAATGGCAGTAACTGCCAAGGAAAAGCAGTTTCACTGCAGAGGACACATGACATCGCCATTGGCCGCAGCGGCCTGGGGAGCTTCAAACGGCACAGCGCAAATCGGCCTTGACGACGCTTGGCGAAAACTTCGATTTGGTGGGACAAGGTGGTGACCGCCACCACCGATTGTCTCAGTTCAGGCTACAAACAGGTGGGTAGAGGCCGTGCAGCCAATAGCTTCTTGCTGAATTGCCAACTGTTTGAAATTGCGTAACACGACTGGGCAAGTCTTGTTGACAAATTCTGCGCACTCTATCATACAGCTGAAAAGAGAACTAAAAACGTAGGAATGCATGAATTCCTACTGTACCACTGACTCGGAGACATGAGCATGGAAGGCTGTGGGGGGTTCTGCGTCTTCTTCCCATTCTTGCTCGTGCCACTGCTGTATTTCTCTATGGCGACGTTTCATTCTGTTACTCAACTCCCCCAGGTTAACGGGGCCGTTTTCAGCCAAAATTGAAAGCCAAAAGGCACCCCCAGCTTCTTCACAGGAGGAGCGTTTCGCAGACGCCCTGGGGCTCCTTGCAGGCGTGTCAAGTCCCATCCCCAGAGCTGATGGCGGCTGCGCTTGCTGCACTTCATAGTCCATGCACTGTGCGGACATTACAGCGTATGCCTGAGAGACCACAGGCCATATCAGCATGCTGCTTCCCTGCTTTTTTTCCACGGCCTAACTGCTGCGTGCTGTGCAGTGCTTTGCCGCTTCTTCAGCCTCTGCGATACACCTACGACTGCTCACCTCTTCCTCGCGCTCCCACGAGTCGTCAAGCGGCTCCTCTTCAATAGAAGAGAGGGTCCTAGTGCTCCATGAACAGGCGAGCGTCTGCTCAAAGACCAATGCGTATTGTTTTTTCGCTGCCTACCTTAGTTCTTACACCTCATACTTCGTGTTGCGTGCCATACTTTGAGCCCAGCCTGGATTGATGTTCACGCGGGGTAGGCCGCTGCGCCCAAGTGGAGGTATGTTCTCTTCCTAAGGCCACTGATGAAATAAGATAGGAGTTATTAGAACGACATATTAACAAAATTAAAGGTTTGTGCCTACCCTTCCGTGAAGCTCCATGCCATGAAGGTGCGTAATAGCTGCCAATGCTGCTTCGTGCGACGCCATGCGAACGAAACCAAAGTTCTGCAATGGCAGAGATCGATCTACCAAGGCTATAGTAGGCCTTTCTGGTTTCTTATCAGACTTCACACGCAAAGCTCAACAGCAAGATTGGCCACACCCAAGGCACCAGTTTCTCGAGCAGCCATATTTTCCAGAGAGCTTTCTTCGTGTACAGGAGGATACAATTTAAAACACAGCAAGGCCGATTGCCTGGCATAGCAATAAAGGCGGAAAATGCACCCTGCCCACTCGTGACACAGCCGTTGAGGGTCAGCACGTATGAGTTAATTAATTTGTTACCTTTGTTGGGTGGACTTCAGCGGCTCGGACAACGTGGAAATATGAACAGATTTCCCTAAGCTCTTCCTTGTTGTAAAATGCAGCAAACAAAGGCAGCAGTACACAAAACTACCCACTTTTTTAGATCCAAGAACTGAATCAAAGCTCTCGCAACGAGCCGAGGCATAGACTAAACGGAACAGAAACACCGTCGAAATATCTAGAAGCGATGGTGCTCCAAGAAGCCGTGTATGATGAGTGGAACAAAGGCGGAGCTGCCTCACTTACAGTATTCGTCAGAGGGGGAAGGTTTGCAATGAAGATGCTGCAGTTAGCGGAGTGCGTTAGTGGCTCAATAGGACTGCAAAGTCCACACAAAAACTGAAGACCTGCGCGTTTCGGCAAGACCTTCACAGGTGCATCTAATGATTGCCGCAATGCCATTCTCTTTCACGAGAAGTGTGAGGGTCCCCGTATTGCGCACTTTCCGCGGTGTCTGTGTCTGTGAACCCTTCGGAATATCAGTTTGAGCGAGCTGGATACGTCCTGCACTCAAGAGAACGCAAACAACTAAGTGAAGGTCCGCTTGCAATGCCTCAGTAATCGATCAATAATAACAGCTCCTGGGTGCAAACCGTGTGCCAGGAAGTGGTGTGGGTAGGAACCACGGTTAACGGGGATGCAACACCTTGAGCCTCTTTAGCGCTTCTTCTGCTGTTTCCTCGTCCACATAACGGAGAAACGCATACTCCCGTACTCCTCTCCTAGATGGCATCCCGGCCACTGAGGACACCTGAAATGGCACCCCAGCAACATTCCTCCCCCCACACGTTTTACTCTTTTCTCAACCGGGTGTTACTTAAGATTCCACGTCACCAACTGCTTCGATATACCTTTACGTGCGCTGGTGATATGCCTGTCGCCGAGGTTAGCAGATCGTGGACTCGAGCTGCTGTAGCACCTGCATTCAAAATAAGTGGGGAAGGAGACAAGCGTTGCCCTATTGTCAACAAACACAAGGCTACGTGGAGCAACGAGCTGTTTGACACTCCTACGCAGCCAGTGGTGCAGGCGATGCGGCAGCTCTACATCAGGATCAATATATTCTAACATATGGGTAAATAAATGCGATACCAGGGGGGAGGCCAGACACGTAGAGATGATACTGGTCGACCACCAGTGGAGTGCTCCATGTTTCATACAGGGAAAGTCGCACTTGCCTGCGCAGCAGAGAGAATGTATGTCCCAAGCAAACCATGTTAACAACGGTGGCGGTTGCACTGGAAGCAAAACGTGCTTGGTACCTAGATCACGGGTATCCTTAAGGCCTGGCAAGTGAGACTGCGGGTAAACAAGTCAAGTATGTTTTAGTTTATTGAAGATCGACAAGCGGCCCCCACGTGGAAGTGTTTGGCAGCGTAGCTGTTTCTCCGAGGAGTTGAAGGGCCAAGCTGGCGAGTATCTCGTGCGCAAAATTGACAACGGCGTATATGCTGCCACCGCGCACGTCGGTGGCGACGCGAATGCTGGACACAGCATAGGGGAGCTGTTGCAGCAGCTGTTTGCGGTGTCCGTTGGATAGGGGAATCTTCCGTTGCGCAGCATCTCCGGTATCTTCCTTAGGGTTCAAACGACTCGCCCGCCAGCTGCTTTGAGCTAATGATCCCTGCTTCGCAGGCACCAGCAGAATATCCCCCTGGTTCTTCTGACCATCTTTGGGATTTACTTGCAGGTAGTTCGCCCTTCGGACAATGCCAGAGAAGAGCTGCCGCAGCGCCTCTGTGCTCTGCTCAGAACTGAGGTGATTCGGCAGGTCACGCACGAGGATACTGCGCGCCCCGCCGTTACTATCTTTCTTGCCCCAATCTGTCGAAAAAAGCCTGTCAAAATTAAGAAGGAAATGCTGCTCCATCTTCAGCTTTAACCCGAAGGTGTGCACGCGAAGCGCAGCAGCAGCTATGTCTGGCACACTGTTCGAACCAGTGGCCCACCTTCGTACAGGATGTTGGAGGTTGCGTCGACAAACAGGAATAAATGACAACAGCAAAGATGTGATCAACATAAAACGATTCAATCTTTCTATTGGATTTCATGCCTTCTTTATCCTAGTGAAGAAGGCAAAGGAGATGGAGATGGTTAAACGCTGAACGCCAACGGTAGCTGCGCTCTATCAGCCCAAGGGGGTGCAGCTTCTGCATGTGTCAAATAAACTCACCAGCCACTTCAGGGACGCTTATCCTACCTAGTTCCTTTTGCATCTCTTTATTTAGGTCCCACGGCTTTAGTATAACTACTGACTAATAAATTTCTGGCTATATTTCATGCTTTCGCGCCCGAAGGGGACGGTACTCAGGGATCTAAACCTCATGAAGTGACCGTCTCAATTCTGAAATTTTTCATTGTAAATCATCAGGTGTGCGGAACCATTCGATTCATTGACATCCAAAGTTTCTCTCGGTAGAAAGCGGAAATGCAACGTGGAGTCTTCAGTGACAACACCCACCCTGTTAGTCAACCAGCAAGGACAGAGTGCTGAACGCGTGTTTCAGTTGCTTCCTTTGCAACCCTGTTCCTATGTGCACACTTCTCCGTTTGTCTCTTTCCATTCCGTCATATGCGCAAAAAGCATATATATATATATGCATATATATATATATATATATAATATATATATACATGCATCCGAACACAGGCCCATGCATAAGGCATAAAGAATAGAATACAGTACCTCAATGTCCGTCATGTCAAGGTCTACAGTATGATGTACTTCAAAAAGCATAAGAAGCTGCAGTGCATAACCGTGACGGTGCCATCACACCGAGTGCTGCCTTCCTGAATGGACCCGCAGAAAACGCTAAACCCTGGCTAAAAGGCCCTTAACGTTGACTTCGCCTTAGCCACCAATGGAACCTCATGAAGGCGCCACATGCACCACCTGAGCTGTGCTCTCGGGTATACAGTGTACAATCCAACCTTCGGCAGCGTGGTATGTTCTGTGCATCTGCAGAGATCCTCTGCATTCCTCCTGTTGCGCCGCAGAAATCAACAAACTACTACAGCTCGCGCACAGCTGCCCCTCTTCAGAGGAGTCTCAATGACTAAATTTAATGCGAGGCGGTCTGTGTCAGTCGCAGCTGCCCGCCCCTGGCAACACAAGCAACCCGCCTCCAAGCGATGCTCTACACTACGGTATTGCCTCGTTGCGGTCTTGCCCGCTCGAAACTCTAGGCAGGACAGACACCTGGTGAGGTGGGCACAACACCAAGACCCTGAGTGTCTGCTAGTCTGTTCGCCAGGTCAGCTAGCTAGCTAGGGCTAGCTGTGCTGCAGGCGGCAAGCTGTGCGGGATTGCCAAGAGGGGCGGAATAATTGCATTACAAGTCGGGTCGGACTCGGCCCTCCAGCGTTCCTCGGTACAAATAACTGTGCTGAGTGCATCAATGCACCAAAGGCAATTATGATATTAAAAGAACATAAATCTCTGCAGAACCTTGGTAATTAAACAGTAACAATGGGGTCAGCGGGAAGCGACAGACAGGTACAAAACTCCCTCCGAGGATCGGATCCCCGCCTCCGCCAAGGTGAGATGGTCCTGCAGGAACGACACAGCAGCCCCCCACAGCAGCCTGCCATTCAGCCCCTACTATGGCACCTGGCACCTGCGCTGCATCTGCATCCGCTGGTTTCGGCCTCCTGCGGGGTTAGCACGCAACTGGTCAGGAGACTATCTGCTGTGGATGAGACTGTGCAGCAGCTGCTGCTTGTCAGCATAGGCTTCGTTATGAATAAGACGAAGCAGCTGGTCTTGCTGGGCAGGCCACCAGCCAACTCACTAGCATTGCAGGGCCATTGAGGCTGGTGGAGAGCTGCAGATCGCGTGCCCTGAGGGTCTCTGCACCGATGCCCGCATCCAGCAGCGACTGCTTCAACTGCGCGCCAGTCAATGACCGGTCGACTTCCACCTGTGCTTCCTGGGCCTCGAGGCCCTCTCCCTCCCGACAGACAACTGTCAGCAGCAGGAGCGATGGCGTCCCCCCTCCAGTTGCCGTTGCAGGCGAAGGGGTCCCCTCCACCCGTTGCCTCTTCGCCTCGGGTACCGCACCCCCGCCTCCCCCCTCCCGCGTCCCAGCAACCGTCGCCTCTGCTCGCAAAGGATCGACTTCTGCCTCAGCCTCAAGTCGCTGAGAACCGAAGAGAAAAACGCAAACGCACGCAAACACAGTTGCTTGGGGGTGTTTTAAGGAGAGAAGGGAACGAACATCGGACAAATAAGCTCCTAGTAAGGCTTTGAAAGAACACCACACTACAGTACATTAAAAGACGTTACAAACAGTACAGTGGCATACACTATGGATAAACAAACAGGTGCAGAAACAAATGCCAACCGTCCGACCATCGGCGCATGTAACAAGAAGCCGCATGCGGCCGTAGAGGAGACGGAAAAGATCTAGAGGTGTAGAGAGGATACAACACACGCGCGGCAAAAGTACTAAGCCTTCATCGGGCTAAAACCCCTATCCGGCAAAGGAACGTTCACTTCAAAGAAGAAACAAACATGTGCAGACCCATGCGACAAAAGGACGCACAAAGCGTCAGCGAGACGCAGAAACGGAGTAAGAAGCAAGCGGATAGGGAGGAAGAAGAATCAACGTTGCAGGCCGCGCCACCAAAGCAGTGCACCAAACAACAGTTCACCACACAAGTCAGCAGAATGGACAGAGAAAACGAGAAAATGCCCCACCGCATGATCGTCTACAGACCCAAACAGATCCGGCCTCTTAGCAACAAACTGCGCCAAATACCCCTCCACATCTTCCAAAGGGGCAAATGCAGACTCCGCCTGGGCCTTCTCCAGGAACCGATCCTTCTGCTCCCTGCAGACACACCAGAACAATACCCCAACGCATTCCCTAGCGCCCTCTAAAACAGCACCAGAAGCAGCAGCATCAGCTAGCCGAGCTCCACTTCTTGAGTGGTCGCGCCTGCGCGTATGTCCGTCGACTGCGTGCCTAGCATCTGGCTTAGATCGCCAATATTGTCGGCAGTACGTTTGCCTTAGGCGGCGAGTTGTCTGTGCCAGTCCTCACTTCCACTTGGGGTCAAGCAACAGAATGCGGAGGTGTTGGCTCATCTGCTCTGCAGGGATTAACTGGCCCGTAATGGGGCAGCGCTGGAAACCGCTGGAGGCCCCCGCGGCTGCCTGCCGCTTCTTCGTACGCACGTAGCCCTTCACCACGCGCAGCGTCGCAGGCGGCGTCGCTGCCTACGGAGCGCAACAACCCCACCCTCAGGCAAACCAAACATACTGTTGCAAAAGAAGCGAGCGAACCCACTCAAAAATCAAGCAAGCGCATGTGAATGCACTGACAAAGAAAAAGTAAGCAGGAAAAATAACGAACAAAGCAAAGCGACGGAACACAAGAATGGCATCAAGCACAAACCAACAAATGGAGAAGCAAGGAGGGAAAACAAAAGAAGAAGTAGCTCGCAAGCGTAGAGCGCCCTATGCAGAAAAAATACAAAGACAGTGCTCGCGACAGCAGAGATGTGCCCGATAGAAGCACGAGAGAATCAAACAGCTAGGGTTTCAACGAGATCCACGCAAAATAGTGCGACTGAAACAAAAGCGACAAACGCCATGTGAGTACACCAAATGGAGGCCACCATTGGAGGGAGCGCTGGGAGGGGCGCGGCCAACTCAGTTCCCCTGCGCAGAGTCAGCGGGCTGGTTGTGTCTCTTAACGACACCCCGAGGCCCTCAGAACGAAAAGCCGCCTGTAAAGGCGTCTTCTCATCATCGGTCCACCAGCCTCCACCACGTTCCTTCCACTCCAACAACGGGCCACAACCCCACCCAGCACCTGTTTGCTTGCATTCATGCATGAATGTTTGCGAACGGGTTCCACGCATGCAAGTGAAAAATCATGCAGCTTTGCATGGGAGCAGACAATAAACAACTGGAAAGATGAAGCTAAGCAGGAGACACTGTTATATTGGCATACGTCTTGCTGTTGCGCTGCAGCAGCAGCTTCCGCAGCTGCTCCATCCTGGGCCTCGGGGGGCATTTTGTCTGATTCAGGTTGTTGCTGTGTGGCATCTTCCTCATCTTCTGTCTCCATGGCCTCGTCCTCTGCGTCTGCATCTGCGCCTTCAATGAGCTTCGCGATGGAATCCGTCTGGTCTCCCGCTGCTGCGTCTGCTGCTGCGTCTGCTGCACCTTGGTCATCTGCCAGGAGCGCCTTGGGCAGCTCTTTGGGGGCGGAGGTGAAGTCGATGGGGGCTGCGAGCGGCAGCCGTTCGTCCTCTTCCGTGAATTCGATGGTCTCAACAATGTGGAAGGACTCCCAATCCAACGACATCATCAGCCGACGCTCCTCTTGCGATTTGCTTTCTTTCTCCTGCCGCTGCTTTAACTGCTGCCGCTCGTACTGCATGCGCCGCCGGACCCGCGCCAGCAGCGCCTGCCGGTCACTTGCGGTTTCCCGCAGCGCCTCCAGAGTTTCTTTCTGGGGCAAAAGGCACTTTGTATATGCGTCTACGAGGGAAGCAAAATACGAAAACAAGTGATGAGACGGTTTCAAGAAAGCAAACTGAGGGTTCTGCTGCTCTCGCTGCGCCAAACCCGCTAAGAACTTCTGCCCGTTCCGCGCCACAAACTGAGCACAACAACGAATTATGTCCAAGTCAACAGGGGCTACCCAAGGGTGCTGCAGCACGAACTGATTCGGTGGAGGAGGCTCCAGCTTCTGCTTCGCCCCCTCCTTCTCGCTCTCCCCTATCTGCGTCAGCATCAGCAGCTGTTGCTGCTTCTGCTTTTGCTGCTGCTGCTTCTGCTGCATGTCCCGGATGGCTTGAGGCACCTGCGGGGTTGGGGCCGCCTCCCCCGTCGTGAACTCCCGCACCTTCAGCTTATAAAATGCATGATAAGGATTATTAGGCAGCAAAAAACCAAATTTAGTTGCACTCTGCTCGCGCAACACCCTCGACTCAAACTCCGCCCCGTTTTTCGCCACAAACTGCGCCGTCTTCTCGATCACGCCCCTCATGTCTGCAGGCGGGAAAATCAAATCAGGCGGGGGGGCCCCTCCTCCAGAACCCCCGGCGTCAGAGGGGCCAACTGCTGCGGGAGCCGCGCCGGCCCCAGGCGCCGCTGGCGGCCGCTGCGGAGGCTCCACTGCGGCGCTCATTTTCGCAGAGGTAGCAGAGATAAAAGGTGCAAAAACAGATGAAAATAGATGCAGCGGCGCCCTCACCTGCTGCTGCCGTTCCTGGCGTAGAGTACCCACGCAAGCACGAAGCAGGCCCCGGGGGACGTCGTAAACCCAAAAGGGGTGAAAGTTACAAGCCTAAGAGTGCCTCACAGAACGGGCCGTAGCTGCTACGATAAATCTACAGCAGGCCCCCCCCGCCCAACTTATGCAATAACCGCCGCCGCCGCTGCAGCAGCAGCAGCAGCAGCAGCAACGCGGGGAGGAAAGGGGAAGCCAAGTGCCTCGCAACGCGGGGATTCAGTCAGTAGTCCAGAAACCGAGGAGAAATCCTCACGACAAAGCAGTCAACCGGAGCTGTGCTCATAAGAGGCCCTCAGAACGCAGCACAGAGCAGCAACAGCAGCAGCTGCACTGCACGGGCTGCTGCAGCCACTGCTGCTGCTGCATGCGGCCCCGGCTGGATGCAAGACACCGAGCATACCAGCATATTACGAGGTGGCAAGCTCTAGAGTGTTTTTTAATTAAGAAGTGAGTTTAGTTTCTAAATTATTGCAAGCGTGCAACACCATCCCAATGTGTAGAGGCCCACCGACTCTTTCCTAGTGTCCGTATTTGTCGCCTCTCGCTACTACGGTACAGAGGCGACCGAGGCGGCTGTGAGTCCCTTGTTCTAGTATTTCTTCTAATCAAAGGCGTATTTACTGCAGCAAACCCGTAGTATAAGCTTAAGAGGCGGTTGAAAGGTGCGGCGCTACTGCTGGAGATACACCAAGTACCTTCTCCACGACGATTCACACGGTGGGCAAGTACGGCCGGAGACGTGAAAATGCCTCACAGGAGGCGCCACGAAAAGAGCCACCACCAACAGCAGCAGCAACAGCAAAAACAACAGCAAGGGCAGCAGTCGCATCAACAGGCGCTACAAGAGCAGCAGCAGCAGAAGCAACAGCAACGGCAGCAGCATCAGCAGCATGAGCGACATCAGCAGCAGCAGGAGAGGCAGCAATATGAGCAACACCAGTTGCACCAGCTGCAGGCTCTGCCAGCAGGGTTGTCTAGCCCTGCTGGCGACCTTGAGGTAAGCCGTTGCCTACTGCTGGTGTTTGCCTAGAGCTGCAGCCAATAAGTTGCTGCTGCTTGATGCACCAGCAAGTTGGACGGCTATAGCAACGAGCCTGGAGTGCTCTGGGGTGTTTGGTGGGCTGACTGGGTGAGTCAGTGTTTAGGGTTTGGGGTTTGCGTGAGGCCAGCGTGGCATGCGCTCAGGAGGAGGTGCAGCGGCGGCTGCAGGTTTCCAGCGCGAACGCCGTAGACATCTCATCAGCACAAATGTTTGCTGAGGGCCCTGATGGTGTCCCTTCTTTTATTCGCTGCAGCGGCTCGCAGGTCAGGACCGACAATCAACGGACGCGCCGCCAACAGCGGCAGCAGTTGCTGCTGCTGCTGTTTCTCGGCTGCTACAGTATTGCATGCTCTGTGGATGTTGCTGCTGCTGCCGCAGCTAGTGATGGCCCAGCTGCTTCACCTGTTGCTGCTGGCGCCCCCATTGTTGTTGTTGCATCCATTGCTGGGCGCGTGTGTGGAGTGTGGAGTGTGGGGTGTCTCTACAGAACATTTTGGATAGGAAGAAGAAAGTCTTGGTCTCCTTTACCCCCTTCGCCAGGCTGCCGCCTACGGCGACGCCTGTAGAGACTCGGCCTGCCCTCGAGTTTTATTCTCCTTCAGGCGCGTCGCTCCACCGTCTAAACCCTGCGAGAAAGAAAAAATAAAAGGAGAAAAAGAAAGGGAAAGAGGAGTAGATGGAACAGTGGGGGGCTTCCTTAGGGTTGATGCTTCATGCATGCGCTTCCACTTCTGCGTGTGTCTATTGCTTCCGGAGCCAGGATTTAACATTCCAGGTTTCTTGTTAGTTGCGTCGATTCTTTGAGGCCTAAAATTTGTGGGGTGTCTTGCAGGGCGTCTCGTGGCGCAGGTGAGCTCTGTGCCTCCCGAGGCAAAGGCTCTGTCTGGCGCTGCAGCATCGGGGGCGCCTGCGCATCGTCTGGAGGTATGGGGCACAGCGGGCAGCGGCTTCTTAGGTTGTGCCTTGTCTCTGTTGGCTCCCCACAGCATTCCCTGGCTGGGGCCATATGGGGGCGGCTCCTTCTGCCCTCAGGATGAGAACTTGTACGACCCTGCTACGATGCTTGCTGCTGCTCTCGGATGCCAGGCTGAGGCTTGCTGCCGCGTGCAGACGTGCAGCAGCAACTAGCTACAAGCTCGAGAGGCCGGAAGTGCTGCTGCGCATTCGCATGCACCTGCAACTGCTCTGGCCCCACGCGCACGCACACTGCTGGTGACCGACGGGGTGTTGCGCTGCAGGTTCTTGTACGTTGCGGAAGAGTCTCCAAAGGAAGCGCCTTCGCCTTTAGACAACTTCTGCTACAAGGACACCTGGGGGGAGCAGCTACTGCAGCACTCAAGAGGAGTAGTGCTCGTCGGAAGCATCTCACCACCTGCCTTGGCCCCGCTGCAGCACAGAGAACGTGGAGTTAGCTGTGCGCAGGTTCGTCTCCTCACCAAGGAGGGTAGATTGAGGGTTGAGGGTTTAGGGTTTCAGCTGCATCCTCTATGCATCTGCTCGAGGCCTGCATTGGGCCTTGGAGGGCCCTCTTCTCTCAAATTGGACGGGCGCCTTCGAGCAGAAGTTTATTTAGAGTGCCGACAGTTTTTAGGGGATTTGTGTCTAGGGTTTAGGGTTGACAGTTTGCATCTATTGGGTTGTGCAGGCTTCTTTTGTCCCTGATGGCTCTGGCATTGTCTGCACAGAGTTGCCTTCCGAACCTTACAGGTATGCACCTGCAGCCATTCTTTGTCTGCCTGAGTCTCAGCACGGGTGTGGCGGTGGTTTGAGGGTTTGTAGCAGGGACCGAGGGCTTGAGGTGGGAAGGGTTTAGGGCATGGGCTAGGGGTTCAGGGTAAGAGGGGCTTAAGGCATGCGTTGCTGTGTGTGTGTGTGTGTGTGTGTGTGTGTGTGTGTGTGTGTGTGTGTGTGTGTGTGTGTGTGTGTGTGCTGTGTGTGTGTGTGTGTGTGTGTGTGTGTGTGTGTGTGTGTGTGTGTGTGTGTGTGTGTGTGCGGGGGGGTCCCCAGACTGGGTCTGCGCTTCTGTATTAACCGGCGTTCTTCTGTATGGTTAGCTTCATTCATGTGTGGAGGTGTTGGGCAGGCGTTGCGCGGCATCAACTCCAAAGACAAGGGGCCTCCGAAGGCCATCCTGCCCTCTTGGATTTGCCTGTCAGGAGAGGAGGACTGGGCCGCCTGGGAGCCGCGTGTTTGTGAGGTGGCTGCGGAGTCCCAGGGGCCCCTGCTGAGCTTTGAAGTCGCTTACTTGGCGCTGGCGAACAACCCACAAGTAATACAGAGGAACGCTCCTGGCTCACGAGCTTAAGACCCTCTAAGGCCGAGGAAACAACACGCACACACCACGCAGACAGACACCAGTTTCGGGCAGGGCTTTACTTAAAAGAGGGGCCACCGTCTGTACAGCGGCGTTTATACTGTGCAGGAGACGAGGCCTCACTTCGGCAACACTCGCCTCCGTGTTGTTACGGTGACGCGGGCGGGCCTGGGGGCCCCCTGGGCTGTGACGGACCGGCGGACAGTTGTCGGCCTTAGCCCGCAACACCCTGTGGGCCCCCCTCCCCAGCAGCAGCGGCAGCAGCCAGAGAGCAAGGTGCTCAGAGCCACAGAAGAAGAGATGGAGGCCTTCCCTAACTCATTGCAGCTCGCTTGCGTTTGCGTGGCGGGGCCCATGCGGCAGCCAGGGCCTTCGGGGGCCCATCGGCTGCGCGCCTTTCAGGGTCTCTCCTGTCTTCGGCTGCCCCCCTGGAGGAGCCGGGGATTCCTTCTGACAAATACTTTTATTGGCTGTCGCCAGGTTGTCGTTGCAGTCTCTACAGACACTGCAAACGCTGAAGGTAACAGCAACACGAGAGAACCCTGAAGCTGGCACCACCTACCCCAACAGCCGTCGCTGTCCAGCTGCCCTCTCTCTTGAACTAACCTGCAAACAGCTGCTGACTGGGGGCCCCTCCAACGCAGATGGGGGCCCCTACCCAGCTCAAGAGCAACTCCTTTGTGGGACCGATGGGACTCAGGTGTGGGGTGCTCTGCTGCAGCTGGCGGCCTGGCCGTGCGGCGGGTGCAGTTTGAATGCGCGCACGGCCCGAATGCACCTGCAGACTTAAAGGCCGCCGCCGCCGCAGCAGCAGCAGGCGACGTGCTGCTGCGAGACACCCGGGGGTCCTGGCTGCTTGTTGAGGCCAGCAGCCCCGTGCATCTACCTGTGCTGGCGGTTGCCAAGATAAAAGACCCGACGGTGCTGGAAAAGCCTCAGGATGAAACGGACGTCTTGGAGCCTCCCGTTGTCGCCGAACTCCTCGATGCCTTCTCCCTTCGGGGAGGACCAGAGGGGGCTTTCAACGGAGTAAGCGGCGCGCGCGCTGCTGCTGCTGTTGCTTCTGCTGCTTCTGTTCATCAGTGCCGCGGGTTTAGAGTTCGTGTTCCCCCTTGTTGTGCGTGCTGTGCTGCATTGGGTGCGTTCGCCATGGTTTGGTGCTGCAATAGCAGCCGCAGCAGCAGAAGCAGAAGCTTCAGCAGCAGCAGTAACAGCAGCAGCCGCAAAGATGCAGGGGTGTCACACGCAAGCCGGCTGAACGCAGCTGTGGCCCTAATTATTATTTTTTGTGCGTGTCGTTGTGTCTGACATTTGCTTGTTTCACAGGCTGTCAAGAAGCTGCAGCTGCACATGTTGACGCTTTCGCTGTACCACTTGGAAGCCCAACGCCACTGGCTGGTCCGCCTCGGGGCGCCCCCGAAGGGTCCCTCGGCCCCGAGTTTGGCTGTGCTCATTCACGGGGGCCCCCATTCTTGCGCGAGCTGTACATACAGCCGATATGTCCTCTTCCTCACAACTTTGGGCTTCGACGTTCTGGTGGTGAACTACCGCGGCTCTGCGGGCTTTGGTCAGGAGGAGTTGCTGTCGGTGCACGGTCCGTCGCGGTGCCTGTGCAGCCCAGTTGCTTCCGTTTCTTTGTTTCTGTCCTACAGTCGTGGTGCTGCAGCACTTGCGCTGCAGCATCACGACTGTTAGGCTTCTGAGGGGCTACCGCAGTTCGATACTGCCGGCGCCCCCAAGTAGTTCAGCAGGTTCCGTTGCCGCCTCCCGAGTGTCTCTGCAGCTGCGCTGTTGCGTTGCATACGCACAAGAGTAGCGCGAATAGGGGCCTCTAAATCCCTAGAGAGGGATGCTTGCTGCTGCTGCTGCTGCTGCAGGCCGGGCAGGCCGGCAGGACGTGGATGACGTGGCGGAGATTGTGCAGCAAGTAATCGGCAGGTGAAGCAGCCTGCAGTGACCAGGCCGCACCAGAGAAAATATGATTTTTGCCTTCCTTGTTAAGCTTGGCGCGGTTTGTCTGTCCCTTGAGGGACCCCGCCACTTTAGCGAGTCTGTGCCGGGCGTGAACAAGCCCTCTAAATCGCAAGCGTCTCCGCTGCAATTGTTCCTCTGTCCGACTCGGGTTTTCATAGCGCATGAGGAATACAAGAGGAGACAGCCTCTAGGTCCAGACAGCAGTTGTCTCTTATCTCCCTAAGAAACAATCGGCAACCCGGTGCTGCCTCTTGTATTTGCTGTTTGGTGTTTAGGTTCGGCTATGACTCGACGCGCTGCGTCGTTGCCGGAGGCTCCCACGGAGGTTTCCTCACTTGCCACCTCATTGGACAGGTAGGCAGGGGGAAAACCGCATTCATGCGTGTACGAGGCAGGTTTGCATACATGCGTGCTTGCGGGTTTCTGTGTCTGCAAGCGACTATGGCCAGGCCGGTTGGTGCTTTTCTCGTTTCGTGGAGGCGTCGTTCTTTTCTAAGGTTCCCCATGCTCGTGGGTTGTGTGGGGAATGGCGTGACACAGGGACCGTTGGAATGTCTGTACAGCTGATCAACTGGCCAGCAACAGCGGCTTGTTCTGCTGCTGCTGCCTCTATGCAGCTGCTTGTCTTCTGTGTGTTCTATTCGCTTGTGCTTGCAAGTTGGATTGGCGTGGCCTAGGTTTTTTTTTGTTATTTGCTCCCTTCTTGGCGTTTGTCTGTGTGCTTTTGCCCGAGCATTTCCTTTGGACGTTGATTTCCTCATAATGTATGTCCATTTATATATAGATATGCAATAATAGGTATACATGTATATATGTTCTTCTGCCTTTGTTGAACGAAGTGTATCTACAGTGTTGAATGCATATGCATAGGCACGTCTATTCCTTGTTTTGCGAAATCCTCTGCTGCGCCCCCTTGCAGTTTCCTTCTCTCTTCTGCGCCGCGTCCACCCGCAACCCCGTGACGTACATACCGGGGATGTACGCAACGTCGGACATTCCCGGTGCGCTCCGAAAGCAACAGCAGCAGCAGCGGCAGCAGTAGCACTCCTCATCCCCGTGCCTGCCTATTCGATCCTACTTTGGTGCACTGTGTCTGTTCTCTTCAGTTTCCGTTATTTGTGCCCCTCTTATCTTTCTCCCAGACACCTCCATCTCTGTCTCGATACACGCAACGGTCCCTGCTGCTCTCTGCTCTGGCCGCTTCTCCTCTGCTCAGTACAGTTCTACAGGCGTTCTATTCACCACCTTCCGCTTTGTCTGCTCTCTCTGTCTCTCGCTGGCCTCCCCATCGCTTGCCTCTCGTTGTCTTTGTCTGTCTACGGCCTCCTCTCTTGCCTGCTTGCCTGTCGCTGTCTCCTGGCGTGTCTGTTGCTGGGTCCGTGCGCCTTATTATTTGCGTGAGTCTCTCTCTATCCCTGTCTTTCTATGTCTCCGTTTCTCTGTCTCTGAATGCTTGTCTTTGTCCCCCTTTGTGCCTCGTCTATCTCCCTCGCTGTAGTCTCTGCTTCCTCCTTCATCTCTGACAGTCGCCATTACTTGTGCCGTTTGGTGTGGACAGATTTCGTCTTCCCGGTGTCTTGTGGGGAGGACTTCTTCTTCTCAAAGACGCCTTCGGAGACGTCTCTACAGCAAATGCAGCGGCTGTCTCCGATACAGTTCGTCAGTGCCGTGCAGACGCCTCTTCTCCTGGCCCTGGGCGCCAAAGACCAGCGGGTGCGCTTCTCCGTGCTGTCCTCCTGCTGCAGCAGCAACAGCCTTTACTGCAGCAGCAGCAGCAACAGTTTCGTCTGCTGCTGCACCAGGAGGGCCCACCGCCTTTCCTCCCCACATGATGCAGCGTTCGCATTGTGGAGCCAAGGGGTGTTTTCCTTCCTTTGGCGTCTACTGGTGCCTCTTCCGCTGCTTCGAGTGTAGGGGTTAGGGTGCAGGGCCTGTGTATCTGTTTACTGCCACACCGCAGGTGCCGCCCTCACAAGGCCTTCTTTTCTGGCGACTCCTCAATGCCCATGGTGGGTCATGCGAATATCGTTTTCTCCACACCGCCAGTGCCTCCTTTGGTGCACGTGTTAGTGTTAGTATACCTCCTGCTGATGCTTCTTCTGTTGCTGCAGGGAAGGAGAATAAGTTGCTTTGGTATCCAGAGGATAACCATAGCCTCGATGGCCCAGTGACGGATGCGGACTACTGGGCGAACACTGGCGTTTGGTTCTTACAGCATCTGCAGCGGTTTGAGCTGCCCCCTCTGTAATGAAGAGCAGAGAGAGGACAAGGGGGAAGGAAGGCTTTCTTGTCAACTTGCGTCTGCTTCCCCATGCTGCAGCCCATTTCATGCATATTTATGCATATGTATTAGAAATGCATGTAAAGCTATATGTGTATACAAATATATGCTAGTACATATATAAGCTGTCAGGTATAAGCTATACCTGATAGCTTATATATGTAGCGTATAGACGTATGTGCGCGTATCTAGAAAGTATGTATATATAGGTATTGCTGCCAGTCGCTGCTATCGGAGCAGAACATAGGAGCTGCGTGTTGGCCGTTGGCTTTCGTACGTATCTCTGCGTTTCAACGCGAAAGGAAAAGACTGCTGAGGAATCCATCGGGCCCTCAAAGCTCCTCTGAGTCTTATGCTTCTCAGCTGCAGAGGGCACGCAAACAGCTGCGGGGGTTCCACCCTGCGTAGCGGTCAGCAGCTCGCCTGCTTGTACCGACTTTCTCCTGCTGATGTTACAGCAGGCGTGTCAGAGACAGCAGGCAGTCTCTGCTGCTTGTAGAACAAGGTCTGGGCGATAATGCCATCCTTCGTGGCGTTGGTCCCCTGTGCGGACTGGCTGCTAAACCGAGTACGGGCCCGCAGCAGCAGCAAGAGCAGCAGCTGCTGCTGCCGGTACTGCTTGGCGAGAGAACCGTCTTGGTTGGTGCTGTATATCCCTTTGCTGGTGTGGCGGCAGCAGCAAACGCACGGAGCGTTGCCTCTGAGGGGCGTTTTCCCTGCACTCTTGCAGCGCGTGCGGCGGGGATTCTCCTAGGACTGATGCAAAGAGCAACTAACTGTCTCTGGTTACAGAGGCCATTGGAGCAGCCGTCCGCAGAGAGGAGAAAGACAGCAGGAAGTTAACCCTGCAGCGCAAATGAGGCTGCCTAGACTCTAGAGCGTTTCGCCAACCTTTAAGCAGAACTAATTAGCGCAAGTGAGAGCACGGCGCTATGCTGTCGCAAAATAGACCGAGAAACTGACCCACAGGGCCCCAAGGGGGCCCTTTCGTAGTATTGCGTGTATCAAACTGAGTATTATACATATTGCATCTTGGGACCCTAACGAATCCCTAGTTTAGAGCAAATGGCTGCCAGATAGGTTCTGCTGGTCGTCAATTGCGAGCAGGCAGCCCCGTTTGGCCGTAGTCAGCAAAGAGCAGCTGCGCCTCAGCTGAATTGCGCCCGGGGTGTATATGCCTGTCAAAACGTATCAGTAAGGGAACTTAGGGCGCATATGGGCTTTCCCGGGAGGTGTTAGTGAAGGGAATAAGGGGCTGTATGAATATCGCACATATCAGTTAGGGGGTTGGGGGTTTATGAGTGCTTCAGGAGGTATCAGCCAGGGGGCTATGGGGTGTATATATATCTCATGATGTGCAAGTGAGGGGTTATGGGTGTGTGAATATCTAAGGAGGTGTCATTAACGGGGGTAAGTGGTGTATGAATACCTCAGGAGGCGTCAGTGAGGGGACTACGGGTTGTATGAGTGTCACAGGAGATGCCAATGAGGGGGTTATGGCGGGGATGAATATCCCAGGTTTCATTCCGTCGGGGGTTGGGGTAGGGGGGTTCGCTGAGCCCTAGGCTGGCGGAGATGTCGGCGGCTTCGTCTGTCGTGGCGAAGCCCCGCAGGGCAACGAACTGGGTGGGGGCGAACTCCGCAGACAGCCGGAAGAGAGAGAAGTGAGGGCCCACATGAGTTGGCCTGGGCCCGAAGACAAACAGCAACAGTTGCAGCAAAGAGAGTAGCAAACTACGAATGGCCATGGGCGCAAACGAGACGCACCGATTCAGTAAGCGCATGAAGGTGCAGACAGACAGAAAGAAGGCCAGAGAAAGAGATAAATAACACACAAGAACGCAAACGAAAATAAGGGAGGAGAAGGAGACATGCACGCAGACGCAACACAGGGAATAACGCGGGCTCATGAGGGAGTGCATCAGCTCAAGACACAGATGCAGTCGAAGTAAACAGCGAGGGGACAATGCAAATAGAAATAGCGGCGAAGGCAGAGACAAAGACCGAACGAAGAAAGCCCCTCAGGCCACTCCGTTTGCTGCACTGCACCAGCAAGCAGATTGCAGCTGCGGTGCAACAACAATTTTCTGTGTCTTTTGCGGACGCGAAATGTATGCGTATGACGGCGCCCCTGGTGCAGCTGCTTCTGCTGCCACTGCCGTTTCTGCTTCCGCCTGCGATGCCGGGCAGTGTACCAGCTGCTGGACTCAACACAAACGCTTCTTCTTGACTTCCTTTTATCTCTTCCTCGGTCGATAAAAATGCCTGAAGAAACATATGACACCCCGCCTTCTAGACCTGGGCCCACCACCTAGCGTTCGTCGTTGGGGGATTAGCGTGTAGGGTTTCGTGTTTAAGGTTTAGGGTATAGGGTTGAGGTTCTAGAGGGAGCAGGATGATTGACGGACGCGGTCAGTGCTTCCTTTAGTGGCAGTCTCCTCAATTTTGGGAACTTTGCGCATGCTGCCGCTATTGCTGCGGCTGCGGCTGATGCCACTGGTGCTGCATAAGCCGAATTGCCAACTCACAGCTGCCGTGGAGACGGCGCGCAGCTGCAGCACTCTGCTAGGCCGCCTGCGGGCCTGGATGTGTGTTGTACCGAAGTCAATCAGGAGAGGGGAGTGGGGGTCGCAGTAGGTAGCCCAAGCCCCCTTTGCTGCTGATGTTGCTGTTACTGATGCTGCTGTGGACGGCTGCGGCGGAGCCAAAAGCAGCAGCATCGTCTTTCTGCAGACGCCCTTTAAAGGCACAACCTGGGTCGTCACCGGCCCCGCTGCAGCGGGAACAACAGAAGGGGCTTCTACAGCCGCAGCAGCTGCTGCTGCTGCGCACCTGCTGGAGTAATCAAGGTCGGAGGAGGTGGCGAAGGATCGTCGAGCTGCAAGGCCGGCAGCTGCTGCTTCTGAAGCCACCGGCCACAACGAATCGAGGAGCTGCACCAGCTGCTCGCAGTGCAGCAGGGAGAGCTCTGTGTGCTGCTGCTCCTGCTGCTCCTGCTGCTCTGGTTGCTCCTGCTCCTCCTGGTCCTGCAGGCGTTGTTGTTGTTGTTGTTGTTGCTGCTTGTCACGCTGCTGTTGTTGCCGGAGGGTTGCAAGGCCTAAAGAAAAGAAAGCCCTGGGATCTTCTTGGGGCCTCAAGAGCCGAAGTATGCCACTGAGAAGAGCCTCACAGAGGGGCTCCTCGTTGTGTGCTGCCGGTTGCAGCTGCTGCCGCTGCTGATGCTGCTGCTTGGCTTGCCGTGCAAGCAACATCAGACGATGCGCTAATCTTGCGTCTTCGTCTCCACGGCAAGGCGGCGATGTTGCTGGGAATGTAATGGCCAGCTCACCACAGCAGCAGCTGTTGCTGCTGCAGCTGCTGTCTCCTCCCTGTTGCCGCGCGTCCTCGAACGGCGGAGAGAACTCCACCACCAACCGCAGCTGCTGCCGCCGCTTGATAGTCAGTTCCTGCATCAACAACAGCAATACCAGTGGCAGCAGCAATAACAAGGGCAACAGCAGCAGCAGTACAAGCCACAGCAGCACCGGAAGCAGCTGCAACAGCAGCAGCAGCAGTAATTTCATTATCCTTGGACTGCTGCGCTCTGCCCTTATTCATCTCGTCGCTGCAGAAAACCGGGGGCCCAGCGCCGGAATGCGATACATATGCCCTTCGGCGACTGCTCGACCCACCAACTGTTCTGTGATAGGCAATTCCAATTGCTGCCGCTGAGGCTGCTGCTTCTGCTGGTGCTGCTGTTGTTGTTGTTGCAGCAACTCGGCTTTGATTAGCTTAAAGGCCTTTCCTGTTACAGAGACTGCGCAGCGGACTGAGGCGCAGTGCCTGGCGGGTTGCAGCAGCAGCTCCTTACAGACAGGGAAGGCAGCAGCAGAAGCTGACTCTGCTGTTGGCTTGCTGTCGCAGTTGTCTCCTGCAGACTCCCCAGCAGCAAACCAAAGCGTGCCCAGATCACCCGTCTCTGCTGTTTCTTCCTCCGCTGCGGCGAACGCTGCAGCTGATGCGGCGCCGGAGTCAGCTGCAGCTGCAGCGGGCGTTGCTGCTGCTGTCGAGAGCTCCCCCCCTAAAGCCACGCACAAGGTGGGAGGGCGCGTGCAGATACTGAAGTCTATGATTAAGGGCGCAGCAGTACATTGTGCAGGAGCTGCCACAGAAGCGTTGGGGCCAGGCACAGCACATGCTGCAGCTGCAGCAGAAGCAGGTGCAGCAGTAGCTGCGGCGTCAGCAACAGCAGCTGCAGCAGCAGCGTGCCCGCCAACACCCGTCAGAAATGAATTCTGCTGTTTCCCTTGCAGAGAAGGCAAATAAGGAGAACGGCCCTTCGCAGTGCTGCACTTATTCGCCCCCACGGACCGCTGCACCCTCTGCTTCTGTTGCTGCTGCTGTAGATGCTGCTGCTTCTGCTGCTGTGTGCCGGTGCTGATGGGGGCGCCGGAGCTCTCCACGGGAATAGCTAGAGTTCTAAGTGCAGCTTGCGGGGGCTGCAGTGGCGGCAAACACTGCGAGGAGTAGTTGCGCTCCTGGGTCATCTTGTTCGCGGGTGAAGGAGCAGCAACGGCAGGTGCTGCTCGTGCTGCTGCTGCTTCTGCTGCTTCCTGCCGCGCGATATCGGCAGGAATGGGTTGTGCGAGAGCAATTGCCCTTAGCCTGTATTTTCCAGGGACCATCTGGAGGGCCCCACAACGCAAAAAGACTTCCGCGAGGCCGTGAGGGGCTATAATACAAGGAGAAGGGTCCAGGCGTGGAACGACGAAGCCCTGAACATCTGCTGCTGCTGCTGGTGCTGTTGGTGCAGGCGCCACAGTTGTTGCCGCCGATGCTGCTGCTGCTCCACTTACTGCTTCATGACCTCCTGCAACTGCAGAGGCTGGTGCACGGCCAGCTGTGCCGCCTGATGCAGGGCTCAAGACCAGGTCGCCTCCATGAACCGACTGCAGCTGTACGCTGCAACAATGGTTTCTGTTCATGGAGCTGCTCCTGCAGCATGCTGCATCTCCGGGGGGAACCTTTGCTTGAAAGAGAAAATTAGAGGATCGCCTTGCTGCTGCTGTTGCTGTCCACGCACCCCCTGCACCTGGTCCGTGACCCTTCCCTCCTTCCGACTCGGCAGCAGCAGCAGAATCAGCAGCAGCATCAGTAGCAGCGGCATGCGCAACAGCAGCACTAGGAGGGCAAACCTCCGCTGTGAGGTCAACTGCTGCTCTTGGTGCCGCGGATTGCAAGAGGGGCTGGTTGATTCGTGCAGCAGGATCTCGCAGGGAGCTGAGGACAGCAACGGCAGCAGCAACAAGTCTCGTCTCGCGCGAGAGAGGAGTTGCTGCAGTGACCAAACAATGCTCTGGAGGCAGCAGCGCAGCTTCATTTTCCCCCATCTGCCCCGCTGTACGCCTTGCTGATGCTTCCACTTCGGCGAATCCTTCTGCTGCAGCCCCTGCTGCTGCTTGCAGTCCTACTGGTGCTGCCGTCGTTGCTGTTCCTGCTGCCGCTGTGGCTGCGGCTGCGGCTGTGGCTGCGGCTTTCGGTGAGACTGCCGCTTCTCCTGTGGCTGTGTTCAAAACGTGTGCTGCACCCATGTATCCTTGAGCACCAATTAAAACTTTCATCTGTGGAGCACGTTGTGCTGGACAGTCTGTCGGATTGGCTGAGGTTGTTCCTGCGGCTCCTTCCACTGTTTCTGCTGTTTCTGCATCTGCCAAGCTCGCCACTGCTAACGCCTGCCACCCGTTGCTGGCCTCTGCTATCCCCACACCAGCAGCAGCTGCCGCAGCCTCTGTAGCTTTCATCGACGCCTCCTCTGCAGCAGCAACAGCAGCAGCTGCTGATGCTGCTGCCTGAGCCGCCATGTCAGGGGCTTTTGCTTGCTGCGACCTCTGAGGCTTTCGCGTGGCTGCAACTGATGCCACGGGGGCAGCAGCCGCAGCAGCAGCGGCTGCTGCTTCTGCTGCTTCTGCTGCTGCTTCCGCTGCCGCTGCCTCACGAGCCATATCGACTGCGCGTCGGCGCAACGTTTCAAGCGCTAGCGCTTTCAAGGTGTTTGCCTGCTGCAGCTGTTGCTGCAGCTGCTGCTGCATTTCCCAAAGGCCAATATCGTACAAGAGCCATTGAACTCGCAGCCAATGGTTGGTGTTATTCTCTACCTTAAAGCTTACACATTGCTCTTCATCATCTTGCTGCTGCTGCTGCTGCTGCTGCTGCTGCTGCTCCTGCTGGTGTTGTTGCTCCTGCACGTCTGTTGCCGCAACTGCTTTGAGGGGAATGCGTTCGCTAAAGAATGCATTTTTGAGAGGGAGAAGTCTGTCTCCTCTTCTATATGAAAAGAGGCCTGTGAGCTGCTGCTGCTTTTGTCGCAGTTTTTTCTGCTGCTGTCTCGCTTCCAAGTTCTGCTGCTGCAGCATCACTTGGGCGGATATCAGCGGCGGCAGGCCACTGCGGAGGCGGAGGCGCTCCTGAAGGGGTGGCAGCAGCAGCAGCTGCCCTCTTGCTGGCACCTTGAGTGGAATGATTGCTACTTGCGGCAGCAGCTGCTGCTGCAGCTGCTGCTGCAGATGTTGTTGCAGCTGCTGTTGCTGCAGCTGCAGCGGCAAAGGCTCGAGACACAGTTGCAAGACAGCGGCAAACTCTGCAGGGACGGCAGCGAACATCTCAATCGCGAGAAGCACGGCGTGATGCTGTTGCAGCAACAGCCGGCTTTCGGGGTGGGGAATGAGCACCAAGCCTCCTCGGGCTGCGCGGTACAGCTTCTGCCGCCGTTGCCGTGCTGCTGCTGCCTGAAGTTTCCTTACGCCCGAAGCTGTCTTGAAGGAAGGCCGGTCTACCAAACCAAACGAACCAGGCAGAAGCTGCCGCAGCTCAGGGGGAGCAACAGCAGAAACCGCTTGTAGCAGCAAGGCCTCAGGTGTCGGAGAGGGGGGACTTAATGCCCTATGGTTGTTGCTGCTGCTACTACCGCTGCTGGTGCATCTGCTGCTGTTCCTGTTGCTACTGCTACTGCTGCTGCTTGCGTTGCTACTGCAGCTGCTTGTTTTGTTGCCGTTGCTGCTTCTGTTGCTGCCGTCTGTCCGCGCGGTAGCGCACGGATCCATTAGCACTCCCCAGGAGGTGATTAGTCCACTTCTGGTGCAGTAGCCCGTGCCTACGCCACATCTATTGTCCCTGGTGCTACTGCTATTGCAGTCAGGGCAGAGGAAGGTTCCAGCAGGTCTGCCGTCGTCCCAGTGTGTGGGATGCTTCAGTTGCTGCTGCTGGTGCATGTGCTGCTGCTGCTGCTGCTGCAGGTGTCCGTGTGCGAGCGCCTGCAGCTGGAGAAAGGCGGGAATGGGTGAATTGTTGACAGCGAGGAGGTAAAGAAAAACGCTATCTCCCCCTGCTGTGATTGTTTCTGTCCTGACTTCGTCAGCTATCTCTGCTGTCTGCCCCACATCACCCTCCTGCTGCTGCAAGAAGAACCAACGGCCGATGCCAGCAGCCTTGAGAGCAACTGCTGCAGATCCGTCTGATGCTCCTCGAGTGCCATCGTCACCCACGCGCAAAGAAAAAGTGCAGATGTCGCTGAGATCCTCACCTCTGGGGCTCTGGTGCTCTTGCAGTTGCACGTGCTGTTGCTCGTGCTGCTGCTGTTGCTGCTGGTGTAGTTGCTGGTGCTGTGATTCCTGGTGCTGTTGAATCGGGTGGAGTGTATGAGACTGTCGGCTGTGGGTGTGGCTCTGCTGCTGGATGTGCGGTTGGTTCTGGTGCTGCGACCTTGTTTGCTGGAGCAGCGCAGCCGCGGCCTTGAGTTGCTGCTGCGAGAAGAGGGCGTACGTGACAGAGGCTCCGCTAGAGGCAGCAGAAAAGGAGACCTGCAGGGGCAGCAGCAGGCCCTCCCCGCTGCAGAACGCTCTCGCCTCGAGCTGAGGAGACACCGCAAGAGCTACGCAGGAGATGTCTGCGGCTCTGCTGCTGCGGGGTGCTAAAACGAAATCATCAGGATACAGGGAGAGCAGCAAACTGCCTTGTCGACTGCCAACAGACACCGGCGCAAGCGACCCGAAGAGCTGCTGCTGATGCAATCCCTCCTTCCCCTGGTGCTGCTGCTGCTGTTCCTGCTGCTCTTGAGTTCTTTGATCTCCTAGGGGTGTAAGCGATGTCCATCGAACTCTGACTGGAAGGTCTCCGTCGTTGTACAGGGTCAGCTTTTGCTGCAGCAGCCGCTGCTGCAGCAAGAAGAGCGGCGGCAGCTGCAGATGGTGGGTGCTTAGGCGCAGCAGCGGGAGAGCCGCTCGGGCTTCAACTGCAATGGGGAGAAGTTCACAGCCCTCAAGAGTCTCCAGCTGAACAGCACAACACACAACCCGCCGCAGCGCTGCAGCTGCTGCCCCCTTAGTCCTTATAGCTGGCGGGCAGTCTCTGCCAGTAAGATGCAGTGGGCTAGCAGGTGTACACACTCTGTACTGAGTAGATATGAGGTTTACATAGACCACAGAGGGAAGCCGGCGAGGAAGACTTACGAACAAAAAGGAACGAAGGGACTGGGGGTGAGAGGCCCTCAAGGTCACCAAGAATACGGCGGCACCCCCGGGGGGCAGCAGCAAGTAAGAAGGATACACCATCAGTTGCCCAGACAAACCTACCACTACCTGCGGCTCCAGACAATCTTGATGCCGCCGCTGATGCTCTTGCTGCTGCTGGTGCTGCTGCGCGGTCACTAGTTGGAGCTGCCACTCGACCAAATGTTGCTGCAAGGCCAGGTGCTGTTCCTGCAATGTAGCGAACTCATTGCCATCTACAGCGTGTCCTGCTGTAGGTGCGGTTGCTGCTGCTGCCTCAGCTGCCGCTGCCTCAGCTGCTGCTGCCTCAGCTGCTGCTGCTGCAGCGTCGGCAGCTGCCTTTCGCGGGTGGCGGAAGAAGGGCTCAGAATAACGCAACGACTCGTCCACGCAAAGACACTTCACGCAGGAGGGCACGCGGGCATCTGGCTCTACTGCTGCCGTCACAGAGGCATCTTGACCTCCGTCTGCAGCCGCTGCTGCTGCTACTGCTCTTGCTGTTGCTGGGTTGCCATACCCAGTGTTGCTAGCAGCAGCAGCGGCCTTCGCAGAAGGAACACCTGCCTGTGCTGTTGTAGATGCTAGTGGTGACGGGGACGTCGTTGTTGTTGGCGTTGCACCTGCCGCTGTTGCTGCTGCTGCGGCAGCAACAGGCAGCTCCATGGGGGCGCGCTCAAGGGAAGATGCGAAATGGCAGGGAAAGGCCCCCGCAGCGCTCATCTGGGCTGCCTGCAGCAGCGCCGAGTCTGTAGTGGCAGCAGCAGAGAATTCTTCTGCTGCTGTTGGCAGGCGAAGACGGACGGCGGCAGGAAACTGGGATATGTTGCGGACGAGAAGGCCCCGACTGCTGCGTGTGTGCGCCCTCACCTGCAAAGTCCAACAGCAACGGAGACACGCACACACACAAAACCAGCAGTAAGCTGCAGCAACAGAAAATGCCGGCCTTCACCAGCCACTCCGGCTCCGCTGTTGCTGTTGCTGCTACTGCTGCTACTGCTACGGCTGCTGCTGATAGCACTGGTGGGTCATGCTGGTTCAGGTGAGATGAAAGAAAAAGCTATCAGCCGACTCCCTCACAGTGCCAAAGTGGAGTTGTGGGGGCCAAGACGACGCCACAAGGGGAACAGCCACCTCCACACAAAATGGCACAGCCAACTGCAGGAGGTCTTCAGTGTCTGCTGCTGCTTCTGCTGCTGCTGCAGCTGTCGGCTTGGGCTCTCCTGCAGCAGCAACGGCAGGGTCTGCTGCTGCCGCTGCTCTTTGCGGCACAGGAGCAGCCGCCAGAGGGGGGTTGCTGATGAGGTAAGGAGGGAAGACTGAAAGAGGAAGCTCTATAGATATGGTGCCGCAGCAAAGCGGCAGCAGCCGCAGCAGCAGCTGTTCTTCACTGAGAGGGGCCAGGAGGCCTCCGCCGTCGGAGGAAAGACAAAAGAAACCGAAAGGCTGCGGGCCCTGACCGAAGACCTGCAGAAAAGAATGCATCTAACGGTTTTCGCGTTCCAACAACCGCAAAATAAGGGGCTAAATGGAGTGCTTACGGCTTGGGCTTAGGGTTCAGGGTGGAAGGTGTACGCAAGATAGTTGCTTGCCGTATCTTTCTCTCTCTCAAAATCCTCCATTTCTTCGTTTTCAAGGCGAAGAAACCAAGCGGTCTTGTATCCTTCAGCGATTGCTTCGCTGCACCTGTTGCTGCCATTGCAGCAGCAGCAGCAGCAACAACTGTTGTTGCTGTCGCCGCTGTTGCTGCTGCCGCTGCCGCAGCAGGTGCTGCTGTGGTTGCTGCTCTTGCAGAGGCAGCTGGTGCAGCTGCTGTTGTTACAGCGTTGGGGGCCTTGCCACCTGACTTTTAAGGCTCTCACGGTGGGGTGTACAGCTATCAGGACTTGCGTGAGTCCCTCATTCCTCACTCTGAAGGGGATGGCATGAACTGCAGCAGGCCTGAGCCTTAAAACGACGCGGCGGCCCTGCAGCTGAGGGGGAGGGAAGACCCGCACTTTGGGGGTCTCTAGGCTGACGCGCTGCTGCAGCTGCAGCAGCTGCCAGTCTCTGAGTCCTTCATCTGCTTCGACTGCTGGCGCAGCCTCCATAGCCGTCGCTCTGCTTCTCTCAGCATTCTCAGCAGCCTGTGGAGGGGGCTCAGGAGGTAGCAACAGCGGCAGCCAACGCAGCAGCTCACCGCTGTTCGCCTGTAACGGTTGCTGCTGCTGCTGCGCCTCTGAGGAGATGAAGGTGGGGCTCTTGCAATGCCTCAGTAGCACACGTGGGGGAAGCAGAGCGCCACGAGAGACGCCCAGAATCTATAAGCACAGATAAGGACAAGCAGCAAATATAAAAGAGGGATAGAGACAGTGAGGCAGAGAGAGTAAGGAAGAGAGCCAGCCCAAATTCAAAAATACAACAGCGGCATGGCGTTCATGGGCCATCTCCCACACACCCAAAGAGAAACTTCTGACGAAAATGAACTACCGTTGCCTTTCGTGTGGCTGCTGCTGCTCCTGCTGTCTGCAGAGCAGGCTGGCAGTAGTCTGGGGTCGACGGAGAAGGAGAACGAGGCAACGCTTTGGGCTAAGATGGTTGCCTCAGGAGGGGACACAGAGAAGGCCTTTGACGCAGCTGCAGCACAGTTTGCTGCTGCTGCTGCTGCATGGCCGCGCCACTGGACGCGTATGGGGAGTTTCCCTTCGTTGCAAAGAGTCACCGTGCGAAGTACAGGGGGACCCTGACGCTGCAGCGCATCAGAGAAGGCCGAGAGGAGGGGACAATGAGTTAAAGCGGCACTCAGTTCTTTTTGAGACTCACAACAAAATAAAAAGGCCAAGAGGCAGCCAACTGCCGGTGCTGCAGTTGCTGTTGTCGCTGCTGTTGTTGGTGTTGCTACTGATGGCACAGATGTACCAGAGAACATCCAAAGTCTAGCAGCCGTGGCATCCAGTTGGCCATCGTTCGGATGATAGAAGCCTCACTAAGGAGCGTGGCCCCTGCCTTGAGATCTCCGTCACTGAGTCCGCCTGCGACTGTCGCCGTTACGACTACTGCACTCGCCGCCGTTGTTGCTGCTTCTGCCGCTGCTGCTGCTGCTGTTGCTGTTGCCCCCCGGAGCAGCTGCCTCCGAGTGCCGGAGCCTGCAACCTTGTGCGTATCGATCTCAACCGAAGAACATAGCCCGGCGAACAGCCCCACGAGGCGGCCTACAGGCCACTGGGCTCCGCAGAAATCTTTAAGAGTCAGCGCAGCAGCCTCAGCCACTCCCCTCAGTTCAACAAAACCAAGGCAAGATGCTTTATCTTGTGGAGTCCCCGCAGAAAACAGCAGAAGAGAAGCAGCAAAATGCCCAGGACGTCGCGGAACGAAACGCAGCAGTAGAGCAGAACTGTCGGGCCCCCGCGGCAAAAACACCTCTCTATCAGATACTTCAAAGGGTTCTTCCTCGCTACTCCCCACCCTGCAGTGCCCCCTCTGGACAGCAACAGCAGCAATACTAGGAGGAACAGCACCATCAGCGTCAGCACCGGCTAAGGAAGCTGCTGCAGGCCTCCCAGACACAGCTGAAGGGGCGGGGGTGGCAGCGGGCACCACCACGGGCCTCAGGACTGCCTCTCCCCCTGCATTTCTCAAACACAGCCTGCGGGCCACAAAAACAGCAGCAGCTGCACTTAGACGCCAGGCAACATCCGTGGTGGCTTGCCTTTGGCGGTGGTGGGACTGCAGGCTAGGTCGGGGGCCCTGAAGGCTGCTCAGCAGCTGATGCAGCTGCTTGGGCCCTTCAAAAGGGAGCCTGGCGTCAAGGCGAGAAATAGGGGGGAGAGAAGAAGAGGGGGAAGGAGCATACAGGGGCAGAAAACGGCAAGGAAAAAGGGAGCGGAGCCCCTGGGAAGAAATCCTGAAAGGGCAGGAGCTGCAGCATCCGCTGCAGCTGCTGCTGTTGCTGCTGCTGCAGCTGAAGGTAGTGAAGCTCTGAATGCTTTTAGTTGTTATAAGGGGTAAAAGCAGCAGTGTATAAGGGCTGCCTCACTCCAAAACAGCGGCTTCGCCTGGACGTACTGCTTTGAAGGTCAGGCAGCGGGGCAGCAATTCCAACAGGGGACGTTCCTTGCGGGCCACCACCTGCAGAAAGAGGCCAACGGAGGCCAACAAACGAGACGCAGCAGCAGCTGCTGCTCTCTCCTTAGTGGCATCGCCTGACAAAAGTGTGCTGCCATGAGAACCCCAACGTGGAGGGGCCTGCACGCCTGCACCTGCTCTTCAGAGCTTTCTCCTCAGCAGCACCCGAAAAGCTCAGAATTTGCGGCTGAAGATGTATTGTTTGTGGCGCATGAGAGGACTCAGGCAAATTTCAACTTGGGAGCTTTGTGGGACGCTGCACGCATTGTGTTGGTCTCTCACTTGCCACAGAGGCAGCATATGAATAATGACTTAAAAGTAATGATGGGGGAGTAAGCAGGGGGTTGGCTATATGCGTGGAGGCATTGATTAAGACTGCAAGGCTGAACAATTTACAGGCACTGCGAAGGACCCGGTCTCCGTGTGCACCTCCAACACACCCCTGGCCTCACGCGCCTGCGGCGTCGCTGTGAAGGACACCCAAACCTGCAGAGTGCACGGAAACCAGCCCTTGAAGCATATGGTTTTGCAGGCACAGCTGTTTTCTTCCTTTGGCGAAGGAAGAAAGCATATCAGCCCTATTGGGGGCGTACTCCTCGAAAAGCCCTCCTAAAGTTCTTCTTCCAGGTTGAAAAGAGCGTGAATGTACAAATTAGCAATGCCAGCCTAGTGATGCACTTCTGTTTGGTCGTCGTTGCTGGGGAGTTAATACGCCCCTCTGCATGCCTACCTGAACACGCATTCCTGTAGCTACGAGGCCTGAGGCGCGGGAGGCAAGCGGGCGTTCTCCGCTGCTGGCAGCGGCCGGCTGTACGATGGCCTCATCGACGGGGTACTTTAAAGGGGAAATGCGAAAAGGACTTTGGGGGTCGACTTCCAGCCTCAGCCGCCTCCCAACCTTCTCACGATTCCGCAGCACGACTTTTTTGGTATAGGTGACTCCTTCAATGACCTTGTCAAACACCTGCACCCTCCACCCCCGCACTCACGGTATCTCTGAACGAAACAGAAGTGGGTGTTTCCTTCTCGGGAGGCAGGAGGATACAGGCTCCTTAGGGGTGCGCACACTCCAGAGGGGCTCACAATGCAGTCCGGGGTGACCACGAAAGGACATTCATCTGATGCTTCCAAAAAGCCATAACCATTTTTCTGAATATACGAACGGCCCGTGATATACACGCTGGCGCCGTCCGTCCTTTCGCTTTTGCGGCGCGTGGGGGAGCCTTTTTGGATCTGAAAGAAGCCGCACAAGTGGTGGTGCATCCTGTCCATATGAAACCACTACGGGATACTACGACGCTATCACGCGTTTGATGATTCGTAAGGGATCATCATGGCATTCGATTAATACAACCCATTCAGACAGACGCATTAGCTTAAATGGATTTTGGGAATTGGAAACACCAGGGTGCCTGGAACTGCTAAGAAGTACGCGCAAACCTCCTCTTTTTTTCCCCTTGACGCATGCAGTCTGTGCAGTTGGTTGCAACTGGAAGGCCCTACATCCGCATTGTAAGACAGGAGCCTTGAGCTACAGTGGGCAGTATGATTAACTTCTCGGGGAGTCCAATCTTGCGTAGGGTCTCTAAATTGCTGAATGGTGATGCATAAAGCGCAGCTTCCTTTATTGCAGCTGATTCAACTAGAATCAGTTCATAGATGTAAGGACGGCTGTGCAAAAGCTTGGTTGAGTGCTGCGCCAGACGACCGGTGCAGTACATGCTCTTGAACGGGGTAAAGGAAACGGCGACCAGCTGTTCTTGCTATTACTCATGCTAATAACTGGGGGCATGTGCAGCACCCTGAAATGTGGCTCGCGTAATAATAGTGAGACCGAAAGTCTTCCAGAAGCAGGGCAAAAGTATGTAACTGCGCGAACCTTCAAGTTTACTCATCAGCCCAGCTGAGTGGCATGGCCCAGGCCCAAAGGTGAGAGTTCTCTCACGCCCATTTGACCCGGGCGCCGTTCTAGCCCTTCCTATACTCACTTCCGTCTTGCCGGGAGAATACATTTTGAACCGACTCTGGCGCCTGTTTTTAGATTCTAAAGCAATGCAACAATGCTCACGGCTGCACTAATACCAAAGAAAAAGTAGTTCTGCGGTTAGAGCGTGCGAAGCAACTGCAGCGCTCACACCTACGCTAGGACGATCCATTGTGACGGTATGCACTATGCATTCAATATGGCTGGAGCATTTTAGCGAATCATAAGCTGGGAAAATATTGGCCAAGTGCTTAAGGCGCCCGAAGCTGTCGGGAATTCGGGTATGAAGGGATTCTGCTAGATCCTTGGTGCGAGAGAAAGCAAATAAATTGGCACACTTGCTGGGTGATACATGTATTATGCAAAGCCCTAATGCCGAGCTGCTCTGCTACTGAGCTGCTCACTGCTCCTGCTGATTGCAGGCGGCTGCAGCTGTCTTCAGCGTGGTGCAATTTGGGAAGGCATTTGCATTCAATCTAGTTATCACGTAAAAATCCCGCTGCATCTAGTTGGAATCGAAATAATGCAGGCCATTTCGTTTGCTTTCCCCGGGGGACTGGGGCTTTCACGCTGATTTCGTAATTGAGGACTGCAGTTAGTGGGGGAGTGACCCGTGGAACGGAGTAGATATGAACGGGTTCAACGTTACGGCTGAACCTGGTATAAATTAGTAAATAATCCCCTCTGAATAATACAATATAATCAAAACGACCCCTGTTCAGTAGGAAGAAATAAACTAGCGCATCCGATCGCGGCCCTCAAGTCACCGGCGGCTGGAGTGTACAGACAGCCATGGCGAGCTGCACCAGCGGTGATGGTATCCTGTCCATAAGTTTACGTTTACCATCCCATTTTGGTCAGATTTTGATGCATCCTTAAGACTGTGTCATTAAGGATCCCCACTGTTTACACATCACACCATTTCTAAGATGTTTGTGGGCGGCCCTGAGGACATCCCCATTGAGGGCGACGAGTTCGAAAAGTCGAAGCCAAGAGTCCTCTCCATCGCTGGATACTGCTTCCTTTCACTGATCGCCCACTTTTTCGTCCAAGATGTAAGGCTACTTGTCTGAATCCTCCCTGTGCCCTCGCTATGCTACTTTATCCAGGTTGGTGGTGCGCTGTCCATGGCTATTCTCGGCGGGTTGCTGTACTACTACTCCAAGAAGCCTACTCATCTCAGCATCACGCTGGCATTAGGCATGAGTATGCACTAATACCATATATGCAACAACTCTGGGAACGCGTTCTATCACCTTTTACTTCAGGCCTGGCGATCTTGTTCATGAGCGGCTTCATCTGGTTCAGCATATTGTTATCTACGCATCTTGTAAGTACCCAAAGGCGACGTTTCTACACGTCCATATGCATAATTACTCCTCACCTTGAAGCAACTGTGGCTAGCGGATATTGTCACACAATTAGAGTGAGCCGAATGAAACTACCCTCATTTTCATCACAGTGGGTCACCGCAAAATTTCAGGTTCATCCTCTACGTGCTCGATTTCGGCGCCTCCTGCCTCGCACTATTCCAACTTCAATACGTTTTTGATTCGCCAACCTACCGTAGGGAAACAATTCTGATAGGAAAATTACTTGATTTCTACCACATTCCTTAACTACAGGTGGGCCGCGGTCCTTCCTTCCCCGCTGGGCCGAATCTGCTGCTCGTGCTGAGGGATGGAAAGGATGGTCTCCATTCCAGGTATGTTCTTCCCTACCACCCAACTACTCAGTGACTACGAAGAATAAACAACATGAACAGGGTGAAGGGCAACGCCTGGGCGGATGGCAGTAAAAGCGCCAACCACCAGACGCAGCAGTATCCAACTTGGCACGCACTTGTGAACTCAAGTCATGCCACAATTTCTCGCGTGCAGACGCATTTCAAAGAGACGCGGCTGCAAAAATAATGGTTGTGTTCAGTTTCTTTCTAGACCGGCTGGTCAATAGTAGATAAGAACGGAAACGTAGACGCTGCAGGATGACTGCATGCAAGTAGAAGCAAAGCGCGGTAACTGACTTCGTACTTGCTAGTGCGTCAATGTGGAACGTTAAAGCCGCCTGACATGCCTCCACCAAATTTACGAGTTAGCTTAGAAATGGCTTCTGCGATATCCGGGTCATCCTTGTACTTCGCCATGTTACCTGGGTTCGTCAAAATGTCTTGAAACGCTGCCATCATCTGCAAAAATTCCAGCAGAACAAAGCAAAACCCTACAAAATCTGTGCAGTGCCATTCAATACATCGAAGCAGCTCAAGAACTTGCCTTTGGGTTTGAAAACAACTGCTGGACGTCAGGATCATTCATGGAGCCGAGTAATCCACCTGCAGAAACACACCGCGCACAGAGCCAAACGTAAATATTCCATCTTATATAGCAACAACTAGAGTGTTCGATTTGTACCAACGACATGCAGAACAAACCATACCTAGGCCTCCCATCCCTCCAGGCATTCCACCAGGCATTCCGCCAGGCATGCCTCCAGGCATGCCTCCAGGCATTCCACCTGGCATTCCACATGGCATTCCACCAGGCATTCCACATGGCATTCCACCAGGCAGTCCACCTGAAACAATCCAAATTCAACCATCCAAAAATATTGTAGAAAATCGACAGATCTTCTAGCTACGAGAACTACAGTACGATACACTATATATGCTCAAACTGCTATTTGATTTTATCAGCTCAAGCCTTCCTACCTGCTTCGCGCTTCTTCTGCTCTTCGTACGCCCTCTGCGCATTGGCTCGCTGCTCCCTTGCTCGTCTCTCGCGCTCCTTTCTCTCTTTCTGAGAAATACGAAATGTGCACCCTCAAACTGCATACATGCGAAGCAGGAACGACGGGACGTAGCGCAACGATGGTGACATGTTCAGGAAGAGGTTGCGCTGCCCTACTTCTTCTTTCTTGCGCTGAGCAGCTCTCTCGTGTTCCTCTATTATCTTGTATTTTTGCTCAACAAGTTTTTGAATATCCCAAATGTTCTCGTCGTAGTCAATCTGCGCGTCCACACCTCAGCGCAGACTTGCACTCGCGGGTTAGCCCAGCTTTCAAGAGGACTCAATCGATAAGTAGCTTCCGGTATGCAATCCACGCACCTTCTGTCCCATCTCTATATCACTGTGTGCTTGCTTCCAATGTCCAAGGTACCTGAAGTAAGGCACGAAAACTCCTGCAGCGTCGCTGCTGAAGCCCCCCCGTGAAAGCTCCAAAATGCATCCCCTCATAATACAGAATGTTGTGCAACTCCTTGCCTGTTGGCAGTGCCACGGATTCGGTAGGCCCTTGCATTGTCAGGATTCAGCTTCAACGCTTCGTCGCAATCCCTAATTGCGGCAGCATATCTCTTCTGTTTCAGCAGGACATCGGCTCTACGCGTGTATAGAAGCGCAGTGGGGTTGCCGACCAGCAGTGCCTCTGTGTAAGACTCAACTGCCCTGTTGAGATCTCCTGCCTGTACGCTCACACAGCATCATGCCAATCCTGGGGTATCCAGCAATGAATAAAATGATGGAACCCCCCGTGTTTCCAAGTAGGAGTCGCTAAGCTTTCCCAGCAGCCCTTACTTCAGCTGCTTCTGTGGCTGCTTCCTTAGCCTTGGCGAGCTTCTCGTAGTCTTCGTCAGTTAGCTCCCTCTCCTCAGCGGGTGCTAGAGGTGGAGCAGGCGTAGACTCAGGCACGACGACCTCCTCATCATTCAGCGACTCAGGTTCGAACGTATCCTCCTCAGACTGCAGAAGAGCCATACGCACACCAGAGTAACATGTCAGCGTGCATCTCTCAAAGAGAGGGGGCATGGCTCACTGGGGCAGGCACACGAGAACGGGTTGCTCCTACGTGTCGATCGGGTCTATCCATCTTTACACCTGACGGACTTCCTGTTCCTCTGGTTCTTCTGCTGGAGGGTCTGGCAGTTTGGCGCCTAGGGAGAGCAGGTACTCCTTGAAGAATGCCAATTCCGGCCTGTGCAAGATGCTGGGGTCATTGCGTGCAAGCGTAACGAACGCCTCCAACTCGGTAACTGCGGAGACCCCACACCAAAATCAAGGAGGCGACTGCAGCCCCCGCTCCCCTCTGCATGCCGTAGCGCTAGCAGATATTATTAGACCCCGGAGTCAGCGAATGCTGGCCTTGTATGTGTAATGCTGCCCATGTGAAGCTATTCCAACACAATACTCATAGAAGCATTCCCACAAGGAAGCGGTTTGGCGTTAGTTGGGGTCCGGCAGGTCTCGGTTCTATCTGTTGGCATTTCCACTTACTTTTGTCCTCCCCGAACAATGCCATTATCTCGAAGGGAAAAAGATTAGGAAAGCGTCGCTCGCCCTGTGGCGTTACAAAGCAGGAAAGCACCACACCACACTGCCTAGGCACCGGTCCTTCTGTGCGCGTTGGATTCACAGGCTCTTTGTTTGAAGTACTAACACCAATGGGTTAGAAAATGAAGCCTTTATACTGTAGAAGAAGCTCTCAGAAACTTTATTTTCATTGCTTTGGGGCTTGGTTGCACCATTTGGCTGGCGCGGAGTCAGGACTGCAACACGGTTTGTGTCGGTTTGTGTCTTTGGTGTGAAGCGCTGGAATATTTCTTTATCTGCAGGGTTTTTAAGAGAATTGACTTCTGTGTTAATATGGAAAACGCTTTTAACAACACCAGCAGAGGCAGGAAGACCGGGACTCCGCACAGTCCTTCGCTACCACTTCGCCGGGTCTCTGTGTGTCTTTGCCCGTTTTAGCAAATCAATCTGATATTACTGCTTGCGCATAAGAACGTAGAAGAGGAGGGATAGATGAAAGAGAAGTTAGTGATTGAACCGTTTAGAGGAGGCAACAGCAGGACGCAGTTTCTATGGAAGGACTTACGGCCGCAAGAAGGTGCGTAGAGGAAGATGAACAACAGGCAGCATTCGTTCATCATCAAGTTGAATACGGAGATAGTTGATTAGCAGAGTGCATACGCCGTCTCAGTAGCCTTTCGATGTGTTTCAGCTTCGCTACCTCTTCGATTTTTCACTGGAGGACCGAAGGCATTAGCGCTTAGTATGGCAACCTTAAGACCGTCATTACAGACTTTCACATGCACATATCAATATGAAGGCAGTCGATACAGACTCTTATTACACCGGTGTGAAGACAGGCTGTGCAGAGTCTGCCTGCCTCTTAGGGTACATCATTGAATGGGAATACTAGCACCGCTTGACAGCTGCAACCAACTGGGGCCGGTGAAGGTACAACGTGAGTGCTTCCGATATGGTCTTGCTGCATGCATTAGGAGATTCAAGTTTTTGTTCTCACTTGTTGCGGATGGTCATGTAATACGAGTAAATGGCTTTATAGCGGGGCTTCTTCGTTTCGTTTTTTTGCATGTGCCGCTAATCAGAAAGGAGGCTGATTTGCCTTTTTCTTTGCTGCCTTTCTTCTTGAACAAGATGGAACCTCCAAACGGTATTAAGTGTTTTTTTTTGACAACGCTGAGCCGTCAAACGGCTATTCTCGTTCAAGAGCAAAGAAAACAACATCGAAAGACAAAGGAGAAACTGGATGGGTTTGTGTGTTGTGTTAAAGAAGACTGGACTGGTACTCCATTGGTACATTTGGTAAGGTGTATTCCCTTATATATTTTACATTTTTGGCGTATGCAACTGCTTTACGTCACACGAATCGTATCTTGATGCCTAAAGCCTGTATTGAGTAGGAACGCTACTCAAATTGTGTCTTATATTCGAAATAAGATTTCGTCAGCATCGAGAGTTAAAAGCAGCAATAGAGCTGCCACTGTAGCGAAACACTGAAGCGAAAAGTGGAGTCAGACGGACAGAGCGGCTCCTTGTTCCGCGGCAAGTTTTTTTCATTTTCTGTTTCATCTGGAGGGCCATTTGTTTATTCCACCATTTGTCTTTTTTGCTAGTTATTGCTTCGTCTTTGATGTACCCTTGGACCTGTTCGTTTTTCGTCTACATACTGCCGTCCGTATTTTCTTGTTTTATTCTTCTGATTATTATGGCTGTTATTGCTTTCTTATTTTTATGTAAGTGTTTTTTATTGCTGTTCCTGTGCGGGGTCTAGTGTATGGAACATGGCAAAAAGTTGAACTGCAATGGGGAGGTCAATTTAACACCGGGAGAGCAAGTACAAACAAATGCAGAATACAAACAAATACAAAGAACAATCAAATACAAAGTGCAGACAAAGAAAGACACAAGAAAATAATGCTAACAGTGCCACACTGCATTGCCAGGAGCACGGAATACGACAGGCAGCGGGGGCAGTTGTTTCAAGTTAAATTATTTGTACAGTAAATACTTAATAACTAATAATAGATGCCGCTTCTGAGTGACAAGAGAGCTTGTGTTTTTTAATTTAAAATAGATGCGAGCACTTCTCAGTAGGAAAGGATTTCAACGGAGGAAGCCACCGCCTGTTGCAAACAGGCGGTTGAAGGCAACGGAAAAGTTTAAACAAACAGCCAAACAAACAAATGAACAAATAATCAAGCAAGTAAGCAAACAAGCACTCAATTAAGGAAGCAATCAAGCAAACAGGCAAACCAACAAACAAACAACGCACACAAACAACAGATAGACGAACGAGCGAACGAACAAACGAACGAATTGACGAGCAAACAAACAAGCGAGCAAGCAAGCAAGCAAACCAACAATCAAACAAACAAACAAATAAGATAACAAATAATATAAATAAGAAAATACACCAGCAAGTGTAATATGCGACATGGAAGACCCGAAAAGTCTCATAGTAAAGCCCATCGCCATTATAATTTAGCAGGGCCTTTGTGTTGAGTTCTTCGTCCATGAGTTCATGAAAACAGATCGCTCGGCTGTTCATTGAAGATGCGCTGAGCTTCAATATCCGTACCAAGTAGTGAAGCTGCTCTGTTAACATAAAGGACATCTTTGTCTCTTTCATATCTCTTGTCTTTTCTTTGTCCTGAGTACGTACAGCCTGTCTCTCCTCTGCCTCTTCAGCAGCGAAACCACCCCAAATCCGCAAACGAAGACAATCCTTTAGGCGTACACTACCTGTATCAGTGTTGGCTAGCAACCCCCTTCTATTTAAAAATAATAATAAAAGGCTTCTCTTCATTCGTAGCAGTTAAAAGTCTACTCAGTCCAGTAATGTACAGCTCAGGGGCCTCTCTGCTGTCAACTACTCAGCCCAAACCAATCCACACCTCCTTCCAACGCCCTCAGGCGCATATGGCGTAGCATCAAGACCTCCAGTAGAAGCTGCAAATGAAATTGCAGCAGAAGCTGCAGAAAGAAACTGCAGCAGCACAAGCTGCAGCAAAAACCGCGGCAGGAGCCACAGCACAAGCTGCAGAAACAACGGCAGCAGAATCTGCTGCATGCCCTGCCGCTTTCAGTGTAACGGAGAGTTAGTGTCTTGTGTGTGAGGTGTGCTTAGGGAGCCGTTGTGTGTTGTATCTTTTGGTGTTGCTGCGCCTGGCGTGCGTGTTGATTGATTCTCCTCTCTCTTGCTGCCAGCAGCAGCCGCTGCAGTCTGTTCGCATGCCTTCTTGCTGCAGTAATCTGTTCAATGAGGGGAGTCGATAAGGCCTTCGTGGCGGCCCCAGTGAAGCTTCCGGAGACGTCCTGCAGACATTTGCACACGCGCGGGGTGTACGTACAGCTGAGGCGCAGCACACACGCTGTCTTGTTGAATGTGTTGCCATTTGTTTTTTTTCTCAAGGCGAGCCTCTTCGCTATTATTTAATAATCGCTGAAGGTGAGCACGGGGCAAAGGAGACAAAGGAGACAACATAAACGGCATGCACACGGCGACGGTTCCTGTTTTGTTTGTTTTTTCTGTTCGTTCTGCGTTTGTTTATTCTGCTCCGTGTATAGTATTTTTATTATTGTGCGTGTTCATTCGTTTGCTGTAATGCTTGCATTTTGGTTTGTTATGTCGCTTCTTTAGTCTGTCCGTTCTATTCTCCGCACATATATACATATATGCATATATACATATATGCATATATGTATATATGTATATATGCATATATACATATATGCATATATACATATATGCATACATACATATATGCATATATACATATATACATATATGCATATATACATATATGCATATATACATATATGCATATATACATATATATATGCATATACGCCCTCACAGATGCTCATTATCTCTGTCTTGCCTGTACAGC